TGGATGCGACTGGGGCTGAGCCCTGTCTGAACTGTGGTATCTTTGCCCTCACGCAGGGCGGGACGTTCATTCAAGTCGGCTTGGGAAAACCAAACCCATCAGTTCCGGTTGGTCAAATCTGCGACAAAGAGATTGTTTTCAAAGGAAGCTTCCGGTACGGGCCTGGAGACTTTAAATTGGCCATTGGATTGTTGAACTCGCGCCGGATCAGGCTGGATGATCTCGTCACTCATGAATATCCTTTCAGTCAGGCTGAGGACGCTTTCAAAAATGTCGCTGGTCGAGGTGGAATTAAGAGTGTAATCTATGGGCCGGCTGTCGACGAGGAAGAGGCAAAAGCAAGTTTGGTATAGCGCATGCCCTTTGTGACTGTTATTTTTAGATAGACCGCCGATTACCCTCCAACTCCGTTCCACGTCATGTCCCATAACCAATACAACCCGCCTTCAACACTATCCCGGTGAATGTTTTCTACGGGTTCCCGAGACAGACCAGGCATGTTCCAATCGTATTCTGCTGGCAGCTGCCATGCTTCATGTGTCTGTATGCCTGGCTCAACGAACTCACCAAGTTGAAGGTTTTCTCCGCCAGTAGGAATACCGGCAGAGCGATCCCCTGGGCCCAATGCTGGAAAATATATTTGCGTTAGCAAGTGTCATCATTTTAGCTAGCTCGTATGAATGATAATCCTCACCATATTGGACAGATGTTAAGCTATTATTCAGACGATCAGCCCTACTGAGGTCCGGCAGACGTTGGTCTCTAGCAAGAGGATTCCGAGAATCCCATGCCGCATCGAGCGGCATGCGAAGTGTGTCTTCGACAGAAATCAATGACGGATCTGCCAGGGTCTGTAAAGGCTGGTGACGCATCACTTGGCTCGTTCCGGTAATGGGAGCAAGCATGGCAGCTGATTCACGACGGAGGAGCATGATAACAACATTCTTCAGCACAGCCGTGCTTTGTTTCGATAGTGCAGATCGTCTGCCGAGCAGATCTTGCAGACGAAGAATTCGAGTAATTGTTCGTTTCACTTCCTGTGCGGTATCGGAAAGAGGCTCCGAAAGAGCCATCACGGCCAACACAATCGCGGCATTGAATAAGTTGATGGCAAGAAATGCGCACAGATGGCTGTCGGTGGCGAGCTGGGCTAGAGCCGGCAGTTCTGTCACCCTTGATGTTCTTGTTGCGGCATTCATCCATAGATCCGGACTTGTGGTCTGGGTATTGGGGAATGCGGAGTCGGGAGATAAGTGCGACTGGGCCACGGAGGGAGCGGCGGTCGGATGATACATGATGTTATCTGTTCTGCTTTCCTCCGGCGATTGCTTATTCACGGTATAGAGATGATCAACCTGCCGTGCTAACAAAGGTCGATGTAATACAATGAGAACATTGTCGTAAGTCAGTTGTAGCGACAAAGACTGCAGGGCATATGCCCTCAAGCTCGGCCTATCATCGGGATCAAAGTCCCGATTAAGATCCAAAGCCAAATGGTTCGGTAGGCAGGATCGCCATTTTTGGAGGTTCTCAGTGACGTGCCTGACTAGTGCAAAATAAGTGTCGCCATTTAGTTGTTCGGACGTCCTTAGAGTTCGTGAGCCGAAAACGGTCTTGAGGGCAGGCGATGCAATCAAGTAGAGCTGGTTCAACTCCCGCTGGTAGGTTGAATAGCATATGGGGCTAGCCTGACCGGAGGCCGGAGCAACAAAATTCGGGTTTTCGAACACATCCGCTGGCATGTCAAGATTGCAATCCTTGTCGTTGATGCCCAATGGCCGGCCATAGGTAATTGACGCGAACCTGTCCCAGGTGTAAATCGTCCACCACACTCTTTTTCTTTCCTCGATATTTTCGAAATCCCCCCGTAGAAGTCCTCGGTGCATTCCTAGAGACTGAGCCATCTTTATGGTCGCTCCTAATAAAGAAAAGGAAAGATTTGGACGGCCGTGATAGACATGGTGCGATCCTAAGAGAATGCAGGTCTGGGCCGAGGTGATTGAAGGTTGATCCATTAATTCCACTAGATTTGACTCAACGAGCGCCAACAAGTCTGCACTCAATTTCTTCATATCATCGCTGTTCTCGGCCGGATCAGTGCAACTCCTCTGAGATCGGTACCACGATGCCATTGCAAGCATCATGGTTAACAGCACGAGAAACGGTCTTTGAGAGGGGTATGCAGCACCATCCGTGATGGAAAGGAGGCTCTTTCTGAATTTTGGCTCGTAAACGGCGAGAGAAAACCAGTGTATGGCATCAAAATAGTCTTCCAACAGACTGTATACAAGCTCCATAGGAGGGAACGGCCGGTTCAAAATGGAAGATATCGGAATGCGTTGGCCCGTTGCCGAATTTGCCATAGAACCACCGGTGCTGGCCTGGTAGCCGGGTATGGCGGATGTGGTTTGTTCATCAATGTTATGGCTGCCAAGTTGACAGATTCTTCGAGCAATTCCTATGGCGGATTCGGCTTCACCGCAGTTGAGAGACGAAGGCATATCCTCCGCCCCATCGGGGAAGTCGGCATCATCGCCCCTAGAATGCACATCTATCAATCTACGCTGATCAGGAATTCTTTCACCACGACCAGGGCCATTTTCATCCGGCGACTTTTCGGTAGGAGCCACCGGAGACAGATTAGACTGATGTCTGTCAGTTCGCGGGTTTCTTTTGGAACCTAGGCGCCTAATATCTCATGTAAGTTAATGAACAGGTCAAAAGGATCCCGTGGTACAGCTTACTTCGGCAGAGTGGCTCTCCGTGGTCGGGTCGTTGGAAGTGGTTGGCAATCAACATTGGCTCGGATACACACCGAGCAAGGCCGAACAGGATCACACTAGGTCCAACTTGGATTCAGCACATGTCACTGGGTCCTGGTCAGGGGAGGTCAAGGTGACTCTACCCGAGATTTATGGCGACGACATCTTTCGCAGGCACTCCGGACTCTGGTTGGCAATGGCGACCGGATGTAACTGCTTCTATGCTGGACAGGGTCAACATCAAAGCCCCCAGTCATGATTATGTATATCGACTGAAGGTTGTGAACGGCAGAATAAGATTTTAGGACTAAGAACCAAATTTGAATCTCTCCATATTCCAGGGCTATTTACCCGTAGTAGCCGATGCGGAGTGGCTCAGGGACCCCGGGTTAAACCCGCATTAGCTAAGCACGTGGTTATAACCTTGGTTCCTTTGAGGGTTCCAACCACCAGACGTCCAAGGTTATATTCCGTACGGATACCTTGCGTTAAGAAATTGAGGCTTGTTATCAATGTTTGCTAATTTTGTTTTTGAGGAGTTATACAGGGGCGCATATTAAGAAAGATCAGAAAAAAACAGCAAAAAGAAAAAAGAAGAGGTCGTGCCCGGGATCGAACCGGGATTGCTGGTATCAGAAACCAGAGTGATGACCATTACACTACACAACCCAATTGTTGAGAGCAAGCTGCCTAATATGCTCCATGAAACAATAAGAGATAAAGAGCACTTATTGACCTACAACCCTAACTACTATTCGTCAAAAGTTCTCTAGCAATGCCATTCCAACCAATTTATAGGGATATTAAAAGGCCTCCCCGAAAGTTATGAAATGTAATCTCGAAAATTATCTAGGATTTACCAGGTTAGGAATACTTACAGGCTTTCTGGAATTATCATTAAACCCCCAGGTTGTCTTCTGTTGGAGAAATCCGTTGATGAAGTCCTTAATCTTGCCCCACACAACAATTCCGGTTGTGTAGTGTAATGGTCATCACTCTGGTTTCTGATACCAGCAATCCCGGTTCGATCCCGGGCACGACCTCTTCTTTTTTTATTTTTTTTTCTTTTCTACAGAGCCGACCGGTTTTCCATTTCAGAAACATATGAGGTGCTCTTTCAAACCCTAATCAAATGATATGGTACTGCAGATCAAGTTAGCCTTGTAATTTAAAGTGTGTTTTCGGCTCGAATGGTACAAAGCCGAACGCGTATTTGGCCGACTCATTTCATGCGTGTACATAGTGTACGTAGGTGCGATTTTGTTGGATAAAGTGTCTTGGTAGTGATTTTGCGCATATTGATAGAGCAGCTCTCTAGTGCTACTAAGCTTCTATCAATGAGATAAATATGGGAGGCCTCTTACCCTCTTTTGATTACTTGGGAACTATTATCTCGCTACTTAGAAACTCCCGCGAGAGCGTAGAAACCTATAGAATTGGCCGAGTGTATGATTCCTTTTTGACCTAAGTGTAGTATATATATCTTACGAACATAGATTGAGAAAACATTCGACGTTGCCTACACTTTGATCGATATAATGCCATGCCTGTTAGCAGCTGGGCTCTGATTTTCGGGCTTTAAGCTTAGCCCGAAGACTATTTCAAGCATTTCTTTACTCTATCCACAACTTGCTAGGAGGAAGACGTAGTTTTCTCACCTCTTACTAACAAAGAAACGGCAAACATCAAGCATTGCTCTCGATAGTGGAACCTATTGCCGTTTATCTTAATCTCTGGCGGCCACTTTAGTTCATAGCATGTGCCGGTAAATAAGTTGCCGGAAACTTAGGAAGCGATATGTTTGTTAGGATTTCACCAAAATCTCGTTGAGTTATTTTTTACTAATTCTATTTTTAATAATTTAATTCTATTTAGCTTTATATGTTACAGATATAGGTATTTAGATATGCCTTTAGGTGTCTTTTTTTTGATATCTTCCAATATCCTCCTAGAATATATAATCAGCGGCAAACTATAGAACATGGTTCAAAACGAGAGAAAGATTTTTCTATACATAACATATGGCTTAGTGCACCCCTCGGTCTATTTTTCTTATACAAAAACTGCCTGATTTTTATTATAGATAGATGATTACATTTCCAACTACTTTGGTGGGCAGATGTCTAAATTTCTGCTAGAAATAAAAGCCAATAAAAGCAATGTCCCAAGTGGTCGTTATACACTGCGAAGAACAGGTCTGCCATGTGTTTGCTCAATATGGCAATTCTGCATGTCGCCCTAATAGTAATGCTCGGCACATTTCAATCTCCCCTTATTGTGGTCTCTGGTCTATGAAAATGTCAGGTAAACCCTATACCCATTTGTAAATGAGGTACCACATACTAAGGCCTTTATAAAACAATTCATGCGGGCCATCTCATTTTTAAACCAACCCGTCTGCTCTTTCGTAAGGGTGGAAGTTTCAGGAAATGTCTCTGAGAATTCAAAATCCATCCAGAGCACTCTGTTCTGTTCGCGACATATCATCATGTTTCTGGGATACGAATACCCGTGGTAAACTCGTGCGAGATGCATGTCACAAAGGATTTGACGGAATTCATCTAAATAGTGCATTGAATAATTGGATAGGTCTATCATCTCAAGACCGGGAATGTATTCGATGAGAACAGCGTTAAGAGGTTTATTGTCTTCGTCAAACATATCCTGAACCGAGTAGGTGTCCTGTGGCCATTCGCTCGGCAATAGAGAATGTTGGATATTGTTGATTGTTCCGTAGAAGTCGGGAATGACACCTCGCTCGCAAAAGCCTTTTGCTTTCAGTCGGCGATAGGCAGTGCTTTCACAGAAAAAAGGTTCCCGATCTAGGCGTTCGGGGTCGTATACGAGCCAGTCATGCCACTGAAAGAATTAGTAGGATTAACAGAAGAATCCAGAGGATGTTTACCAGTTTCATCACACATGTTGTCCCATGAACAATCACCTTAAAAATAGCCGACTGCTCTCCCTCGTTGATAATATCGAGGAAGGTAACATCGGTAAATCTTATATCAGTGAATTTTCGAGTCATGTTCGCCTTGAGGACGTGGAAAAAGATTAAAATAGGTACGACACGGGTGCAATTCGCCGCTAGCTGTCTTGTTGGTGAGGCTGGACGTGTGTGAACCAAGTAGGTGGAAGGCAGGTGGAAAGGGACGAGAGGGTGATTTACTTGAGAAGAGAGGGATTGAGAGTGAGAGGAGAATTCTCCAGGCGATGGATAGTTAGTAAATGTTATGGCCTCAGGCCACACAAACATTTGTAGGTGTAATAAATACGTACAACATAGCTGGTCAAATACTATACAGTGGTATAGATAAAAGGTGCCAAAACTTTATTTTTAGTAAATACTACCTACATAGATAGGATGAAATATTCTTGCAATAGACTTGGGTGCTGGGGTATTGGGAAACTAGCGTGATTTGGAGTGGAGAGTGCAGTTCGCCAATCACCATAAACAAACCCCCAATTTCTTTCACCCTGTTTAAATGTAAAACGACGGAATCATTTGGTTGACTATTCTTTTCGACCGTTTTATATGTAGTCGAATTCCTAAAGACAACCGATTGTTTAATCACAGGCTATAAATATTTTCTTGCCCGTTAAAAACTTGATGCTTTCACCGGTAATGATTGGCTATTAACAATCGTTGACAACTCCTAGCACGCTATTATTGAGTCCTCATTTATTCCACAGTACTGCAGTACTGGTATCGTGGAAAGCGTCGTTAACAATGCACGTTCGGTCGACTCCCAAATATCTACGTTGTATTTTATCGTTCAATATGATGCCTCCAAATATTGTCTTTATAACTATATTTTTGCCTATTTTGTATGCATCACCTCTTCTTTCTGTTGCCCACACTTAAGTCTGAATTTGCCTGCGTTTCAATTTGTATTATTAAAATTGACCAACGAGGCTATCTCCTTCTTGGGCCTCCTAGGACTGGTAAATCGGGTTCTAGTCTCTCGATTACAGGGTGTCCTGGAGCCTTTTGTTCAACCTCGAACAGGGCTCACTGAGACTATTCACTATCGTACAGCCCTAGATGGCTATACAGAAAGAAGAGCAAAGAGTAACCAGGCAAAGCACATGCTAACCCACAAATATGGCCAAGGCTATGTCACCAAGACAGCGGGATCTGATACTTCTCCCAATTACCAGGCGTATCAGCGTCCTTGAACTTCTCAATCCCACCAGCAACCCCATTCTCATCCAATTCCCAATCTCCCATTTCAACCCTCTCCGCCCAGTTCAACAGCACCTTGTGCAGCTGAACACCATGAGTTTCTAGGATCCCATTCCAACCACAGACTTGATAAAGTTCATGAGGATAATCTATAGGTGTCGGACTGGCATATAATCCAATCTGCCTCCCAGAACTATCTCGGGCGTATCCTCTAGACCCGACGCCAAAGGGAAGAAGCGGCCTAGACATATTTCCGAAGTCCTGTACTCTGCTTTTGTTGATTTCTTCTGTGTATAAACCAGCAGGGATATCAATATTGTCGAAAGGCCGGCCCCAGGGTGATAGATTGGATCCATCTGCTCGGAATAGGAGAAATGGCATTTCTTCGTCATCACTATCATCTTCATCGTCGTCCGGCCCACTTTGAGCTCCAGCACGATAGGCTGCATAGGACTGGTGTTTCAATTCAGCAGCAGACTGTATCCAAATTCCCGGAGCAATGTAGCGGAAATGAATCTGGCGCGGAGGAAGCGCGGAGAGAAATGACCTGATGAAAGAGTTGTTGGGAACAAAAGCTTCATTAAATACCGACTCTGGAAATCGGATATCAATCCGGTCTAATCGAACCGGGGGTTCGAGTTTCAACTGCGTAGGATTGAACCGGGAGTCGAGTTTCAATTGCGTCGAGGAGGCGAGTGAAAGCAGCGATTGACTTATCGATATCCCGCTGCGTATATTGACAATACTCCCATGGGAAAAATTGGGAAAAAGCCTGCTTTATCTCCGTGGATGTCTTCACCTTCCCCTCTTCAATCATCTCTATATAACCCCCGAGTATCTGCTGGAGTGGCATCCATGAGCCTGGATTGCCGATAACATCTCCACTAAACTCCCAGTGAGGGATATAGGCAGCTAGTTCTGTATTTTGGTCGAATCTAGCGCGAGTTAATATTCGATGAAATATTCTTATAAAAATAGGCTCACACTATGCCAACTTCTTCGTCACATGTGTAACAGCCCGTCGGCTGGTATAGATACACAAATCGGTCACCCTCGCCGTCGAGTAGGGGAAACTGGAGTAAATGGTCGCTGTTTTGTAGCCCACTCAGAAAGTAGAAAAAGTGAATACCAGGATCCTTATCTGACCATCCCCTTGATGGAATGGATCTAGCCGAACGAAGGAACTGAGCGAGTTTAGGAGTTAAGCGTGAGTCGAGGTTGACTGGGGAGTACTCTTCCCACCATGTTGTGGATGGGAGCGGAGAAATATAACCGGCACCAGTCCATGCATATTGCAGGATCTGATTGTGAAGCTCAGCGGATCGCTGAGGGTCGAAAGTCGACTCGGACATAGAAGGCCTAGCTAAGGGGAAAAGCAATTGCAGCGTTATGTTGTAAAAGGCAAAAACAAATCAGAGATTTGGGTGGACCGCTCTAGCGTCTTTTAGGGTCTCGCCACACTTTTTTGGTTTTGTATGTAATTCTGGGTTAATTTGCAACCCTGGTGGTGTCACCAACGAGTGTCAGAGTCTTTTGGTATGTACCCTAGGGTATTTCAATATGCCCTCGATCGCAGGCATTTTACTTTAATCAATCAATCTTTTCATCCTGAATCGGTTCCGCTTGATCTTATTCGTCCTGATTGTATACTAATCCATAAGCCCTGAGACCAGCTTCATTACTTGTACGACTCAGGGTTTGGATGCGTTAGTATCACAGTTCTCCCGTGAAAATAGCCGCAATTGGCCTCTCCAAAATGCGAACATTCTAAAAAATTAAAATGTCTTTTTGCGGCTTGACATAGAGTGATTGCTAGCTCCCGTGCAGGTCTCAAAGTAGCAAGGTTTTTCAACCGACAGACTCCTAGTACCGATCCTATTGCGCCCATCTATGCGGCTGGTGCACTCGTCTTGGCCTCCTTTGTGGCAATGTGTTTCTTGCCAATCGAAACTCAAGGAAAACAGGCTGTGTAAAGCGCCAAATTTGAGTTCGATCTTCTGGGCTCTGCACCTTCGTGAATTTAACAGGTCCTTTTAACGTTCGTCGGCCCTTGATATACATACCAAAAATGCCGATTTGACCTTTTGGTCATGCATATGTAGTGGCACCTATCAGTAATTATGCAAAATTATACCCAACATTGAACGAAATCATTCATGAGCGCTTTATATAAAGTTCCTCAGACTAATCTACAGTTCGGACATACTCACATCGGGTTGCCCAAGAAAAAAAGTATATTAGGAGAAAAGCCAATGATACAGTAGTGTTAGCAATCACTTTATTCGGGCTACAAAAGCAAGTGGAAAACGGAGACAGCAGAAAAAAACCAGCGAAGTTGGTGATTGTACGAAGAAACTAAGCTGGGAAAAAACTAGCTGAAAGGCGAAGGTTGGCCTGAACCAAGACATCCACCACCATATGCTTAAACGAAAATATCGTTCTGGGCACCTAAATAAGGGGGTGATTAGCATTATCGTTTGGCTGGAGAAGGGTCTCACGCAATGAATACATACCAGTCTTCCAACCCCAAGCGGTGTTGTACATCGGGGTCTTTCCATTGGGAACTTGGACGTTGTTTCCGGTTTTCTCTGTTGAATTCAATTAGCTGTGTGAAATAATGAGACCAAATTTCTAAATATCATACGGTTGAATGCGATCATCTGCTTGGCACCCTTGACGCACTTGGTCGCGTCGTTTTCGCAATGAACAGCGACCTGAGCAGGGGCGACCTTCTTGGTTGAGGTGGATCCGGTGACATTGCATTTATAACCGGCCATATACCTAGTTGTCAAATGTCAGTTTAAGACTCAGTTACCGGCAACAACTACTCACATGTTGGGTTGTCCGCAACCATTGGGCACCTGGAAGTTTGTTAGCTATGTGGAGGGAAAGAGTTTTATCAAATCAAAAACTTACCCAGAGCCAAGCGCAGGTACAGCCACCCTTGGGGCAGGGAGGGAGATCAGCGGGGACCTCATAGGTAGCGAGGCGTTTCCATGGAGTGCTGAATTTAGTCAGTAAAAGAGGTCTCTTAGCGCACAGTATATTCCCAGAAATACTTACTGCTCCAAAGTAGTGAACACGGCCAGATTATCCATGGTAACATCAGCCAGATTTGACTGGTAGCTAATGGCAAACGCTGTACCAGCAGCGATGGTCTCGTTGTTTGTGTGCATTGCGCCGTCGTCCTGGATGCACTCAGGAGGATTTCCGGGGCCCGCCCAGTTTTCCGGGTGATCCTTTCCATCCGGCCAAACAGAAGAGTACTTTCCATCATAGGAAAGCGTCGTCTGAGCCCGGTTATGGGCGAGTTCGACGGTGAACTTCCCGCCAGCAGGAAGTTCAAGAATCTCACCGTCCGCCGGCGGTGCTGCGTCACAGCCGCGCTCGTGCTGGAACCACCAGTCCTCCTTAGTGAGGTCGTAAAGGGGTCCCACCGCGGTGTTGGTGTTGAGGTTGACCGAGGAAGGATCTGGACCTCCAAGGCAATACATGCCCTTGGTCCAGGCGACTGTATGCGCCTGGGCGGTACAGATCAGTGCGAAAACGGCAGTTCTGGACAGCATGATGAGAGAGAAAAAAAGAGCGAAATGACCTGAGAAAGAAAGGGTTGAGAAAAGAATGTGTGTTGCAGCTATTGAGGAGAACAGGATGTGGCTATTTATGTGAAAATCCGGAGTTTAAATTATGCATGGTTATTATGTTCAAGTATAAGTTTAGACCTGTCTATAGGGATGATCCGAAAATGCCGAGCTTTTATGGAGCTAAACGCCTTGTTAATTAATCCCTTAATTGAACGTCGTTTCAGATTCCCCAGAAACTGCGCCAAAGGAACCGGGGTGGGTCGGACACAGATCATTTAGAGTAATTAGGGCCCGTTCATGTCGATTTTCTCATCAAATTGCCCAAAAGCGGAAACTCTAGTCCTTGAGATGTTCTAGGCACTGTAATTATACTTTGAGCAATAATGCCTGGTTTCCATTTTCGTTGTGCCAACAAATTATTTCTTGGTATGTCAGCGGCATTCGGGACTGAAAAAGTAAACAGTTGTCTAATAGGGCATACTCTGTCTAATATGGGCATACTCGGCATGCCGTAGCTGCAAATAAATACCCATTGTAATTTGGAACCCAGAAATGATCACGACACGACGAGATTCACAATTAGATGCTAAGCAACCTATTCTGAGACTGTTGTGGTCGCAATTTAGCCTCGCTTTCGTGTAAGATACGAACCCATACAAGTAAGTAACCAACATATTCTATGCCGGCCAACTCAATTACTAGATTTTAGTGAAGGCAAGGAGCGAAATAAAGTTCAGCCACGTGCCATCGCATGGTAACAGTGATGTCGGGGCGGAACCTTAAAGATCCGTTTCGAAAAGACGCTATGATAATACGAGAGCGAGGGATCTGAAACAACCTCCATTTCCCATTTACGTCCAAACCGCCCTGCTACCTCGATTATCGCTCTATAATGTTGACTTATTTATATGAGCGAAGTAAAATAGCATCCTGAACACTATACTCTAACCGTTAGCGCCAATACTGAGCAGAGGGTATTAGTTGCGCGGAGAAAATTTGCAGCGGGACGCTAGACAACAAAGTCAGAAGCCAGCGAGGTATCCAGTATCCAGTATCCAGATTGCTGCTTTCTCCTAATATAGCAAGAAAAAGTAGACATAGCAGGTACATAGTCTTCTCTGGCCCACTTGGTAAAGCTTATCCACCCTTTTGTCCACTCTTTTTTTTTACATAAGCCTTAGAATGGAAATGATTTGTTCAGTGATCATGGTTTATGACTGATTTGATCTCGATCCATTGATCTCCACGCACAGTTACGGGCTTTGTTCCTTTGAGCCGTTAATGTCCTTAGCGTCCTTACGAACACTCGATTATCCCCATACAGATGCCTCTAGTATCTTATTACCATCCAATACAAGGGGGGGGGGGACTATAGCAGTTTTACACAGGAACTAAGGGATAATCCGAAATAAGGTTGGTGTACATATTACTCCAACTATTAGTCCACCAACCAAAAGGGAGGAGCATCACCATGTTTATTGAGCCAACGAAAGGTATTTCGAGGGGTACCTCATCAAATGACACACCTGGTAGCTATGATCTCGAGCGTATGTATTGCCTGATCATAGTTGAAGGGACTTTGGTTTTTCCATTCGACCATCTCAATCGAATTGGAGGCTGGATGCCAACTTCACCGAGTGATCACCAGGGGACAATAAATGACGCGGAATTGAAACAGTGCAAATTGATATATCTGCTATGTGGGTGAGATGGCAAGGTAACATCCGCGCTACGTCCGTGAGACGTTGACCACCATGCACCTTCACCGACCGGCCATTTCCCATAGCGTCACATTAGCGCACATTTAAAGCACATCAACGCACATCAACGCACATCAACGCTCACCACCACACTTGTTGAGAGAAGTGATTGTACTGTGTGTGTTCTGTTGGAGGTGGGATACCTCATCTATTTACATATTTATTTCTAACCTCTGCCATGAGCTTTGATCACAGTGATATTCAACTCGATGGCAACCATTACCAAGGAAGCCAGTGACCATTTATCACTGTTGTGGCGGGCCCCATTAAAACCTTTAAAAAAACATTTTCAAAGGAGGGGGTACCCTGCAGCTTAGTCTCTGTTCAACACCCGTGAGGTGTGGGCATCACTTGATGCCGAGTCCTCTCCGAAACCATTCAAATCATTCCGTGCAAGAGGTTTGGTGAACCCATCAGCAATTTGCTCTGTGGTTGGAACATACTTCAGTTATACTGTTCCAGCGCCTTGGACCTCTGCCTGCCACTTGCGTTGGATTTCCATATGTTTTGTGCGGGAGTGGTATTGCGGGTTCGAGGACAGAGCGATGGCACCTTGGTTGTCACCCACAAATGATCGTTGCGGTTTTTCCTTGGCTCATGTTTAATTTCTTCATCTTCGTGTCCCGAAAACTTTAAAGGTGCAGTGTTTTTGATGGGTTAAGTACAGACCTCAACTTATGGCAATCTATAGAATGTCTCCATGACACCCAGTCGTACTTAGCCCCTAACGCGGTGATCAGGTAATTTTCTGACGAACTGAGGGAGTGGTCAAATACCACTAGGACCCTTCGGGACAGGCTTATTCATCGTTCATCCAATTTCCCCCTAGTATTTGTACGGTATTCCGGGGAAGTCCGGTGTTGTAACACGCCGAAGCTTATTTGTATAGACCCCTGAGATCGTTCAGCCGATCTTAAGACCTACACTCAATCATCTGATTCTATTGGACATGTTCTGTACTAGCCAGTACATTCCTCATCCTGACAAATAGTCTAATTGGATGAATGTAAAGATCTCGGTGTTTGGTTAGTCCCCCCACCCCAAACAAGGCCCCATATGCAGGGGGCTCCACTGCAGAGTGCGGATTGAGACTTCTGTTCCTGGAAACTGGGGTCATTTTCATTTGCATGGAGAAATTTGTTAGCTTATTGGCGATCAGTATTAGGGGCGGTTTCGGATACAATTTGCACTGTCGATCTTGCACGAAACTGATTCAAAGTAACATAGGAAGTTTCCCGAACGAGATGAGAGATTCAACTGCTTATAGGGACCATCTCTTGAGTAGAGCAGCAATGTGTCTGAAATGGCACCATGCTGTGTAGTGATTTACGATGGTTGCAGTCTCTTCGGTCTATCCCTCAGAGTCATACGAACAATCTCACCAGAGCATGAATGTGAATTCACATGTGGAACATCCCATTTCCGGCTCAGGTGTAGCTCATGCCGTACCGCGATTGATATATGTTGTCATTCTATTGAAGTAACCTTGAAGGAAGAGACACAGGACCGGCTGGCAGCTGGGGAGAGCATAAGTGCAGGCTAGGAATGAGAAGTTGACAACACCTCGCAGACTGCTAACGAAAGAATCACGAGGATCCCCTTTTAATTCATCAGGGATTCCAGTGAAGTCCTAGTATCAGTATGTTATAGTACATGTAATGTTTTTGAGATGTCTAGTAGGTAAGTCACGGTGACATACCCAGTGCATTGTTCAGCTGCTCTTACTTTGCCCTTTGCCCGGCCCAGTGAAATATCTGCGCTGAAGTCTTGGCAGTGCTGCCAAATTGGTATGCATTGGAAGCGAATATCGGCGAAAGGGTGCTCGGATTTGATGAAATGGTAGCAAAAAAGAGGAAAAAAAGGGGGGGGGGGGGGGGTTTAATCCAATTTTTTTTGACTTAGACTTAATCACGCATAATAGTAATATCTGGCTTATTCACCCCTTTCCCTACTTTTGTTGAAGATGTCACGCAAGTGGAGGAACTTTATGTTGACCAAATACGTTTTGAGGCCTACTAGTCTTGGGATGGGTACTTGTGGAGAGGAATTTCAATATGCTATGTACATGCAGTGTGGTTTCATCTACCTGGATGCAAACCTTGGAATTGATTTAAGCTACCTAGGTATTATATATGGAGGCATTTCTCATGCGATAGCTTGATTCGCAAAAATAATAAATATGTTTAAATAGATTGGAGGATCTTCTGGTACAGAACATTAAACAATGTGTACAATGATGCGTGAATCCCCCACTGAGCGAAAAAGCTGTCAGACTTGAAGATAGCATCTTTGATATAGAGAGTGATCACGCTCATCATAAATGTCTCGGCAAAACCTCGCCATGAAGGTCCTTGGGGCCTGGGAGTATGAGTTGAAGAGGCGAATCTGCCGTTGTCTTCGGTCTTCATATTGCAAAATACGATAATGTGACACAATCGATGTGCTAAATTAAGCACTAGGGTGTTAGTTGAGTTCAAGTTACAAATCTAATCAAAAGAAAATCGGTATTGCCTACCTATATCCAAGCAGTATTTCACTTGTCTTCTAAGTTCCAAGATTGGTAGATAATGTGTGGGATATCGTTCGAAGGAGATCATATGATACTTACAGTGTCTACCAGTGTCAAAGAACATGGATGGTATCGGTGTGGATGCAATATTGAGTCGGAACTTCCGAGTCGAAGGCTGCCCAGGTGTTGCTGGGGGCCATGGTGGGATTATATAGACTCAAGTGGATTCCGCCCGCCCGAGTCTGAAAGTTTGAAATTTGGAAACAAAATCAAGAAATGCCGCAAAACACTTACCCTGGCTGGACAACTCGGGATCAAATTCCGCATTTAGCGCGGATCTCCCGCATGTGCCTGGTGGTGGGTCGCACAAACTTGTTTGGACCCACAACACATTGGGGGCCGTTGTGGTGATCGCTTGGCGCCGGCACCTAGATCCATGGATCACTAGCTCAGAGAATACAATGTGGAAGGTATGTTGTAGAGCGACGAATGTCATCGAAATGGGCAAATGGGCAAGTTTCTAAGAAAAGATGGGAAGCAAATCTTTCAGGAAGAGCAACTCTGCATTACGAATTCATGATTACTCGTCATTTCGTCTGCTCTGAATACAGAGTACTTCTTGGGAATCGGCATCAAATTTCAACTGCCTATCTTAGGTGAAGTTCTATAGATGAAAATATTCAGTGCATCTTGGTCCTCCTGGTATTCTACTTGTACATTTGTTGTATAAACCCTGGGTTTCTCAGACCTGCAGAGCCTCGTTTTCAACTTTGATGTTGTTGTGGTGGCCCTTAAAAAAAGACACAACAAAGCCACATAAGCGGCTGACTACTTTTGTACATCATAATTTAGATAGTCAAAAAATTGAAACTCATAAAAAAGAATTTACTGACCATGCTTACGCATGTCGTCCAACATCCATGGATGCCCAGGTGAAGTTAAATAAGAGTTTATCATGCATCCTTATCATCACGTGTTGTCGTGTCAGGGACGCGTTTGTACGACTTTCTTTCCGCCCAATGATTAGAGACACAAGTTGTGATAACTCTGACAACTAAATCCCAATGAGTTTGGATCGTATCATTCAGGATTCCGATGAGGATGAACCCTTTGAGGGGGATGAACTCCCCGCCTCTGTCAACCCTATCCACCCCTCCGAGCCTGCATTGCAGCAGGAATATCAACATGCCCCCACCAAACAGACGAAAAACAATGCCTTGTATGAACATGGTCCTGCTCCCGATGAAAGCATCTTCCCACAACTGAACGTCAATTTTGATGAGTTCCTCCAATCGCAAGAAAGGGGCCATTCAACGCTATCGTCGTCGCAGCAGCGGCGGGAAGACAAATGGATCCCCTCAACCAGTGAGGGTGGAAGTGGGTCGGTTGGTACGATGCGATAGCATAGTTTGAAGCACAAAAATCAAGATGTGGTCTATATGCTGATACTGAAGATGATCTAGGCGCCATGATGACGGAGATCGGAATCGCGCAGCGAAGACTGCTGGACGACGACCCTACAAGTGCAAGCCTACTGCTCCCTTCTACGCCCGCGCTGTACCCGACAGAATCATTTCAGTCCGCGCCATTTCCTACCATAACAAGTTATCACTCATACCAGATGGATCAACCGGAGAGTGGCAGCTTCACATATAATCCAGCACCCATTGGCGTCTACCCCGATGCAAATCAGATTTTGTTGCCCACCAGACAGGTTACCTATGACTTGACTCCCCCTAACACCACTAACACAATGGCTTCGCCTCCGAAAATCGTTCCTCACCAAACTACCGAGCCCGTCATGGAACAGGAGAACCCACATTCAAACCCACAGTCAAACCCACCCCACGAAGCTTCACAGCCCAAATCTCAGCAGACGGGTCCCCATTCCCCCCATGACACCGAGCCTCTCTCCTCCGTTGTGTCTATGCGTTTTAGCGAAGCCAAGACCACCACCGCCGGAACCAGTCTCATTTCCCCGCAGCAATCCCAGTCAAGCACGCACGACGAGCTCGCTCTGGCAGCTGTCCAACCAACTGTGCCAGATGTCGAGACGGCCCGTGCAAAGAAGAAGCGAGGACGGCCCAAGAAAAAACCCGTGCCAGACAACGACGAAGACGATGAGCTAGCCAACTCTCGGGACCACGAGTTCAAACACCCTGGCGCAAATGGTGCGATTGACCCCTCCGATAACGAAGAGACGACGGAAAATAACACCCCGAGCTCGAGTGGCGTCTCCGATGAGACTGACGAAGAAAATGTAGAAGCAGTCCCCAAGCCTGCAAAATCAGGACCCAAGGAGCCGAAAAAGAAGAAAGCCAAAAAAAGCAAAACAACCCCCGCCCCGCCTGATGCCGATGACGACGTGATATGGGTGGACACGAAGCCTCTCAGCGTGGAACCTTCAACCGGGAATGCCACTCCACAGACCGAAACCCCAGAGGCCCCAAGACAGGATTTACCCTCCAATGATTTGGACTCGAACCCTCCTGTTGCCCCCCAGGCGACAATCCCCGCAGTTGAAGAGAAGACACAAAACCCCGAAAAACCAGCACCCAAGAAACGCGGACGCAAGCGAAAGCAGACAACCGAGCAAGCGGAAACACCATCCGAGTCCGCAGATACGCCCGAACCAAACAAGCCACCCTCCGGAGCCCAGACTCCGGCGTCGAAATTGGCTGTCGTTGTCGATAATAGTCCTAAATCCATGCTGGAAACTAACACGGGTAACAACAATACGTCTGTTGTTCAAAGCAAGGACCAGAACCCCCCTCCACTTCCTGGTCCTGACCATCTCCCTGAAACTACAATTGATACCCCTCAGCCCCAGACTCCTTCGAAGCCCGATGCTGCATCTGTCAATACACCCCAGAACGCAGGCAAGGGTCCGGATAAGCATAGTCCCATCTCGGCGCGGAGTGGGGTGCCTTACCGTGTGGGATTGAGTAAGAGGGCGAGGATTGCGCCGTTGCTTAAGATGGTACGGAAGTAGGGAAAGGTTTGTGCTCTCTTATTGATTCACCTTTTCGTTTCGTGTTTATTATTGTCCTTTTTTTCTTTGATTGGGTTGGTCTGTTGCTGCTCTTATTCTGCTATCATTATACCCCTCGAGAGAATGTTCTCGGCGTGCTGCTTTACTTTGTTTTTGCTTGGTTCTGTTTCTGTTGGTATTGGTATCTGCATATCTCCCATGCTTGCATGTCTATACTCACCCATTTATATGAAGTGGAAGAAAGGTTGTCTTATTTCATATCATTTTGCCCCAGTGTGTGTGACCAGCGGCAATTTGTCTCGCGATCTTCTCAGCTATTCTCAGAATCGAAAAGATTACATTTATTTCGAGGATCAGAGTAAAACTTTCACGGTTAAAGCATAATATGAAAGCCTACGATAATTAGTCGAGGAGAAGACGAACTTTTGTATTGTATTGCAATTCTGCTACCTGTTGTTGATTCCTATTCCATGAGCTAACCAACCATGCCATGTCTGCCGATAATTTTAAACGAATGGATTGGCCACAATGAAGCCACAGCATGTAAGTATAACTATAATATCGACAATGTAAAACTCGGCCAAACAATCATGGCAATCCAATCCAAAGATCAAGATGATGCATCACATCCACATCGCAACGATCAAAGCAAGGAACAAAGATGTTGCAGCCGCAGTTCCAATGGTTCGGAAATCAGAATCAGCTTCCGACTTGTGACCCTCGGTTTGAACCTTCGGATCCCAGGCATCGCCATTGTAAGGAGCCTCAACGGAACAATATCCGGCATCCTTTTGGCAGCCGCTTCCACAATGACTGGTGGTGTTGCCGCAAGAGTTAGTACTACCACAGCAAAAGCCATAGGTAGACCCAAGGCAAGTGTAATTGGAACCACAGGAGCCGTCCCAAGATATCGGCTTGTTGGGATCTGCCGAATTAGTCTTCTTGGGCTTCTTCTTGTGAGTGGGCATCCGGTTATCTTTGCGGTACCAGAGTGGCCTGGGATCTCGGAGACAGTCACCAACGGTAATGGCGCGATAGCCCTGCCGCTTGATGCCCTTGAGCATGTGCTCCGTGAGGTTGTGGACAGTCTGCTCATGGGCGTCATGGGCAATGACAAGCCAAGACTTGGTCCGTGGATCGCTGTACAAGATCTGGTGATCAAAGATATCCTTGGACCGTTGAATCAGATCCGGACTATCGTTCTTGTAGTCGTCCGTGTCAATGTCATACAGAATTATGTGGTACCCAAGCTTGCCCAGCTCATTTCCGCATTCTGTGTCAGGACTGCAGCTGGAATAGGGCGGTCGCATGTAAGTAGGGAAGTGTCCAAGAATATTGCGCAGCGCAGCTTCATTCTTTTCAATCTGGTCACCGCGTTGGGAAGGAGTGATCTTGCTGAGGTCCTCATGCGACCATGTGTGACTAGCGATCTGGTGACCACTCGAGTGCATGCGTTCGATCAGCGAAGCCCACGGCAAGCTGAGGTCATCGATAGAACCCTTTCCGTTGTTGATGCCAGTGATGAAGAATGTCGCCTTCGCATCGTATTTGTCAAGCAAATCGAGCAGATCGCCAGTGTAACGTGTCGGGCCATCGTCGAAGGTCAATGCAACAGTTCCGGGGATAGCGCATGAACGAATCTCGCGAGGGCCGTACGGAACTTGACCGACGTGAGGACGGGGGATTTCCTTGGTTGGGGGTCCATAGGGCGATCGGTGAGCGTCACATTTACCGAAGTCAATCTTGCAGTCTGGAGAGCGACAGTGCGCCTTAGATGTGCCGCAGAAACCTATCGTGGAGATGCCATCAGTAAGCTGCTCAACCGAACAGAATTCTGACACATACCCGAACCAGAGCAGCATGTACCGACTGGACATATGCCGATTTTTGGGCCACAGCGATAATCCAAATTGTTGGGGGCATCACGAGTGTCCAAATGAGACTCAGTTTCTGGTTGATATTGTTCAATCGAGACCGTATGCACAGGACCGGCGACATGCAGTCTAGCAAATACACACGTCGCCAATGTGGTGACCAAGGTGGGATGAATACGCATCTTGAAAATGGTATATAGGGTTATGTTATGTTCAACTGGGTATGCAAGAGGTAATGGTTTGGGATGATAGCACGAGGTGATTCGGGGTGAGAGTAGAAGAGAGAAGAGACGAGCAGGAGCAGGACCTCGGGGGAAAGTAATGGATGAGCTAATTTCTACAAGAGGAAGAGAGGACAGAGAAGGAAAGAGCGAGGAAGCTTCGAGGCATTTGTTTACTTAAAGACACAAAAGGGCAGGAGCAAAGATCCTGGAAAGAGCTCCCAACCTTTACATATCCATGGATAGGCGTAGAAGTGGATGTTGACGCGCTTGTATTCAATATGAACGTGGGTATCGTGAAGTCCATGGCTGTCTTGGGCATCGGAGGGTTGGCCTAAGAGCCCAGTACATTTTTCCTGCTTGAGCAAATCACAGCCTAGGGGGTGCGATCAGTATGATCATGACGTGACCACATATAGCCAATTTAGATCAGATGCAGCACATCAAGCTCGTGTAGCAGCCCTCAGCATCACTGTAAGGGTCTAGGCTACAGTGTCGGTCAGACATCTATCAGTTGTAGGCCAGTGATTATGGTAACTCAGTTTGCCCGAGTAAGGTTATCCTCCCCGACTGCCGAGAAGACAAAAGGAGCAAGGGTATCCAGGTGTGGGCCAAACTTCGCAGGTGCGGTTCTTGCAATGACGCCAATTGCAGCGATCAAGTGTCTACGCTGCACCATGGAAATATTGGAAGACAATGTTTTCGTCAGATTGGACACAAAGCCGTTGAGCTGGTTGTCAGAGAAGTGGAGCACAAGCGCCGAGATGGCTGCCAAGGCGCGCTTGGTGACAACAGTTCCAGCCGTGTCGTTTTGGATGATGGCCATGACGGATACTTGGAGGGCAGCGAGCTCCGACTCTTGGAGAAGAGGCCCAAAGCATGTCACGACCTTGATGAGCACATCGATGGCATCGCTGCTGAAGCCCCGTGATGGATCCTTCTCCATCATGCTCTTCACCGTTGATCCCCGCCGCCCTGTGCTTGAGGGTGTCGGCCCGGTCAAACGGGGGACCAAGACCTTCGAAACTGCTGAGTATGCCGTAATCGCATTTTGAGATGCAGGCTGGCCCAACTGGGGACGAGGGAGGGTATCGACGATGACGCGAAGAGCAGTGTTGGGGACGGATGTGTCTATCGTCTGGGAGGCAGTCAGGTTGGCCAACTGCTCGAGGAGAGGTGTAAGGGATTCAAATGGCAAGCGAACTGCGAGAGGACCGAGACTGTTTCATGTTAGAGATCAGCAGGACAAGAGGGGAATAATGCTTAGTACGAACCATTTGAGAGCCTGGTTCTGCACGTCGCCGTGTTGATCATCCAGGGCCTTGAGCAGACCTTCTGCGAGTTTTGTTGATGTGCCGCGGTCGTGAGAGAGGAATGAAGAGTTCGGGTTGGTCAAAATCCCATATAGATCGTTCAAGGACATGTATCTCAGGTCGGCATCGGGGTCATCAAGCTTCGCTAGCAAGGTGAAAATTGTCTGCTGGGTAACCTGGCGGTCCGCCATATTTATGAGGCTGTGACTGTTATTGGTAAATGAGGTTGAGGGGAAGTCCACCCAAGGTGACAAGTGAAGCAGCGTATAATGAAGGCAACCGGGGAGAGCTTGCGGTGGTAGCTTTTGATAAACGCCGCAACGTGGGGTGTTAGCGCCTAAGGTGTCGATCATTTGTGGCCTGAGGCACTCATTTACAACTACTCGACAACTTCTCAAAATGTCGAGTTACTAACAAAAAGTATCTGTTTATAAACAGCTATTCGATTCTAATACCTACATTGTCATTGTATCCTGAAGTTTAGATTAAATACTTGAATGTTCTCCAATTTTTTGATCTGATGATCAGTTGAGACATCTGGATCCACCCGATATCGAACAAGACCACTTGGGCAACCTCCAAGACTGCCAGTTATATTGATACCATACCAAGGTATTAAAAGTTGTGCCCTAAAAGTCTTCTACGAGTACCAGTTACTATTCAAAATCACCCAACCCAACGTGTTCTTCAAGTACCGAATACCTTGCCCAGCCACCTCCATTACATCACGACGCACAGACCTCGGAAACAACCAAGCTGTGGTCTTACGACACCCCGTTTACCTGCGAAAACCGGGAAGCTTTGTTGTAGTGCTAACTTGACTTTGTACTCCTCAACTCTGCTACTACCTAAACAATTCACTCCCCTTAACCTATAACACTTGCCATATTCTCTATTCCTTCTACTCTATTCGTACCCGGGTTGATACTACACAATGGTCTTTGCGCGCCGTTCAATCTTCCGCGCTGCGACTGCAGCTCAGTCCTTCCGTGCCGCTCCCGTGGCCCGCCAGTCTGCCCAGCTCCTCGGTCGACGATTCAAGTCTACTAGCGGCAGCTATCAGCATGGGCATAAATCCAGTGACTTGCCTTGGTGAGTTTGTGTGCTTGCTTCCAAGCAATTCGAATCGGTCTCCTAATTTCGTCTGGTTATAGGTTGGCGGCCTCTACTGCTGTGACCGTTCCAATGGTCTTTTACCTCTGGCCTTCCGGTTCGGAGGGACACCACGACGCCCACGGGGACGAACATAAGGACGAGCACGCGAAGGAGGACGGCGAGGTAGAGGAGACTTCTGAGGAGAAGCCTGCTGAGGATTCCTCTGAGGCGGCGTCTAAGAAGGAGGAGAAGACGGACTCGGAGGATAAGGGCGAGGAGAAGAACAAGGAAGAACCTGAGGAGAAGAAGGAAGAACCCGAGGAGAAGAAGGAAGAACCTGAGGAGAAGAAGGAAGAGCCTAAGGAGGAGAAGCCTAAGGATGATGATTCTAAGGAAGACAAGGACGACAAGAAAGATGATTCTAAGGAGGAATAATCGAACAACGAAGAACCTAAGAAGGATGAGTCCAAGGAGGATGCTGGAAAGAGCGAGAACAATGATGACGAGTCAAAGAACTGAAAACGCCTTGCTTCGCCTCCAGCGGCCGCAGAACTAAGCCTGTTGATGATGTGTGATGTCCTTGCCCCATACTATTTATGTGCCTGTACCTCTACTAGATACGAGATATGGGATACCAGTCATGTTAGCGTGTCAAAAAAGGTACAACGATATATGTAGTTTATTGGACCGTTCTGCTGGTCCGTCTAATGTTAATGAAAGCTGGTCATTTATACGACCTCTAACTGACAATAACGGGAAAACAAGAAGAGAGATGAAGACAAGCAAACCAATATATCCACTAAAGTTCTACACACAAATCGGATCACGGAGTATGAGTTCTAACAGCACGTGACACATAAAGCCCTTTGTCCGGGCAGTGTTTGAAAATCGACCTGGGTAATAACCCTGCAGGGTTCAACATATTTTGAATAGAAGGCCTAGGCATAAGTTGTATGTGTATGTGAGGATGGGTGAGTAACACCACATATAAGGCTCAAACAAAAGGGTATGATGTCCTATCTGCAAAGTTCAAACATATTGCTCGCTAGTATTAGGTGAAAATGAATATCAAACCCAAGGAATAGAGATAATTGTGGCTCAGATCTCGGAGTCAATTCTAAATCGCATTCCTGAATAGATATAGATGTGACTCCTTATGCAGGTGAGTAATATACCATGTCTCTCGATCTTAAAAACAGACAAAAGACACAATTCTATCATGGGTAGCACAACAGAAGCTACCAGTGTACTGACTCAAGCGTCAAACTTGTACTTCTCCTCCCGGTCCTAAGAAAAGTCAGCGTATATCCAAAACAACCAAGAACGAAACATACCCAATACTTATTGAACCCAACACCCTCACAAACCTGATCGTAAGTCAAAATCATCGGCGGAGCTCCAACAAGCATACTCTGCTTAAGACCATCCAAAGCAGACCGCACACTCTTAAGATGCGCCGCAACCAACGTCCAAGGGTATGCAACAGCACTATACCCAAGCCCAGCAAGGTCCTTAGCTGACAGGTTCTCCGTCTTTCCACCTTCAATGATATTACCAAAAACGGGAATATCGACTTCCTCCGCACATCGCTTCATCGCCTCCGCATCTGGAAGCGCCTCAACGAATATAGCATCAACACCAAGACGCTTGAACTCTTGTGCACGCGCCATGGCCTCTTCCCAACCATGCATCAAAGCATCAGTACGGGCCAGGATGAAAATATCCTTTCCTTCATTGCGGGCATCGCAGGCAGCTTGAATTCTAGCGAATGCTTCGCCGCGAGAGACGACGCTTTTTCCCTTTGTATGACCACAGCCTGTTAAAGCATCCGCTGTTAGCAAAGGACCATTCCATGAGACGACTTCAATATCCGGAATACTCACGTTTCGGCCATTGCTGGTCCTCAATCATAACACCAGCTGCACCAGCACTAGCAAAGCTCTCAACAGTCCTCTTGACATTCATCGGGCTCCCGTAACCAGTATCACCATCCGCCATAACGGGCACCGAAACCTGGCGCACCGCATCGCGGATCTTATCGCACATCTCGGCCATCGCGATGTATCCTGTATCAGGGAGACCATAGGAGCTGGCGACCGCATAGCCTGCGAGGAAAACTATAGGGAAGCCTGCTTCTTCGACGAGTCGGGAGGAGAGGCCGTCGTAGCTGCAGGCGTGTGCTAGGATCTTGGTTGGGTCATTGTGGGCCTCCAGCATCATTGTTCGAAGGCGGGATGCTTGGAGGGAGGGGTTCTTTCCTCTGACATTTTTCAAAGTCAGGGTCAAGTCTGCTGTCTTTCCATCTGCGGACCCGGTTGTTGTCTCTGGGAGAGAATTGAAGTTGAAGGGGTAGGGGACTGTGCTGGACGACATTGTGAAGATTGGTTTCTTAGATTGATTGGGGATTGAAGTTAAGTTGAAGTGAAGATTGAGATTGAATTGAGTCGCTCGACTGCTTTTAAAGCTGTTTAAATGCGATACGATACCGGACGCGTTTATCGCTTTACATCAGAGCGGGAATTTGACGGATATTGACAACTATCCGCTACCCGAATGAGGATCACCCCAGCCCTTTCCCCCTCAACAAAGAAGTATTCGGATTGGCTACCAAATAACCTGAGGTAAACTCAATAGTTTCCCCAGCTTTATTCGGCCGTATATGCAGAACACCCGCCACTTTTGCGGGGAACCCGGCAGATGTAGCTTCTATCCGCTCTCTTCCCCACGGGGTATGGAGGATTGAGTTGCCGATGTGCCATGTATGCACTTCCATTGTACCGGCTCTGTAGGATGTGTTTATCAAGTGCCGCGCATTGACTGGCAAGGGATGGACCTATTTCAACCTGCGGTTGTCCCCTGTCACTTCTGCTCTCAAGATCAGCAATCACTCCGACTTTTAAACATCTTCAAGATACTGAATACAGCTAGAAATGGCGGAAAAGAATCAATCCGAGCTGTGCCCAAGCTCTCAACATGTGGAGTCTAAAGATCCAGAGAAGCACCAGCCCGACGTGATCTCTCAAGAGCGCCAGTCGGCAATTTGCAGAAAGGTTCATCGTTGCTTCATTACCATATATCTGACGCTTTGCTTACTGTTATCTAGTTTGATCGTCGTGTCTTGCCAATTGTATGTATTCTATACATTCTATCGTACTTGGATCGAGGTAAGCATATCCAACTCGCTCATCTAATCATCTATCTCATTAATGACCAGGAAATATCGGCAACGCCAAGGCTGCCGGACTCGATAAAGATCTTAACCTCAGTGACTACCAATGGTCTTGGGTCTTGTATGCCTTCTATATCTGCTACATCTTGTTCGAGTGGTCTACGGTTTTATGGAAGATTCTCCCAGCACATTCGTACATTGCCTTTCTCTGCATTTGGTAAGTTTTTGAATCCGATCATACGTTCATTTCCATTGCTAATTATGCTGGTTTTAGTTGGGGCGCAGCTGCAATGTGTAGTGGTGCAGTGAATACTTTCGCTCAACTTCTCGTCACTCGGTCCTTGCTGGGTATCTTCGAAGCCGTCTTTGGCAGTGGTGCACCATACTTCCTCTCCTTGTTCTACCAAAGACAAGAATTAGGGCTCAGGGTATCACTACTCCTTGGCATGTCCCCAGTTGCCAATTGCTTTGCCTCTGCTCTTGCCTATGGCATTACCCAAATAAAGGGATCTATAGAGCCATGGCGCTATTTATTTATCATTGGTGAGACATAACCTCCCGTATACTTCCATCTGTACTCAACACTAACTACAAACAGAGGGCGCACCAACGGTTCTCTTCTCACTGGTAGTGTTTTTCTTCCTCCCCGACTCACCAGGCTCAGCATCCTTCCTAGACGAAAGAGAACAAACAGAAGCAGTAGAACGCCTACAAGCATTCGACACAACAGAGAAAAGCAAAGTCCACTGGTCCCAGGTCCTAAGCGGATTATCAGACTATAAAAACTACATCCACATGTCCATCCACTTCTGCTGCAACTACTCTTTCGCGGGACTCTCAAACTTCCTCCCAACAATCATCCAGCATATGGGCTACACATCCATCAACGCCCAAGGTCTATCAGCACCGCCCTACCTCGTCTCCTTCCTCTGCTGCGTAGCAGCCGCCTTTCTCTCAGATAGATGGGGAAACCGAGGAATCCTAATTACATTATTCGCAACGATGGCGACAATCGGGTATCTACTCCTCACATGCGTGAAAGATGAATCAAACACCGCAGCGCGGTATGCGGGTGTTTGGCTAGCGACTTGTGGAATATTTCCTGCTCTCGCTCTCAATATAACTTGGTTGTTGAATAATCAGGGTGGGGAAAGTAAGAAGGGTGCTGGGATGGCTATGCTTGCTATTTTTGGACAGTGTTCTAGTTTGATTAGTAGCTCTGTGTTTCCCGATTCTGATGCGCCGCTTTATACGCTAGGATGTGGGCTTGCGTGCGCCTTTACTGGGTTGATTGTTATCTTGGCTATGGGATTGAGTGTTAAGTTGACTTTGGAGAATCGGAGACGGGATCGGGTTTATGGGGTTGTTGGTGTGGATGAGAGAGTTGATGTTACTGATGTTGGTGATAACCATCCTAACTTTAGGTATCTTACTTGAGGAAGTTTTGGATAGTTCTTTTATGTGCGAGCTACAGGCCGTTATGTTATTTGTTGAATATCATATGCTATTAAAAAGCTTGAAATTCGATACTTACCTGATGCTACATATATTTCATGGCGGTAATTGCCACAAAAAATCCAAATCCAAATCAACACCGTCCAAACGAACTCCAAAATCCCCTTCTGTAGACCCAAAAGGCGCCATAGAAGGATCCAAAGGCAAAGATAACCAGCCATTCATAGTAACATCCGAGAAATCCCCCAGATCCATAGCTGGCATGTTCTCATGTGAATTAGGAGAAGGGAGATAATTTCCGATCCCGGAGTATGAGGATACCAAACTCTCTCGAAGACGCGAGACTTGGACTTGCAAAAGAGCCGCATAGCGGGATTTTAAATGCACATCATCTTGATTGCTATCCTGCAGTGTGACGATAGCCCGATCGAGGATTTGGAGTGCTTCCTGCAGTTTTGAATTTCGTACTCCTAAAGCCAGGGCTTTCATAAGGAATATTGACGCGCTTATTGTTCGGAAGAGTATTCTCATTGGCGAGAAGTGTAGGGACTCACCCAGAAGAGTTATCTTGTCGAGGGTTTGGCAACATCCGTCTATTACTTCTTCGATGAAACCATATTCTCTTACTGTAATGTTTAGCTGTCTTGCGCGCTCGATGAAAGAGAAGTCGATGATTGAATCTCTTTGTGACGGGGGCTGAGTTTGGGCTTGGAGGACTCGTTGCACAATCCTTTGCATTCCGATGGAGTTGGTGAGGATCCGTAGATGTTGATACTCGATGAACAAGGTATCGGTGTAGGGAAAACTCGAGTCTATCTAAAATCAGTAACGAATGTAGATTTTGGCCTTTCAACGTCATACCTGAGATATGGAGATATCGTTGTTTCCAGCTCGCCAACAGAATTTGTTTCCGCTCCAATACAGGGATGAATGTATCCGACAACCCAGTCGAGCTGGAGATATTCATGAGTGGGAAGAGAGTATCCGTGACGGAACTGGTCAACTTCATGAGTTCAATCCATGCATTCATAAACAATAACCAGTCTCTATCAATAGACTGTAAAGATGTTCGCGTTTCAGGCATGGAGATCCCGACGTCAGATGGCACTGGCGAGGTACAACCTATCCGCGAAGATAAAGCATTGATAGACGTGAATAGTAGACTCGGCAGTCGCTGTCGCCGTACCTCGAGATATTCAAGATATCGCTCAGCATCAATACCGACCAGATCATCTTGTCTGGCGAGTCGAGCGCTCGAGTCGAACACACCAAGTTCATGTGCGAGAGCTAATGCTGAGTTGAGGACCATCCAGGACATACGTTCAAACCGCTTTGTGGGTTCAACAACATCTTCCCGCCATCGGGAGGATACTGGGATATCTCCATTTAGAGAAGGCGGGTCTCTGATGTCCGGGTTTGTCATGAGGAAGTCTGAATCCCATCCGTCCGCCTCTGGCGGAAATTGTAATGCTCGTGGATGCCATTCAGACATAAGTAGTAATGCTTCAATGCTTCCTATCGTGCGTGTTTTTGCTTTGGAGATTTTCTCCTGCCCGAGAGTAATCCGAAGAAGCAAGTGTTGGCAATGTTGCCATAGGCGGTGATGAATGAAGAATGAGCGAGAATATCCGCCCACTCCGGGAAGAGTATGGTATCGAGAGGAAATCATGAGTATAGTGTAGCAGAGCACTGGTTCCTGGGTTACTAGATAGTATTGATTTTTATGCGCGGCGAAAAAGTCTGTGAGGACAGGCGATAAGGGTGCCATGTTTTCGAAGAATCTGATTATTTTAATGTCAATATAGCAGTCCAAGCATCTGATAGAGGGCATAGCATACAGGTCTATTAAAACCACTGCTTCCTGGGCAGAGAACCATCCCATTTTCACAAATCGACATGCATTCCAAATGCGGAGGACATCGGCGTCGGTCAGCTCGGGGGCTATCGATCGTGAATTATCTGTCGTTGACATGTTTTTAGAGGGATCATTCGATTCCTGAAGTGCAGCCTCGAACAGAATATTCATTGCGTCGTTGTTATTCGAAACCACTGTCTGCAGTACTGATGTGGAGAGACCGTCTTGATTGACCGGCGCATCTAAATGATAGTCTGCAAGATGAGCTGGATTAGCTGCCATTAAGCTCCTCCACCTTTTGTATAGAGCACTTGCCATTGGTCTCGTTGTTTTCTTCTTCAGTTCTTCGGGTAGTTCTCCGTGATCTATACAAGTCAATTCCACTCAATTTTCAGACTCAAGGGCAAACACACTTATTAGACCCATCTCTTTCTGTATTTTCCTGGGTTTGTGTCTCAGGAGAATCCTTTTCGTCTCTTGACCAGGGCTTCTTCGAAGTAAAAGTGCAATTGATGTTCTTCTTGATGCACCTGCTACATCTTACATCGTCGCCAGCCTCGCACTTTACTTTGCGTCGAGCACATGGAATGCAAGCCTTGTATGTCCGCTGATACTCATATTCGAGAGACCCTCTCCCTCTTTTCCTTGCGCGGTCCATGAATGCTACCCGGGGCAGCGATGCAAGACTTGAGAAGCGGAGAAGGCGGGAATTTGACCGAATACCCGCGCTCGGATATTTCACTTTCCCCGCACTATGACTTCTTGGCTGGTTTATACAGAAGCACAATGGTTGGCCAGTTATATGACCTCTATACTTAACGATATAGGGCTGGATAGTCCGAATATCGAATCCTTTTTAATATGATATTGTCAAATTCATAGTCTAGAACTTAGCTTCTTCAACCTTTCGATCAATCTCACATTCCACCATGCACCTAGACGTCTCTGTAGACCTCTCTCCTGAAGGCAGTATAGACGTTATAATTACAATTCTATTACGACACCTTTTTAGTATTGTTTGAGATAACTAGTTACCTTTTCAGCTGCATTTTAAGGATAAGTAGTCGCTAACTAGAATATGTTGTCCGCCGTACTCTTGTCGCTCTTTTAAAATGTTCATTAACAAGAGCAGATTTTAGAACATAAAGGAGAAAGAAGAGTAAGCAATATCACTATATTAATCTAACAAAGGAGATTAGAGGAAAAAGAGAGACAGAAAGGAGCAAGCCATCTCAAGTAAGTCCTACACAAACTACTCCACGTGACACACGAAGCCCTTTTTTCGGGCAGTATTTGACCATCGCCCTCGGCATACTTAAATCATGGTACGGCGTCTTGAATAAACAACGCTATCTCTTTCCAAGCTCCCACTCTGACTGGTTGAAAGTTGAGCTAATTGGGGCTCTCATTAATCCCCTGTAGCACATAAGCAGTCGCAAAGTGCTTCTATGGACCCCCGTCTATTTTTTGCATGCTGACAATTGGAGCTATGGAGTAGGTGGGCAGGGCTGGAGTGCTTCGACATCTATCGTTTAGGTGTGGACCACTAGTTTACCCTACATACATACACATGGCAGAGCTCCTACTAGAGGAAGAATAAGAGTTCACAACATAATCTCGGAGATGGTTGAAGGCCTAACTCTGTAATAGTGACATCTGCAACAAACCACAAATCATGGATACATCGAGGAACGCCATTGCGGACCAAGACAGAAATTATCGGAAACAAGAAGTAGGAGGCTCGAACACGACGCAAGGACTCCCATGGCCCCAGCTAGACACCAGAGAACCTCGACGAACATCCCAATAGGCTTAGGGAGATGGAGGAGGGTACCAAATTGGACTCATTCCATCCATGCCAAGGCTTTCAATCACAATGTCCAGGGGAACCAGTCCATCTCCCTCCCCCTCGAGGAAGCTAACCCAATTAAAAGCACTTCCACGACGATCGATCAAGCCCCAAATCCCCCGGATCAAGTTCCACTGTTCGTCGATGTTCTTAGATTCATAGAAGCCCACCCGCTCCCACCATCGGCTCCATGCCTGGCGGCTGGTTAAAGCATTGCAAGAGGCCACAAAGGCTGGCCAGGTGATAGGTTCATCTCTCAGTTCGATGTCAGGTTCGATTAAGATTTTGATATCTTCCACTCTGTCGAGGCATTCCAGTATGGCATCAATGCCAATAACACCGCCAGCACCAGCACTACACTCTTTGTTGATGCAGTTTTCGTAGAAGATGTGGGTGCCGATGTGCCACGCGACCGAGAGATTTGTGTCGATTACAGTTTCTGCCTCGCTGCCGCCGAAGAGATTAACAGGAAGTGTTGTGTTTGGCACTCTGTGTGCTAATTGGTGTTCAATCATCTCAATTGGTCTTCTGTGGCGTATCCGAGCTCGCGTTCCCTCGTCTGGGTCCTCTGGAATTGCTCGGCCGATAACACTAATCTGCTGAATTGTAGATTCGAGGATGGGCTCGAGGCCTTTCGTGGATCCGAACGGCATGATGGAGTCGGCGGAGGTATGGTGGTAATTTAGAGACTGGTAGGATTTCGGACCAAAGCAGGAAGAGCGGAATTTTGATGGGATGAGAGTCGGTTGTAAACGAAGAAGATACTCATTCTAAGACGATGTAGTATTCGGAATTTTCAAGTCCTATTCGTTGCCTGCGCTTAGTCGGCCTATGTGACGCCCATCGTGACATCAAATCGCTGATCTCGGCGAGGGGCCCAATACACTCGTCTATTCCCCGGTATTCAACATGGCCACCACTGACGGGATTCCGGCTGTCAATGTTAACAGCTACAACTACATCGTTATTGCCGGCGGTGCAGAAAATCACTAATGAACGATTCTATCAAACTGTGACTATAAAGATCTAGAAACTATAGAACAAAGACCATTTTTGTTTGTTCATGTCATTTTGAATACTACATATGTATAACATCTATATCCAACTAAAGCCTACGTGAGTCGTGAGTCGTGAGTTTTTCTAGGAATTTAAAAAAGCTATTCAAAGGGAGGATTGTAAAGAAAATAAGCAATTGAATTCAACTTTGATAAGAGCATTGATGCTGGTACTTGGGTAACACAACCCAGATATTGAGACACGAAGAATGAAAATCAACGACAGGAAACCCTCAAGCGAATCAGCCGAATCCACAAAGGAGGATTGAATCGTATGGCTATGTTCAATAAAATCCAAACGCTTCAAATACAGTCGACAAATGCATGGGGACTGCGGCGGGCCCTTGCAAAATTTCCACCCAGCTCAAATCGGGCTCCCCATCCACCTGTGTCTCGTCCATGATCTGCCAAATGACCTTGATAGTCATCCATGTTGCGTTGACGTTCAAAAGGTCATATTGCTGAACCCAGCGCCACCAATACATCCAAGGGCGGCGGTCAACGGCGTTGCAGGAAGCCACAAAAGCGGGGAAGGTGGCCGGTTCATCTCTGTACATCAAATCGGGTTCCACCAGTGTCTTGAGCTCTTCGGCGCGGAGAAGACACATCAAGATAGTATTGACAGCGAAGGAGACGTCATTGATAAAGCTGTTGTTGATTCGGTTGTGGAAATAAACGCAGGCCGAGAGATGCCAGGCGACTTCGAGGTTGTTGTCAATTATGGCTTGCGGGCCCAAGCCGGAATCAAGGAAGAGTGGGATATCATCAGCGGGTCCAAAGTTCTGCAGTTGGGAGGACAATGAATCAATTGCTACGACGAGGAGCTCCGGCAGTGGAATATTGGCCAATTCATAATCCTCGATTGCTTCTACCAACTTCTCGGTTTGGACGATGGCAAATTGGGTGAGATGGGCGGAGCCATCCAGCGCACCAAATGGTCGGTTGAGTGGCATGGCGACTACTTAGAGCAGTGGCCACACGACAAAGAAGGGAGGAAATGTCGCATTAAAGCGTATGTGAAGCGTGATGTGCGCCGTAAGTGTGGTGATCGGTAAAGAAGGGAAGATCAAGCTCGGAGAGGAAGACATGGCATTTATAACTTTCTGGAACGAGAGATGTAACTGCTATTCGTATATTGGCATTCGTGTACTGTCATTTGCAGGCTACCATTTGCATATTATGTATCATTCTAGTATTACATCGATGCCTAAACGATGTTACTCGAATACATCAATATCTACATATCTATGCCCTGGATTGATAGGCATCGAAGTGGGCTGTTGGTATGCTTTTTGTAAAAGGTAAGACAAAGAATAAGAGAAAGCGATCAACTTATTAACAGCAACAGTAAGGATCCAAGTGATACAAGAACAGATAATGCATTATAGTTGGTAGCGTTCACTGCACATCTGGTTGAGATTATCGTATGTAGTCAATAGGGAATTGGCTCCATTTAGAGTTGTGAGCAAGAGAATGAAAGAAAGGCTGATCCTTTAGAGGCAAATAATCCCTTTCAAAAAGTTTATCAAAACAAAAATATTGAGATAAGGTGGGAACATAGTTGCAAGTGAGGCTATAAAGGTAAGGTTGCTTTTCTGGGATGGGGGTTAAAATTCAATGTTCTACCGTCCGATGAATTTGTAGATTTTGTATCGAGACCACTACATATACATACATAGGATCAAACAAAGTATACCTAAGATCCGAGGTACGACATAAGCGAGACATGGAAGCTGTATCTTGGTGGGAGCGAGACGCCAATTCACTTGTGTTTTTCTTTCTCTCTTACTACCTTAAAACTTCATCAAACCTGGTTATTCGTTATCGTTCTGGCCATTGCCCTTATCGAGATCATCGCTATCCTTGATGTTGTTTCCCGTCTGATTCATCCCAGGATGGGGGATAAACGGTAAGATTCACCTCTCTCTATCTTGGATGAATTCCATTACTCACGATATTCGAATTGCAGGGAAAGCTACGACCCCAAATACCGCTCTGGTTCACGAATGCGAGTCATGGAGGCGGGAAGATTCAAGTCTTTCCTCAAATACTTGAATGCTGTGGCTCGCCATTATCCGACGCTCTAATACTGTGCCCTGATATAACCAGTGGGAAAGAGTCTTGCGCAAGACTAAAGCAAATTCCCTATAGTACTCTGAGCGTCTTACGCGAGTAACCTCCGTGGGCAAACCAAAACAAAGAAGCTCAGGCCCTTCGCACAAGCGCAAGCATGACCTCACCTCGGTTCCAAATCGGGATAACCCCACTCGCCCCGTGGTAGATAGAGCATTCGCCATCGGTCTTCCCGAGCCGCCTCCCCCTTCTAATATAACCTCTGCTACCCTCGGCCTCATTTGGTCCCAACAATCTCCTCCTCGCGTGACCGGTCTGGCCTCGAGGCATTTGAATGCTTTGAGGCCCACGCGCGAAAACTTGGAAATCTACTATGTCTTCATACGGAGAACAGGAAAACTACCAAGCCGGACAAGGCAGATATGTCCCCGGACGCTTCTGTGAAATGTTTGCGCTCGAGTTGGTCTAATCGACGACCAAGATGAACAGCAGAATTGCGAATTCCAGAATCAACGCAATCAAAGCTTCCCAATCATGGGGCTCCCAGTAATGTGTCGCCGTTTCCGATTGCCCATCATTTGAGCCGGTTTTCTTTTTTTTCATCCCAACATTGCTTTCTGCACCCTGGTCTATCTCAGAGATTGTGGCAACCTTTTCCTTTCACGTCGCAGAGAAGCCAGGTGGAATTGGGACCCAAGCCAATACACAGTTTCTATCAATATAACAATGTTCTCATTTTGTTTGACCCATATTCAGAGTAAATTCAGTAGGAGATGACTAGTACAACTCTCACTAATGATGTTTAGATGATAGATAATCGAGATTGGGTAGAAATGGTGTAGATATTGCTTTTTGGCTCGAGGGTAAGGAAGCAGGTATACATTATCTGTATTCTCTCAGAATCATCCACCGTCCTATCGCCCTATCTGATACTATGTCGCTGGGAGTATATATATGTATTCCTTTCAAAAAAAAAAAAAAAAAAAGCTGAATTGATTACACTATGTATGATTGGGAGGTTTCTTTGAGGATTTCATATGTGTCTGCTAACATGTCATACATGGGCCGAAAGAAAGACATCAAAAGCGATAACTAGTATATAGTGTGTTAGAAAAAACAGATATGAAGCACATGAATGGCAATACAACATTAACAGACTGTCATCCAGTAAAAATTACTTAGTTCATATGCTCGTCAAAAACAAGCGCCGGCGCCCGCTCTTCTAAGGGGCTATCTAACAGGCACACCCAATGCACCGGACTCAGACCCAGCTTCAACAAATACATTAACAGCATATCAACACATCCAGAGGATCATCTGGAAACCCACCCGATCCAAAAGTATAACTATAACACGGTGAAGATCCCCGGCTTTGATGCCTGGGTAATCGATTGAATGGTAGTCGATTAAATGGTAATCGATCCAACTCAGACAAAAGTACTCGGCTTACGCCTTTCTGCTGCGAGTCCGAGGACCCTGCTGTTCAGCGACAGGTTCGCCGTTGAGTAGAACCTGGGGCGCGTGGTTCTCCTTGCCGGTCTGGTCTGCGCCGGTAGTAATTGCCTTGTTCGCATTGAGAGACTCTAGCTCTTCGTCTTCCTCTTCATCTTCACTGCGCTCGTCTTTTGTGACATTGGTGAAGATGTAGTTGGACAGGATGCGCAAGATCAGGAACAGCCAGAACAGGTTGACAGCCTGCAGACTGGCAAGCAGTGAAAAGGTGATATACTGACTGATCCAGCACTTGTACTGCTGTGTCTCCCAGTTCAGCTCGAATGGTCCAACAGTGCGGAACTCGGTCAGAACAGCCCAGAGGATCTTCAGGTTCAGCACATGACGAAGGTAAATCCACCATCCAACAAACATGGCAAAGTAGGGCGCGGTGATATACGCATCCAGGTAATTGAGCGTCTTGGAAGTGGCCAAAAAGAAGTCAGAGATATCGTGCGTGATATACACCGCCAAGCCCATGTACGTGAAGTGGAAGCGGTAGCTCAGCCCGATAAGAGCAAGCGTGATAATATGGTGACCGACAAGCTCCTTGAAGTCCTTACGAGGCTTCTCCAACTGCAGCATCAACACAATCGCCTGTTGGGCCCAGTAACTCGCCTCGAGCAGGTAGTACGCCTTGAAGAGACCCTCGTGCTCGCGGTGCGGGAAGCCCTCAAACATCGCAGTCGTGTTGAAATACCAGATAGTCGACCGCTTCATCACGTACAGACCAAACGGCCCGAACACACCGAAGTAAACTGCCGTATACGCCTGCTCCATGAACCGCGCTGTCTTCCCCTTCCCGCGGATACCGCACCACACGGCAAACGGCCGGATCATCTGCTGCATGATGAATTCGCGCGTGAACGACAGCACGATCGTGTAGAATGCCACAAACGCAATGTCCTTCTTGCCCTTGCCGTACATTATGGGTCCGCCGGGAGTATTCGGGGGCTGCGGGTAGGAGAGGAAGATGGCGCTGTGCATTGGGTTCGAGGTTGTGGGGTTGATGGCGTACAGCGCGATCAGGAACAGCATTACGATAAGCGGCAGGAGCCAGGTGTATCGCAGACAGGTATCGGCGAAGCGGTGGAGGAGGGAGCGGCTGCGACGCCGTTTGGACTGGGCCTTGCTGGCCTGTTTGTGTGCGCCATCGAATTGCTGGCAGAATCGTGGATTAGTATGGGGATCGGAATGCGCGGGGGAGAATTTTCAACGCGTACCTTCAGATCTGGTGATGTTGGCTCGATCGGACTCACTTCGTTCATTGTGGACATCGCTGGTGCGCTGGTGTCACCTCGGATGTCCACGCCCAAGGCTGAGCTTCTCCGCGGGCGAACCATGAAGATTATAGGAAACTCGAGCTTCGTACACTTTTCAGACTCGGAGGGTTCGAGCTCACGTGCTCCAATGGAAATAGATGGATGGAGGGGATAGAGGTAATGAGAAGAGAAATTCGATGTTCATAACCGGAACGATCGGATAAAGAGGATCACTGAAAGGTGATCATCCATTTTTTTTTCCAGGGGTGAACTCCACCCCCCGTCGACCAGACAGCTTCGCAGCTCCGATCGGGAAGTCTTGGCGTTTTCTTGTCCTTTGTATGAGCTTTTCGTATTGGACAACTCCCTTTTCGCAAGGTCCTATATACACCCTGGGCTGATTTTGAATCTGTCTACGACTGCCAATCAGATCAACGCTTGCGAGACTTCTGTGGACAACGAGGTACCAATTTTGCGATTTAGACACGTTTACGATCCTACAGTTCCGAATACGAGCAGATTGAATATTCGGAGAAACTGTTGATGAGACTAAATTCGTGGGTATATGAAATTTGTTGAATTGTATTACATGACATCATATCGACATTGACCATGTCTAACCCAGGAGAGAAAAGCAAAAGAAAAAAAAAACATTATAACGGAGCCATCTAACCAACCATTTTATACACACTCAACACCTATGCATCGACAACCTCAGTGTGGGCAGCAGCACGCTTCTCAGCACCAGCCAGCTTCTCACCAAGAATCTCAACATCACCCGACTCAGCAGCGATAGTGCGCTTAGTATCGTGGGTAGTCTTCCAGGCCGGCGTACCGATGTAAGGGATACCGTTGGGATCCTCGAAGATCTGCTCAGTTTCCTCCAGAGTCTTACCAGCAGTCTCAGGGAACAAGAAGAAGACGTGAATGGTCATGGCGACCAAGAAAACACCGAAGATGATATAAGTCTGCCAGCGGATGGTGGCGAAGGCAGTGGGCACGAACAGACCAAGCGCCGTGTTGAATGCCCAGTTGAAAGAGGTTGCCAAAGCAACGGCCTTACCACGCACGCGCAGAGGGTACAGCTCGGGAGGGTACACCCACGACACGGGACCCCAGGTCGGGGCGTACGACGCCACGAACAGGTACGTGCATGCAATCAGTCCCTTGGCAGGGGCGCCACTGAGAAGCATTGACGCCTCGGCCACACCGTCAATACCGCCGGGCACAATCACACCGTACTTGGCCATGATACCCGCGTTGGCGAACATCCAGGTCATCATGAGGATAGCGCCGATAAGGAGAGTAGGACGACGGCCCCAACGGTCAACCCAGATCAGAGCGGGCACGGTCATGACCACGTTGATGATGTACTGGATGGAGGAAGCGAGGAGGGTGGCATCGCCCTTGTATCCGGCCATGGTGAAGACGTATGTGATGTAGTACATCATGACGTTCATACCGGTCAGTTGGGACCAGATTTGCGTCCAGATTCCGGTCAAGGTGCGGTGGATCATCCGGGGCTTGAACAGTTCTAAGTAGGTGACATCCTTGTTCTCGCGCTCGAACTCGCAAATGTCGCGGATCTCTTGCATCTCGGCCAGAACGAAGGGGCTGTTCATGTCACCCTTGCCGTGGACTAGGGCTAGCACCGACTGGCACTCCTCCCAGCGGTCCTTGCGGGCCAACCAGCGAGGGGACTCGGGGAGGATCATCATTCCGAAGAAGAGGAGGACGGCGGGGACGGCCTGCACACCCCAGGGGATACGGAAGACAGACTCGCTGTAGTTGTGGGAGGTGGAGTTGTTGCCATGTCCGATGAACGAGCAACCGAAGGAGATACTATGAAACAAAAGAGTCAGCTACTGATTCACTTTTCGAATGTCAAACTAGGTGTGTGCCACATACTAGTACATGATCAAAATACCCCAGGTGATGGCCCACTGCTGGGAGCCGACGAGACGACCACGCTTGGAGGGAGGAGCAAGCTCCGAGATATAGACAGGAACCTGAGCGGACTCAATTCCGACACTGAGACCGTTGATGACACGTCCAGCAATAAGCATACCCATGTTCTGCGAAGCGCAGACAATAACGGAGCCAATAACCCTAACAGAAAGTTAGCCACAACGGTCCAACATCAACTCCACCCCAACCATGCAATCACTTACCAAATGACACAACCAACCATAATAGCATACTTGCGACCAAGACGATCCGAAATGAAACCAGAGATAAGAGCACCGAGCCAAGAACCGCCGGGCATGGCAGCGGTAACACCACCCTGAGCCAGGGAGCTGAGACCACTACATATGTCGTCGTCGTTGAATGGAGGGCCCCGAGGACCGTGATTGAAATAACACTTATAGGCCGGCGTGCCGATAATAGCGGACATGGACGAGATATCGAAACCGAACAGTGCACCGCCAATGACGGACACCGCCGTGATGGCGTATAGATTTCCCACGACAAACATGATGACTATTAAACCCAAGCCAGGGGAAAATGGAGGCAAAAGAGAGAGAAAACTACAACAAACCGAAAAGGAACGAGGAAAAACCTCCCTGCTTAAATAGATCGCATGCCGAGAAAATCCTTCTCTACAGTAAGAGAATGCACGACTAATAAAATCCACCCGGATAGAGGTATTGTTCCGTTCTGTTTTCCTCCTGCATCCCCACTGGCTGTCCCGTGTTTGGGATATCCGGGGAGAGAAAGTAGTGTAAAATATGTGACCATCTGTAAACAATAATAATAAAATTTGGGCGAGATATAATACTGTAGAGTTACAATAGAACTATGCCAAGACACCGCTTGCAACCCCAGCTACCTCTACGCACTCTGATTGGTGGAATCCAGATTATGCTTACCCACCCGCTCTATTGTGATTGGTGGACACCCCGGCAAAGACTGGGATCCGGGGAATCGGCCACGAGCTCACAAAATTCCCAGCCGAAGAAGGCCAAGCGCGGTAATTGAGAAATTTCCCCGAACCCGGAAGCAGAAGCCGTCTTCGGGTGATGAAAGAGTCGGCTGACTTCCCCTGCAATCGGCACCTGTGGACGGCAGTGGCGTTTTCGGGCAGTAGAATATAAAGATAAAGACATACCTCTGGAGAAAAAATGTGGTTCTTGTAAATCAAAAAAGGGTCAAAGTCCATATGTACGATTTTCCGGATATCCCCAGACCAACCCACAAAAAGGTTCCTGGGGCACTAATCATTTCCCTGTCAAGAAACAGGTCTCAGTTGCATGAGCAGCAACCACTTCACAGGCAACTTGTACCAGGTATTCCGTAATCTTACTGTATTTTTTTTTTGCAATTTAGCCGGAGTGTCCACATCGCTACTTAAGAAACGAATGAAATGAACGTGCTTTCAACCGGCGACCCAGCACATAATAGTCCGGGGCCCCAACTACGGCCATTTTCCCAGAACGGGACGGTACACGGCTTCTCGCGGACTTCAGTGGCTGCCGCTCGCCGAAGTGGACTCGGCTTGAACTCGGCCTGCGGTGGTTTTTTTCCTTTTCTGGACTGGTGTAGGCAATTATTGTGTCTTGTTGTTTTTTTTGGTTTTTTTGAACATAGTTCGCTTGCACGCTGTAAAGTTAGATTGTGTTTCAGGTCTTCGGACTATGTACCTGGTCTTGTCACTGGCTATTGAAGTGGATCGATAATTCCCACGTTATTACGTTGTACGGAGCACACAGATACTCATCTAGATTTTCGAGTCCATTCTCATGTCCGATGTGACATTCCCCGCGTGGGAAAGATGCGGAGTTCGTATGCGGAGGACTGGGGAAATCCCAATTGCGCTCACCGAAACCAAGTTCCCCCATAGTTTTGTTCTCTGTGGCCTGATACTTAGCGCGGATGATCTCTCATATGTTTTAGCTTTGGCTTTTATTCTCAAGCCACTGACATCGATGGTGCAGGCCGTTACTATCCGCCCCTTGTTATTGCACGGACCATGGTAATCTAGTTAAAGTCCATTCCAAGAATTGCCGTGTATATTGTATGTCATATTCTTACTCCATACTCCATCCTCCATCCTCCGTACGGAGTACTCCGTATATAGACAGGATAATGTCGGACTGGTGGGGGCCCTTCCTATCTGGCCTATCGTCGCTTTATAAAGGCGCTCAGGCTCATCTGAACAGGATCACCGAGTAGACGTCAGCACGGACTCAGATTCAATGATCCGAGGCTCTTCCCAAAGAGGAATTGTGTCTAATTTGAGATTTAAGTCTCGACTAGTAACACCTCTAGCACGCCCTTTGATACCGACCAGGCCGTCAATTACTATACCTCACACGGAGTAGTAGCAAACAAGATCGTCATAGGAATGCTGCTTTACAGTCGCTCGTTTGTGAATACCGATAGGCCTGGTTCGTCTTATAGCGGCGTCGGCAGCGGCAGCTGGGAGAAAGGTGTATGGGACTACAAGGCGCTGCCCCAGGCTGGGGCAAGTGTCAGCTACCTCGACCAACCCATGGCTAGCTACAGCTACGATACATCGCAAATAATGATAATAACCTATGATACACCCCAGGTTGCGCAGAAGAAGGCGGAGTATATTATGTCAAGGGGCCTGGGCGGCGGAATGTGGTGGGAGAGCAGCAGTGACAAGAAAGTCTCTGGTAGCTTGATCACGACAGTATGTGCCCTAGTCAGCTATTTATCTTTTTGTTGGGTCGTCACTTACCAAATCATTTTCTAACTGGATATTTACCCGTAGGTTGTTAATAACTTCGGTGGCGTTGGGGCTCTCGAGAAAGTCGATAACGAGCTGAGATACCCATCTTCCTCTTATGATAACCTAAAGGCTGGATTCCCTTCCAGTTAAGAGGCGGTTTCTGACTCAGCTAAGAGAACACACGATTAACAGACAGTGTCTATTATATTAAGCCTCACAAAGCCGAGATACTCGATCTTCTCCAAAAAAAACCACCCATATTTACCTTAAGGTAAACGTGAAGCGGTGACGCAGGTAGTGGTAAAGGTGAAGAGTAGAGGATAGAAGAAAATGCATTTATCGCCAGGTCCGGGGGGTACATGATATTTTTTATGGTGGGAATAGCTTCATTTTATTGGACTTAGGCACTTTGGGTACTTTGCTTAATAAGACACCTGTCATTGTAATTCAGGTATTTTAATTTCTGCCTGTTTAAAATAAAGCACCAATAAGGCATTTTCAGGCATAAACTAGGTCAAAAAGTGCATTGGGACATTGGCCGTTATGCCCCTTCGCACTTAGTGCTATCCAAATACAGTACGTCCCGAAACGGGTGCAACAGCCCCCACTCTTCGCGTGATTTTCTGGCCGCAATGCCAAGATACCCTACCATTGTAGGGATAACTCCATAAATCATTATTCCTGGAGCAGCAGTCTTCATACCAGGTTTTACATTTATTGAAATACGGTGCCTTGTCTCGTAACTGTACTGGCATCCGCCTCCAGCGGCCTAGCTACAGGTAGGCGAGCATTGCCTAGCAAAGGGTTTTAGCGGCGCGAAACGTTATGCGCTAATTGACGGCATCCTATGCCTACGATTGTTGCGCCGTTAATGTTTTCACAGAGCACCGGCAAGGACCCTAGAATCAAGCGTTACAAGAAGTGACCAGCAAGCAGATATTCAAGATATACCCAAAAACGACCAGTTTTACCCTTAAAAGGAGAAAAGGGCGTTTTAATCTTGGCCCTGGGACCCTAGATGCTTAGGATGCTTAGGCCATCTTGCCACACTGGGAGGCGAGTTAATAGAAACAATTGAAAAAAATCGCGGTGCTGGAAGGCTACTCCAGAAGTGGGATAGACTGCGGCTCACAAGAAACTTGGGTACTTGTGCTAACCAAACCACAGGGTGGTGGTCCTTTCTCCGAACTGAACTAATTCCTTATCGGACTCGTAATGGCGGAGAATACGAGGTCCATCCTGTCTAGGTCCTTGGCGCCTTAGTTCTCCCACCCCCTCTGCCGTCCCCCGTCCCCTAGGACACGATAGTCGATCAGTCTACGGAGTACAACATTATACATTTCATGCAGTAGGACCCTGGAAAAAGCCGGGCAATATGTTGCTCTGCCAGCCTATATTTCTAATTTTTGCATTCCTGTCGATTCCCGCTGGGGTTCTATCCCGCAAAGGCAACGGCGATTCTAGCAGCGATAGCGGGACCAGCAGCGACAGCGACGACTCCTCATCCAGCGGCGGCACCTATGTCTGCTCGGATGACCACAAACTCACAACCACCGGCCTCCAGCCGAGCTATTACCTCAATTACACAATGGTCGCTGGCGACCCTGGCGCGTACACGGACTGGGACGGACTGTACTTTCAAGGCGAAGCTTCCTTTGACTACGTGATTCGCGATCTGCCGACCAACAACACCTACTCTGGAACCAATTGTCCCAAGGACCATCGCTCGATTCGTATGTTAGGCATCGCATGGGTCGGGCCGAGAACGCCTACTCCGCCAGACCTTCACAATCCCTTTACACTAGGCTTCCAGGCCTGGCAGTCTGACAACTCCATCGCCAACATCACCAATTCCTACAGCTCCTGCGATACGGATGTGAATCTCGTCCATCTCAAGACAACCGTCGACTGGCGCGAGTACGTCCACGAGACGAATAGGGATGTCGAGGGGGCCATCGATGCCGTGGTCCTTAATGTCACCCAGGCCGGCAATGACAGCCACGAGGCCCAATTTGTAGGGGTCTATGACGTGTCGAGTCTGAGGTCGGCCCAGACAATCTTTGCGAGTGACGGCGCGCATAAAGATCAGATCCATATCCCTGCGGAAACCTGCAGTATGATGGGTGACATATTGATCGGATGGCCGGCGGGGACTATGATCAACGGGACAATGACCAACAACACGCTAAAAATGTCCATCTCGGGGACGACGATAGCTAGCTTCGGTGACCTAAACGGATCCCATGACGAACAGGTGAACGTGGATTTCAGCATCGCCTTTATGGGAACGTACGACTCGGCCAACTCATCGCAGGTTCTCTACATTGGAGCGAGCGATCAGTCGCTTGTGAGCTTCGAGAAGGCAACCAGCGGTGCGGTAGCCTGGGCATCTCCGCGATGGCTGCTCGCACTGTCATTAATGATGGCCACCGGAATGGCGTATATATAGAGGCTCGGCGCTGCTGTATTTGGGACTTAGGGACTCAAGCACATGCATCTGATTATATGGCCGGGCGCCCGATTGCTTTCTACTCCCCCTTTGCAATCACTAAATAAAATTGAGTTTGCTTCCCAATTCCCCCATCCACTCACTGGGCTTCCACTGAGCAACCGTGGAACATCTATCCGTGCTTGAACGTATACCTTATTCTAAAACTATAGAGAGATTAAGCCAATCCAATCTCGTGTAGCCCTAGCATTTGTAACTGTTTCCTCTTATTCTGATCCCTCTCTATCTCATTTCTTCTCACACAGCCCAATTTCTTTCTGCTCGTACAGATCGCTCAGGAAGATCCCATTGCTTGCTAGTGTTCATCGGGCGACTACTCACTGATACTGTGACATTTACTCGTCCCTAGCGGTCAAAATGAGCCTCGATAGACTTATCCTTTGATGAAGGAGGCAGTATGATACTTACAGACCAAGACAAGCAGGCTTCTTGTACTGTGTTTCTCGAACATCCACTAATCGACCATCTTCCACCTGTCCTAGTTGAGATTGATTAATCCTCTCACGCAAAGTCATTGAATGCACCTTCAATACAGTTCGGTTTATCACAAGGCCAAAAGAGGATCCAGTTTCAAGACGAGCATGAGGAAACAGGAAACGAACCATACGGATAATGTAAGAAATGTGAAAATTATACCATGTCCTCGGGATTGGGTGAAGAGCAAATTACTATAAAGCCATTTGCGGTCTGGGTAACCAGGTAACCAGGGGCGGGGACATACGAGGGTGTCCATTCCTGTAGATTACGCACTTCAGTTCGGTAAACATCATCATCGTTGGAAGGAGCGTAAGTTATCCCCCCAAGGCAGAAGATGCCTGTTGTTATTACTTTCTAGCGATATGCGAGCTGACTACGGAGTGGTGAAGTAACATCTGTAAAATGGGCCCAACCTAGCGCCAGATGATATCGAAAGTGTCGCAATGTGGAGAAAGTAGTACGGGTGGGAAGAGGGTCCTACTGAAAACTGTCTTGGTGGCTTTTATACTTTTAGACTACCTAGGTAAGCTTGCGGCTTTCCGTCTATCTCATTGGTGTACTGATCGAATTCCCCAAAGTCCTTCCGAGGCCATCCTTTCTTTTACATAAAGCACTGGTGTCGAATGGAATCAGTTCCTTGATGGAACCTCCTTGGCCAGAGCCACTACCCGAGGCCCCTTCGTTCCCTCAATCCCCACACCACAACGTGAAGTCTCTTTTCCCACATCTCGACCATCTATTCAGCCATCGCAACTCGAGCTGTTTTTTTTCTTTTCAGCGCCAGCTACTGATTGCCATAACGCCTCTTCGCCTTGCCCAAAATGACATCTACCACTAGGTCCGTGCCGGAGTTGGTGATGTCGCATGCTGCTTCACCTGTGAAACCGAGGTCCCGTTGAGGGTAACAGCATCGCATTGAAGAGCCATCGAAAGTTAAAGTACAAAGAGATGACTGCTCGTGGTAGATCATTTGTCAAGATCTAAAGGCCATTTGTGGAAAACCCAGATAGTTACATTCCGGGCTCAACACCCTCACAATTAATATACAGAGCACCGCTCCCGACTTCATTATGTACATGAACGCGACTTCATCAAAATTCCAAGCTCCTATACCCGTGGAACACACGGCTCTCAACCTCGACAGACGCTGGTATCAGAGAGCATGGTGATCCACTTCCGCCCCAATAGAACTTCAATTGTTCTCCGGGTTCTTGGGATCATATTTCCAGCGGCGGTGGTTCTCCTTAACCCACCACTTGGCGACATGAGCCGCCTCGCTGAGCCACTTTACAGCCTCAGGTCCATGCTCCTTCCGCACGACGTCGATCAAAAACAGGAGTTGGTGATCTTCCTGAGGATTAAGCTCGAATGGATCGGCGAGGACATCGGTGAATCGCCACTTAGCGTCGGGTTTAAGAGGCACGACCAAGCGGTACGGCTGCGCAGCAGCTCGCATGCAGAACCATGTTCCGCCAGGGTTCATCGTGGAGAAATGCCATTCTTGCTTGCCGTTGTGCTCGGGGATAAGTTCGCGTATCATCGACTGGCCCTCGTACATAGGGAGCAGATCTCTAATGATCTTATTCGACTGCTCGTCAATAGAGGAGGTTTCGACGAGGAGATCGAGGATCGTGGGGAGAATTTGGGTGGAAAGGACAGCATTATTGACTTCGATCTGGGGAAGCTTAGGGTGCGAGAAGAATAGCGGCACGTGGAAATTGCCGACGTGGGGGGAATGCCAGGCGGTTATACCACCGTCGTTTGGAAGGGATAGACCGCTAGATTAAGTTAGAGGCTGGAGGGACTGCGAGATATAGGTAGAACTTACTGGTCACCAGTCATCACAAGAAGGGTCTCGTCGGCAATGCCGGCATCATCGAGAAGCTTTAAGATATCGGCTATCCACTCATCCTGGTAGGCTATGGTATTTAGGTATCGATTCAACCTCTCGTTCCGTTCAGTCGACAAATCCCCCATCATCTCGTTATAATCACCAGGGATATAATACGGAGTGTGTGTATTATGTGTTAGATGGCTAAGGAAGAGGCGAGTGTTGTTCTTCTTGGCATCATCAATGACATCCCGGAGATATTTTTTCAGTACCTTATCCTCATGGCCATGTTCCTCTTCCTCTTCTGTCTCTTCTGGGATATATTTTTTACCATCTGCATCGATTGTTCTCTTTGCCATGATATCTTTGTATCCAAGAGTAGGATGAAGCATGTAATGTTTATCCCAGTCGTCGGAGTGTGACTGCATCCACATAGTGTGCCACGGCCAGGAAGTCCAGTCATCTGTCTGACTGGTGCCGTCTGCCTGACTGCTGATGTTTGGCTGGTGGTTTAATGCATCGAGTATGTGCGGCAAGCAAGGCTGATAAATATCGTGCAGGTATTCAAGGTTGGCCTCGACAGCCATAGGATTCACTCCACACACAGTGCCCGTAATACTCTTCAGGGTGTAGGTCCCGGACGTGTAAGCGTTGCGCGCACTGATGCCTCCATAGGGCTTCGGATGATCATCCCCGTCCTTACGGAAACCGGTCTCAAATCCGGTTAAACGCTCGGCGGTAGGGGTGAGCTTAGAGAGCCTGTCCTGAACCTCCTCGGGGATGCCGCCCGGGTAAGAGTCATTGATGTGCTTCATGATGTAAGAGTTTGAACGGAAGGGCCAGACGTCCTGTCGAGTGCTCTCTAGCTTAATAAGAATGACATGCTTAATCTTCACACTTCCGTTGTGGAGAGCTTCACGTATAGGCTCCAAGATATCGTTCTGGAGGTTTGGCATGTGCAGAGGATCCTTCATCGGGTTGTAGTGTTCATACACATAGTCAGACTTGTCGTGCTTATTGATACGGAAGGGAGACCAATCCGGGAAGCCCTCTGACGAATTGTACGAAGGTAGCCAGTCAAATGTGGGAAAGGAGTCCAAAGCTGTGTGGCCTTCCAGCCAGCTGAAATCAGTCGGTAAAAAGGTGGCATTTCCATTAGTGGCATTTCCAGCGGCACTTTCTGGGGCGGTTTCTGGGGTGGTTTTTGGAGCACTTTCTGGAGTGCTTTTTGGGGGACTTGCTGGAGTACTTTCCGGGGTGCTTGCTGGAGGAGCACTTTCCGGGGTACTGTCAGGAGAGGCACTTCCACTCGCCGGCGTGGGACGTTCATGAGTGGGCGAATATTCGTGGCTGCCGAACGGCGCGAGAGACGGGGAGCTAGAGAGATAACTGAGATCCGCACCGTGTGGACGAATGCATCTGAGGAAAACTATGATTAGGCCGAATGATATGACGATAACGCGCTTCAGCAACGACCGCCTATTCTTCTGCTCGGGTGGAGCTTGGGGTGTATCCAATTGCGATACGGAGTCGGTGTCGTTGTGATTCTCGTCATAGTCCTCAATTTCAATCTGCTGATAGGTCTCTGGATCTGACGCGACTTTTCGTGGAAGCCATCGGCGGAAAGGGAAGAGCAAAAGCGAACCCCAAATCCCCAGGAAAGTTTCGGTGGATTGGAATAGACACGGCGTAGCAAAGTACGCGCCAATCATAATCAACGTGTCAACGAGAAGAGCGACAGTCAACATAGACAGAACAGTCCAGGTAGCGAGATTGGGATTGTCCTCATGAGAACTTTCCGATTTCCCCCAGGGAATCTCCGCGCCTGTATGTACGTAAAAGGAGATATTGGCGGAGGTCATCGACGAGATATATAGACTGGGATGTGATTAGCGACTGCTTCTCTATGAGTCCGGACGACAGCTCACCTGAATAAAAGAGTTACAACGGCGGCTACGTTCTGACCGACCCGCGATTCAAACGAACGGGTCAGGTAGCACGCGACCAAAATAAGCAGAATGTCCACCAGGAAGAAGGTGGGGCCCCAGGGAATGAGGGACGGCACCGCGAGCGACGTGAGATGGACGCAAAGATGGAAGCATTTTGACAGTATGAGAGAGATGAAAGTGATAGAAAAGAAATATGTTCGAGAACTGTCAAGGTAGAGCTGAGGAGATCTGGCGACTTTAAGGGCGAAGATGGCCGATTCCTCCAGCTGCCTACGGAGGGAGACATCTCCGGGGTGATGCAATGGAGATTTCATGGCAGCAACAACACCCTCTGAAGGGAAGACGGGGAAATTGAGGACGGAGTCATAAGCTGATAAGGGAGAGAAAGATTATAACAAGCTAAAAGTGGAAAATAGAAAATCCAGGGGTCCAACAATAGGGCGGGGCATAATCTTACACGTTCATGCACTTTAACGCCCGGCTCTTTGCCTTTCAAAAACTCTTGGCAGAAAGTGTCCACGTGCGGGATTACCCTGAAGGGTAAGACCTTGGGAGGTAATTGTGACTAAGCACTCACCTACACCCTTTCCCGGTGTAGGTGAGCCCACACCTATTAACAAACCCATACCTGTTAACAAAAAAATCAACATTTCAATTTTAAACCTATTTTTCAGCCACCATACCATCTGGATCTACATATCTAAATAGCTCACTATTAACATCAAGATAATCTCTATCCCCTGATGCCTCTTCTTTTTCTTTGAGAGCCTGATTCGCGCGATGCCAGTAGTCTCGAATCCTTGCGTTCCCAGCCTCATGCCGAATATCCAATTTAGATTCCTTCGTACATCGCCGATACACCTTCGAATTGCCTGCAATTGATGATAATGGACTCTTAGCAGCACCTTTTACCATGCGCTTAGATTTTTTGATAGGAATTTTGTGGCTTTGCATCCTTTTTATCGTTTGTTTTGCAAGTGCTAGGTCTTGGATAGCCTGCTTACCACCACGAATTGCACGGTCTATATGCTTTTGAAGCTTTGGAAGGTCTGGTTCATCGTTCTCGAGTATCAATTGAACCTTATTCTCAACCTTTGAGAATCTTTGATCTGAATTAGGCGGCGAATTCGTTGCCGAACTGGGAAATTCACGGTCTGGTGACGGCGTATGACCATATATCTCAAGGACTGGTTCATCTTCCCAGCCAGGATCAATTTGATCACAAACAATATGTAAATCATAAGGCCAAAGACCTGTATCTCGAAATGATGATTTAATAGTCTGTGCCTTAAAGGTGTCTTTGCGAACTGTTTTGATCATTCGAAGAAAATGTCGTTTATCATCAACATCTCCACCCCATCGTACAATCTCATTGTTCTTTTTTCGGAATTTTTGTTTAAGAACTGAGAATGGCTTGCCATCAAGAGGCTGGCATCGATGTGTTAACTTTGGTATAAACCACCAAGGTATAATGTTGAAGCTTTGGCAAATATGTTCGAATTCCGGGGTTCCATGAGACCCATGATTATCCATAACCAAAATCCTAGGTCTGCCTTTAGCGACTCGCTTTTTAGTGGCATAATGGAAATCTAATAGCCATTGAATAGCAGTTTTATCATCCGTCCAGCCTTTAGCAGTTGGTTTAATAACCCTATAGTTGGTAGGATCATCATCGCCATCGAACCAATCTTCCATTTGTTCGGAACCACGCATTAAAAACCATGGATGCATAACCCAGCCATCGGCAGAGATGCATTCAATGCCGGTAATATTCTGGCCTATTCCACCGGTCGCAATAGTCTCATATTTACGGGTGGAAGCAACATTTTCCTTGGTTCCAATACCAAGCTGAAAGCCAGTCTCATCCCAGTTGTATAGTTCATGGGCCTGGATTTTATTCTTTTTAAGAAACTGGCCAAAAACCTGGTACCAATGAACTAAATCACTATGTAATTCAGCTTCAATCCTTGCTTTTTCCATTGGTTTTTGTGTGCGTAGAGTAATATGGGGTGGTAGGCGTTGAATGAATTGATAGCCGTACATTTTGCCAACCTGCCGGTCGGAACCACAATGTTGTAAAAGACGATTCGCAGCACCCTCAATATCGATAGCAGTTGGCGGTGTATATACTGAATTAAGGTGCTCAATCCAGCGAATAAGAGAGGCCTCTTGTGAGGAATTTAGGGCCTTTTTGGTAGCTGCACGGCCTTTTCCATTTGTTCTACCGTCCTTTCGGTTTCGAAGCTTCCACTTTGAGACGCCAAAATGAGAGGCTGCGGCCTGAATACTAGTAAATTGGCCTGATTTATAGGATTCGAGGGCATTTGAGAGAAGAATCTCTTCTTTTTCGGAGGAATTCGGCATGGTTTTGATGGTAAAAAATAGGTTTAAAATTGAAATGTTGATTTTTTTGTTAACAGGTATGGGTTTGTTAATAGGTGTGGGCTCACCTACACCGGGAAAGGGTGTAGGTGAGTGCTTAGTCACAATTAACCCCATACCGGTAGGGCAAACAAAACAAATAAAACAAACTAAACAAACAAACATGACGATCTCATATTAAACGCTCCTATATTCTCAACCTCATTTCTCAAACTGACACAATCTCATGAATAGTTACTCAGAAAGCATATTAGCTGTGGGCCTACGAGGAGAAAAATTGTTAATCAGTTTAAACGAAATTCTTATTGATGAATTTGCCATCCGGTGATGGTGGGCCTGGCACGATTATGGGAGATTATGTATCAAATCCACAATTTTATCAAGGTTTACTAGTCTAGACAGAATAGCCGTACAAACGAACACGTACACTTTACTACTCACGAAGGGACCAAAGCAACTAGCACGCATGCTGTCCTCTGGCTAATTAGGGGGTGAGCACTAAGACGGAAAGGGAAAGCCGAGATTTGCCAGGTGTGACATTTCTGCTATATGCTGTCTGAGAGCGACTTCTTTACTCTGTACTCAGTTGTAATATAGGGGCTACTTTCTAAGGTTAGGATCAATAGTGACCCTTCATTCTCATTTGATGAGCGGGAGCTTGGGAAATATCGTACATATAACCCCCTTCAAGCTGCTGTAAAAACATAGCTAGTATCCGTTGTCCGTGACCTCCTAGTGTATCGAAACTATCAAACGATTCATAAAAATGAGACGACCGACCGCTCATCACGTTATCAATCTTGAAGCGAGCGGATGTCAATTAGTTGGGAGATGGCGAAATGAGACGGACACCATTGCAGCATGCGAGCTTGGAAATATGGAGATTTTCAACCTTCTTCTAGAGCATGGGGCTGATGTTAATGCTCCTGCTGCCGACGATGGAGGTGCCACTGCTTTACAGATTGCAGCCATTTAAGGGTACATTGGCATTGCCCGGAGGCTGCTCGACCTTGGTGCAGATGTTAATCAAGAGCCCGCACCTGAAAATGGACGAACGGCTTTGATGGGTGCCGCAGAGCATGGTCGCATTGATATGTTACAAATGATTCTTGACGAAGGAGCACTGGTCGTAGGTGAATATGACGATTACTATTCCGAGGCTGTCGAGCTTGCAGAGGGTCAAGGCCATTATGCTGTCGCTAGACTCTTGAAATCATTCAAGGACTCGGCTGAATCGGCTTGATGTGTGCAGAGAGACTTTATCAGCGATGAAGGATGGCAATTTATGTTATACCTGTGTTTCATGGTCTCCAGGGCTGTTTGACTACTCAGATAATCATAGAATCAAAAGGTGGCAGTTCTGGCCAATGTCTCTGGAGTATGCAAAGCACCTACTTTGTATTATATTTGTCCACAACAAGTCATAGACACGGTAGGTTACTCTAGTGTGAAAGGATATAGCTATGCTAAAATTATTTGTTCCAGGCCCTCTCACTCTCTGTCATGTCGATATGGAGGCTCCGACTTAACTTCCAAGGTTTAGATCACCAATTACCGATGGTATGCCGATTAAAGAGATTGAAGGGAATGATGTATTGTAAATTGAAAAGCGGTTATCCTTTTAGGCACGCTGAACCAAAACCGTCAGATAGATAATTCGTCAGTGAGCATAAACGTGGACGCGACAAGATCAAGATTGCGCAACCTTGATGAGAAGGATGATTGCGGTATAGACATATTTGAGAAAGTGAGAAACGAGCAGCAATCCCCCGGGCCGGCGCGATTGCCACAATAAGCTTCGGCTGGGTTCCAACTTAGAATATAGGCGAGCTCCCCAGCATAGAAGTGGTTGCCTGTGTGTTTCCTTTGTTGACATCGACCTGTCTGCTATGCCAGACTGTTATCGTGCGCTTTCTTCAAAGCTGCCCTGTGATGAGTCAGTGTTGTTTGGCAATTTTTACATGATTGATGGACGTTTTGATGGCCAGTCTCTGATTTTTCCCCTTCCATAGTCTAGCAAGCGTCAAATTGAACAATCTTCCTTGGATTCTTGCATAGTTAGCTCATCGTTCTTAGCCCCAGGACAGACTACGGAACAAAGGACCACCATGGGCGCCAGGGGTCTTTTTGTCAAAAAGACAAAAACATACAACAGCATGTCTAAGGCCGTGGTCACCTAGCGCCCACGGTTCGGGCGTGGGTGGCTCGCCGCTCTATTCAGGGCACTTGGGGCCGATATTCACCCACCTGAATATTCCTCACCCGAATATTCAGCCCGTAAAACAAAAGGTACATTTCTTATCACGACCAAAAAACCTACAAGTACCCTTCTTTTCCCTCCGTTTTTATCTCTCCAGCCTCGCTTTGTCACTCCAATCTCGCTTTGTCACAAGTAAGATACGTACCAAGCATGACCTAACGTTAAAATATATGGCTAATATTGCAGATTTCAGGGAGCATAGCAATAATGAAAGCTAGCAGGTAGTGCTACCACGAACAGAATCTGGTTATAGCGATAAGTTGCTTATTTTCGACGAGTAAGTCTTAGCAGTAGGAGTAGAGAAGCAAATCGCTAAATCGTGCCTCTATCGCTATTTTTATTAGATTATATCTATAGGCCGTTATTCCGCCGGATATCAGAACTTATAGGGCGTTTTTCGAGTAGGTTATAAGTCGAATAGACGGTCGGATCGAATAAAGGCCTATAGTCGAGACGATTTAGGGGATATCCTCAGTTTTGACCTTGCTGAGGTAAAGAAAGCACAATGACGGAAAATGGTGCTCTCCTACCATATTCCTAAGCAAACAACATTGTCCTCCTCGGGAGTATGGATGAATCAAATCAGTTCCCAGAAATAGTTGAGATTTATTACTATATTAATGACCGAAATAGCACGGTTTGATAAACTGCTGTTCTCACAGGACTAAATGCAGCAGGCGTCAGAGGTTGACAATAAGGAAAATTCCAAGCTTGACGACCGTGATCGGCGGTGCAGTTTAACTCCAGGTGGTGTCAGCCAAGTCATCACGAGCCCGGTCACAGTTGGACTTTCCGGTATGAGTATAGCAAAGGCCTGCCACTCCAGCCGCCCAAATTGCCCCGCACTCCCACATGACGATAGCAAGGTCCCACAACTCCATAATCTTCTGCCCGTGGGGATAAGCCACTTCGGCAGCTAGAACAGCTCCCACGTATTCACTCTCAGCGGGTATGCTATCAGCCCCTCTCACGTAGGCGAGAACAGGGTCTACTAAAAGCTCAATGACGGCACGAGTTTCGGGCAATGGGTCAGAGGAAAGGACAGATTGGAGTCGTGCTTCGGCATTGGCGAGGGGACGCTCCCCACGCTCGACCTTGGTGCCGCTTGCTCGAAAGTGCTCCAACTCTGGCCTCCCATCCGGTATTGTGGCGGCGATTCCCGCGCCCTCTTTAAGGTCTGTTCTGCCGAGCAGTGTGATGGGTCGGTGTCGGCAGTTAGCGAGCTGCCACCAGTGCGTGAAGAGAATGCAGAGGGCTGCCGGGTTATAGGGATCGTTGTCCCGATACCATATCATAGAACCAAGAAACCGCGAGTAAACCTCGAGTAAGGGTTCCTCTTCCAAAGATCCCCGCGTCAAAGTAGGGATGATGTTGCTGACTTCTGCACACGCTATATCAGCTCCAAGATCAATCCAGTCATGCACAACGCAGCCAAGGCCGGCGATGGCAGCCATCTGTTCTCCGCCGCCTGCATCGTAATAGACATGACAGAACACGGCATCGGCTAGCTTGTAACGGGCAAGCCGAGCGAGATCGTCCCAAACAACTATACACGGGCTAGAGGGGATAGGGTGGGCATCCTCGATGATGGTCTTCTGGCGCAAGCATGCATAATCGCAGCCCTTGACGATCCGTATGTCGTTGATATGTGGGCCGGCGGAGACGGATTCTTCAGCAATAGCAGCTACCTCTGCAAATGCAGAGGAGAGACTGTCCGCCATCGCAGCACTTTTGATGCCTATAGAGTAATCCAGGACAAAAGCCGAGTCCATGATAGCCCACAAGCCAGAGATCGAACCACCGTAGACGCCCCGGTTATAGCCTAGCGCCATAGAGAAAATGCTGGTGTTAAGCAGAGGCCCCTCACAATCCTCTGCTGCGAGGAGATCCACAACGGCCCGGTCTAATGAGAGTGCCACGCCGCTCAGCTTGGGAGGGAGAGGCTTACGAGCGGAGCACCATGCCGGCAGGTGAGCCCTGCGGACTTCAGCGAACGGTAGGCGCTGTGTCTCTCCAGTCGTGATCACCTTATCACGCGCTGCCAAGAGAGCCGCAGCATCTGCTAGCAGCCCAGTTGCACAATCGACGGCGTCTGCAACGCGTGCATTACGCATCCAGGAGATGCTCATGGCTGCACCAATAACTCCGCTGGTTTGAATGGTGTCGTAACGACGCGCCAAGCTGACCGTCGTCACCAGCGTGTCGGTTTCAGGGAGGTATTGTTGAGAAAATTTACTTGACCCAGCCTTGACCGGACCTATGCCGTGAGTCTTGAGCAACCAGCAGGGGGCTCCAAGAGGGTAGCCCATGGTGGCCCCTTCTCCAATGACATGGGTGGTACCCCAGGTCGAAGAAAGACGGACGGTGGCATCAGGGTCCTCAGCCGAAGAATCGTCGGTCCGGTCAGCCCAGTGGGAAACGACAGGCAGGCAATCAAAAGCTGGTGAGCGACTGAGACCACCGCTGATGACGACCCCTGGTACGAGGTCTGACACGGGCAGGTCGGAATTCTTTCCTGCCCAAGGCAGTTTAATGTCCCTTGAATGGGCGAAGATCCTGTCGAGCTTGGCCTGGTACTCGCTAGCTGGCTTATTGTACGGCGTAATCCACTTATTGTGTCTAGCACCAGTCCTTCCGTGTCTCAATTCTGGAGGCGAGGACTTGGTTGTGTTGGCGATGAAGTCGGTTACGTCCCGACAGACCATTCGTTTACCAAAAGAAGGCTGTTGACCAGCTCGGGGGTCAACGAGCCCCCCATTAAGGGCCAGCTCAGAGAGCGCACTTGTCCGGGCGATGTAAGGCATCTTGTATTCAATGAGAACGTTTGAGCGATGTGGTTCAGAGGTAGAAAGAGGGTGAGATGCTGACCAACTACTGTCAGGCTCTTAGTGGGGACTTCTTGAATTAGATCATGGGATGACTGCTGTGCGCACTATAAGAAAAATCGTTGTAGATAGAAGGCCTCATAAAGAGTAGGTGCAAAGGGGCATGAAGGTTGTAAATATTGATGTCGTGTTGTATTGATCCGTTGATAATTCTGTTGGTTGTTCCTCCATTCCTATTCCATGGTCCTCTTATTTATATCCTGGTTGCACTACTCTGGGCGTACATACCTCTAGTCAATTAGTGAGTTATCAAAATACCGCAGAATTTTGGCCCCGATCTGCAAGCAATAGGCTTAAACCTTGCTCATCTCGTAACCTTGCTATTCGGTGCAACGATGTAGCTAGCGTATTCCATTAGGGGTGCGGTTGGTAAATAGGCTGCAATGCACTGCTGTCACTGACAAGTTGCAGATACGAGCTTAGGCATACTGAGTAGACTATGCCCTCCACAGTACATTTCCATGCAACCTCGGGTAGAATAGTGTAATCTGAAATGTCAACACATCTTTTCACCTTGACCGCTATTATTTTTCGCAAATCTGTCCACATAGTACTTCTTTACTTCTTCTAATCTATTAATTTGTTAACGCGTACACCTATCGTTATTGAGATGATAGATTTAAATTGCCAGTCCCGTCGATATTTGTACTTGCACGTCTTGGCGTCCTGCAACTGACATTCTCCGTTACCGCATTATCTTTCTTAAACAAATGGTCTGGTGCTTTAAAATGTATTTTAACCCCGAAAACTTCCCGATTTACAGCTAGTCCCAAAGCCTACTTCCCAAAGATGTGTGTATTTTCGATGATCCGTCTTAGCTAGGTTCCTATTGGCAATGTTAACTTTGCGTTGGTATGATAGTTGACACTCCAAACTATATCGCGCAGAACTTAATATTCGGCGTACTTTTTTGATCTTGTTCTTACACCACAAGTTTTGCATGCTCCCATCCACCCTTGATGAGCTGGTGATTACTCGATCCTGACTCGCCTCCATAATGTCCTGTGCCACCTGTGGCTTTCAACCATCATCGCCGAGGCAAAAGTGGGGATTTACTGAGACGTGGCCACTCTAATGAACGGAATCTAAGACAACATATTGATGCTTATATCCTCCAAAAGTCTTTTGTAAAGTATTGAGAACGGCGAGTCTAACTTTCTGGGCTGGGCCGTCTTGCGTTATCTCAGACAAGATTTCGCCTCGAGTGCTGAAGGAGGTCGTACCTTCTGTCACTCGTCTAGCGCGGCGCCGGATAGGCCGAACGATGAGAATGGACGGCGCCGCCAGTCTCAGCACCTCCTGGCCCATTGGCTCGACCCTGGTCTTGACTAGGACTGGCGAGAGTGCCAAGATTGAGGGGAGCGAGGACCAATCAGAAGCGAGCACTTCGCGTCTACCTGGGCCTGTCGGGAGAGGCCACTCGAGCATCATCACGGCCTCCTTATCTTGTGCCATTATCGCTTCCGTGACCCTTCCAAGTCACTCTGTATGTTAGGTGTGTCCGTTCTTCGAGATTACAGGGCATCCTTATCTCCAGCAGTATACAGCCTATGCCCTGGGAGTTCGGTGCACAGCGACTTGCCTGTGCGTCCGATTTTGCGCGACTCCAAAACAGCTTGATCTAAATGGGCCATGTGTTGCGATCGTTCTACATGTGCCCGTTGCCAATTACACAATCCCCCCACACATCGTGGCGGACATCTCCAGATTAGGGATACGTTATTTGTCACAAATTTTTTATTTTTAAAAGTACGTATTTGGCAAGGCAGAGCAAAAAGTTCAAAAATTTGAAATTATAAAATTTGACTTGATAGCTAGTCATCAATTTGTCCCTGAGCCGTGGGGCCAATTTCATCACCGGGGGTCTGATCCTCGCTTTCAATGGACACCATGCAGTGTTGGGTTGCCAGGCACTAGGTACATTCGCGCAGATACGGGTCAACCATGTATGCGCAGAGTCTGATGGGCTGATGGTCACCGCCTCGAAAACGGTCTCGCCAGACGCCTCGGACAGATCGGAACTGTGCAGAACAATCCAGCCCGCCACTGTTTGATTTTCAGACTTATTTGACGGTGCTCGGATGTCCATTCCAAGAAACACAGCGGCTGATCCTTTAGACGGCTGTGGTGGGTGGCCATCTGAAGCTAAAACACTTGGTGGACCTTTCACCTTTGTGCAATGGCTATTGATGGGTTGAAATAGGTCACATGACCCCACCCAGTGCAAGCCCACCATGACCGAGAACTCTATTATCTCCACCCTAATCTGGCGCCATGCGACAAGGGCAAGGCAGCGTGCGGGAATCAAGGTAGGCAGCGGTTTGCTGCTCAGCTCGGTCAACGTACGGAGACGCATGGATTCACTTTTGCTGCTTGACTATGTAGGCAAGGCGATAGTTCTGGCACGGGCCCACACTACTGCTGCAAGATTGGCCTCAGATGGCGAGGGGCTGCTTTACGGGCTCGCTTACCAGATTGTCGGTTCGGTGGATTGGTGGAGCCCAGATCGCATTTGGGAATTGGCCCCCGCCATCGATGCGAGCGATAAAGTATGCAATATAATACAGCAGGCAACCGGTTATGACGTGTTGTTTACTAGCCACTCTCGGTTAGGGGATGTGCTTGAGCAAGCATCGTGGGGCACTCAGTTAGGCCCCATTCAAGTTTTCCGATTTGACCTAGATTCATCCATATAAAACAAACCTTGACAAATTTGAATTTAACAGTCTAGACCGAATCCTTTGGTCGTAGATCTGATCTGATCGTTGTAATAGGCCGTGTACAGCTCTTTCACGAATTTGATGTAACCCGAGACGGTTGCTTGTTAACTTGTTAACAATGTCACATTCTTACCGTGAAGTCAAAGATAACTCTGCAATGTATTGGAGTTTAGACACTGGTAGGCGGGGTAACGTTCTATTCGGGATTTATCTTGAATCCGACTATCACTGCACGGATCCTGAAAATAAGCTTTTGTCAAACAAATCGTCATTTTTCCGAGTAGAGTAGATTGCCAGGGTGTCATTCATACTGATATCAGTCCACGGAATTTCCTCGTGGCCGATGATCTATCTCTCAAACTATACGACTTTACTGGGTCGGTTATTAGTGATATGCATGTATATATGGAGGAGGAAGATAGATATCGCTTAGCACCAGGGTCCCCTCGGTCTTTCAAAACCGATTTGTTTGCCTTAAGATATCTAATCTACAAAATTTCGAAGAGTACTCGGCCGTATGACGAGATTGAAAATGCTAAAGAGGTTGCTAGGCTGTATGCTAGCGAAATTTTCCCGAATATTAATGACTTTGAGTACCAAGATCTGATCTATAAGTCTTGGACTTCTGCGTATACAACTACGAATATGCTTCGGGAGGACTTCTATCGCATTAAAGAATCCGATTCTATATGCATCCGTCCTGCTTTACGCCAGTTCGGAAGTTCCCTTGCGATATCGATGTTTATGCTATTTGTTTTGGTTCTGTTATTTTTTGGGCTTCCTAGAAGCGGAATTTGAGATGATCGAACCGTGTTTACTATACACTCGCGGCTCCGGGTCATAAATTTATTTATTAGTAACTCTTTCATATAAATTTGGAAAGTTAGTATCGCCAGGACTGCCAATGTGCCGAATGATATATAGAAAAGTGTAGGTAAAAAATTACTAAACAGTACTGGACCTAAAACCTGGTTATATTTTTATTGCCACCATGTCAATAAAAAATGTCAAGATCTAAAACCTAATTTTACCTTTATCGCGACTATAAGGACTGATTAAAGTTCACTAAAAAGTACGGTGATCTATAGCTTCGTATAGCATGCTGATCCTTGCATAAGGTACAGTAGCATCAGCCCATTCAGTTGTCTGCGCGTGTCATATTGACTAGTGGCCTGGACAGGTACTAACAGTGCTACGTTGCTCAAGGCTTCCATATCATTCAAAGCTTAGCTTATGCAAAGCTATAGCAAGCCTAACAATAATAGTAGCAAACACGATGGAGAGTTCTATCTTGGTACTAATACGCTGGTAAGGCTTTTTAGAGAGTGAACCATTACTGCTTAATTGAGATGACATCTACGGCGTTACATAAAAATAATGTCGATCCCTGCCTGAAATCAAAAAGCCTAGAAGGGAGTTCACAGCAACTTCATATATGATGCTGATCTCTAAGACTTGTTATAGGATCTAGAAGATTAGGGGAAATATAATATCCAAAAATTGTATTGCTAAGGGCAGGTCTAGAGTATAGGAGGAAAGAACCTATATGATAGATAGTATAGTTTCGAAGAGACGTGAAGGTGTCTTAGTGGTCCAATATATCTTTACGTAGAACAGAAGGTCGCCAAGGGGTATTAAAAGGGTAATAATATAACCCATACAAACCATACAAACCAAGCAGGAATGAATGTACGGACAAGGTAGTAGGGACAAATTTATTAACCTATAATAGCTTATATAGTCACTGCTTGACCGTGATATTCAACACTCCCATTCGCTGATTTTCTTCGTCACGAAGAATGTCAGCGATCATTTATCACGGTTGCTAGGCCCCATTAAAACCTCCAAAACCCCGTGGTAAAAAGAAAGGAAAGGGTGCCTGAATGCGCGATTTCGTTTTGGCTTGAAGGTTTGTTGTCCCCTGAGAATATCACTCAATGCCGAGGCTCTTTCGAAACCATTCGCAATTTGCTCTGTAGTCGGGACATACTTCAGTTCCACTGTCCCAGCGTCTTGAACTTCTCCTTGCCACTTTCGTTGGATTTCTATATGCTTTGTACGCGAATGGTATTGAGGGTTCGAGGCCAGCGCAAGGGCTCCCTGGTTATCGCCACAAAGTATCGTTGCGCGTTGTTCCTGGCTCATGTTCAGCTCGTGAAGGAGTCTCCCCAGCCAGATAGCTTCCTTGGTTGCTTGCGTCTGGCCCAAGAATTCTGCTTCGCAGGTTGATAGGGCAACAATATTTTGCCGCTTTGATTTCCAGCTGATTGCTCCACTTCCAATGTTGAAAAGATATCCAGCCGTCGACCGTCTTGTTTGGTGACAGCCAGCTCAATCTGCATCCGTGAAGCCACGGAGCATCTGGAGCTGGCCTTTATATGCGAGACTGAGAGATTTGGTGCCTTTGAGGTACCGAAGAATTCGACGGGCGAGCTTCACATGTTGGAGTCCAGGATTTACCAAGTGTCTGCTTGCCGCCGAGACTGCATATGCAATACCGCCTCTTGTCCCAAGCATGACGTACATCAGCGACCCGATCATGCGCTGGTACTCGTTCTTGACACTCGACGGGCAGACGTATTCGGGTCCGCTTTCTGGTAGAGGTGTGCTGACAGGTGCACAGTCTGACATTCCGAATTGCTAAAGGACTTTTTGCACGTAAGCCTCTTGGCCGAGATAGAGGATTCTGTTCTGCCGATCTCGCCGGATGGTCATGCCGAGATAGTAGCTGCACGGGCCAAGATCTGTCATATGGAAACGATTTCTGAGGCTCCGCTTGATCTTCTTTATCTCTGCAATGCTTGGTCCAATGATCAAGAGGTCATCGGCGTACACTGCAATGTACATACTGCTCCGAACAAAGATACTGAGATCAGCGTTGATGAGCTCAAAGCCAAGGTCCCGAAGGAAGTTGGTCCGAGTCTGATACCAGATACGAGGTGCTTGTTTTAGGCTATAGAGTGCCTTTCGAACCTTGTAGACCCTCGATATGCCGTCTGTAGTGTGGTGGGGCTGTTCGATACAAATCTCGTGGTCTACCTCGCCGTATAAGAACGCTGTTTTGACATCCATTTGTTCGACCTCGAGATCCAGGGCAGCTGCAATTGCGAACAGGGCTTTATAACTCATTGGTTTGACCACGGAAGCGAATGTCTCATTATAATCGACACCTTCCTAGGTGAAACCTCTGACTACTATCTGCAGTTGTAACGGACGATTTCTCCGCCTGATCCTCGTTTGAGTTTGAAAATCCACTTCCCGCTCAGGACTCGGCGATCCTTGGGAGGGTCAACCATTTCCCAAGTTTTGTTTTGCTTGAGTGATTGTATCTCTTCGACCATTCCCTTCTCCCATTCGAGCCAGCGTGGATCATTCTTGGCCTGTCGAAGGGATTTTGGTTCGAAGGGTTCTATCTCTTCGGCTGCTACAGTCAAGAAGGTCGGAATGATATTCTTGTCAGGGACATTCATCAATGCTAGTTCTTCTTGGTCATAACCGGATGTGTCCTGAAATGTTTGTGTGTCACGAAGCTTGAATTTGCCAAGACAGTGGCGCTTGCAATGATACCCTATGCTTCAACCATGGCCAATATGCCCTGAAGCAGACTAAACCTCTATGACGCGTTAATTTGAATCGAAGCCTGGCCAGACTAGATTTCTGGAACACCAACCGGTTCGCTGACCTTGGGGAACTAGTAGTAGTAAGCTGGGTTGATGGTGTGTACCCAGTCCCATGAGGTGCCCATTAGCAAAGCTTCCTTGCTGTACATGGCTGGAAAGCAACGTTGTAGGCCCCAAATGGTTTATTAATTACAGGACTAGTAATTTTGGTAAATCTTATACATATATAAATCTAAATATACCATTAATTTAGTAGGTCATAGGTGATAAAAATATCATCGGTACTAATGGATTACAATACGGTAATTAATTATAATGAATTTTATGTAAATTTATGCAAAAATGGGTTTTCAGTGGTTTTTTTGGGGCCCCAATAGAGCCCAGGAAAAACCGCAGTGCGGTTGCGGTTTGGGGGTTGGGGCGAGGGTTTGGCCCCAATTGCGGTTTATGGCGAAGTCTAATTATCTCTTAAAATTAGAATTAAATGCTAGTTAGAGGAGTGCTTTCGAACACGGAAATATAAAGGTCTAGATTAATTATTTATAACCTTAAGTGCTCCGTAAAATAAGCGATTCGATCACAGCTATAAATCCCATACCCTACCTTATTCGACTAATTTATTATTGGAATAAACCTAAACAAATAACCTTCTAGTATAGTTATAACTCCACTATTTTCGGTATAAGCTAGGCTTCTTTATTCTACGCATAAAGAGGACTCAGATTATACCATTTATACAAACTTCATTACCCTAACCCCACGCAATTGCCATAGAATGCACGTGACCACTAATCTCCCGGCGGTTAGGGGTCGTCATTATAACCGATTAAACCTTTTCTTGGTCATCTGCTACACGGGAGTCTAAATTAACTTTGAAACCTTGGCTTTACCCTTTGGCAGTGATGAGGAACTGCGGATGGGCAAAGCACGGATAATTATAGCCGCAAGGTTGCGGGCTCGGGTGATCGACGTGCGTCATCTGGCGTACCCGAAATGGCGGCGGTCATCCGCTTCGGACGCTCAATCTTAGATTAACCCGAGGGAAAAGAATAATTTAGTTGGAGAGAGGCGTACAAAGAACAGGCAACACTAGAAACACGGGTCGCTGGAACCATAAATTTATGGTCCAGGTTTGGTTTGAAAGGCTGAATTCCTTACCGAGTCAAATATTGATCTTGAATAACAGTGATGTCCTTTACTCAGTCGGCTGTCATGACTTGACTGATCATCATACAATCATCATAGGTGAGGCTAGGTGTGCTCATCACCCTTCCTTTTCCGTGTGTGAGGCCTAACGTTGCGTGTCACCGGGGCAAAGGTCTTAGTGGAGCGAGCAAAGCCATACAGATGCCAAAAAAAGTAAGCTCTGGGAGGATCCGATTGAAGATCTTCCTTCGTATTTTCAAAGTTTAAAATATTTGTATCAAATTAAAATTTTAATAGATTTATCTGCAAGATCATCTGAAGTTTTATTTGCTTTGAGGACTCGTCATTTAATTTCCAGGACCAGATGCACTTTGTAACTGCAAGCCGCCTAAGGAGTTCACGTCTAAATGACGCAGCGTGTTCTCAGGTTCCCCCACTGCTTGTCTACCTTCCAAATGATTTAAAGAATCCATTTCTCTATCTTCCGTCGTTTCCGTCGAGCATCTCAACCTTGGCCACACATTCAATCTAGGATAGCCTGAGCAATATACCGTTCCAACTACCGACAATCCAAGACAGCTTTCGATCTCCTCGAACGCTACAGAGAAAAATTTGTGATTTGGGTACCTGCTAAGCCAGCGACAAAACCTCCTTCATTAGTATTAGGTATTTTCGACCAAGTGATCGTACACTTCCTGGAACCAGTGCAAGAAGTTATGAGTTCACTACGGCCGAACGGCCCCAGGCCGAGTGAGCTCGAGCGGAACCACATTCTGAATGACATCGTCGAAAATATTGAAAACCGTTTTGCCAGAAAATACAACCTAGTCGATTACGGTACTCTGAAGAAGGAAGTCCTTATTCCTGTGATCGAAAAGGAGTTCAACTCAGAGATTCAGCTTCGCGGATTCCTCAGGGCATTTCGGAACACATCGGCGTTCAAAAATTCATTTGAAAGCATAGGTGATCCCACCCTGAAGAAGCAGATTACCGCCTTCATCGAGGGCAAGCCGTCCGACGACGCGGTTCGCAACCATGACTTCGAAGTTTCTGGCCATCCCTCCTTATTGTCTGTATTCAAGAACTTGTTTGTCTGTGCCTTGCAACTCAAGGAGGCAATCAAAAACATATTCCCATCGAGGCACCGTTATGTCCAAGACCTACCGGAGTTTTGGGAAGATGAGGAGCAAACTATGAAGGTAATTTGCTCCACACTGCTGCTGTTCTCCCTTAATACTGACAACCATAACGCAGGTGGTGGTTAAAGGTGTTGAGTTCGAAAACTGGGGTCAGACGGTGAAGAATACCCCGCGGTGCACATGTGTTCCTACAACTGTATACGGTGTGCAGCAGATTGTCCGTTACGCGAAGCAACATGACCTCCGAGTCCGTTGCGGCGGCTACCGGCACAGTTGGAGCAATATTTTCTCGCAAGACAATGAGATTTTCATCTCCCTACTTGACCTGCATCAAGCTACGAAAATTCCTGACATAATCAGCATTCTCCCGGGGCAATTCAACGCTTCCAACGGCAATCAGTTGCGGACTATTGAGCTTAAAGAGCAAAATAATGAAGGCAAAAGACTGTGTCGCGTTGGTGTATCCGTGACTAACGAGGATTTTCGGCGCTGGGCGATTGCCAATGACGCTTGGAGCTTGCCAGTCGATGTCATTCTTGTCGAGGTCACAATCGGTGGTGTCAATGGCCCGATCTGTCATGGCGCCGGTTATGCTCACAAAACGGTCTCTGACTATGTCCAGAGCGTTGAGTACGTGGATTGTAACGGTGATTTTCGAACTGTTGACGATCAAGTTGACATCAAAGCTTCCGCTGGCGCTTTCGGGCTCCTTGGAGTGGTGACGCACATAACCTTCGAGCTCGATGCTATGACATACGCAGTAATGAAACCCCTTAAAGTCGACATCGGTCTGGCTATCCCCCCAATTAACAAGGATGATATTCCAACTGCGCTCCAATCCGACTGGTTCCACTCAAATGATGCATCAAAGAAACTTGCCGATGCCAAGATAGAGTTTGACAACCGTGCAGCAAATCACTATTACTCTGAATGGTTTTGGTTCACCTACCAGCGTAAAGCTTGGGTAAATACCTGGAACGCCACGTCTGATCCTACTGGAGTTGAAGAGTATCCGGATGTGGCGCAAACTTTCCTGCAATGGATTCAAGGCTGGCTGGGGGGAGTTATCACTACCGTCCCTCTCTTTAACGCTCTACCGGGATATTGGCAGTAAGAAATGCGTCTGGGTCCACGTCTAAAAAGTTAGAATTGCTCACAAAAAGACAACAGAGCACAGCTGCTGGCTACCAACGGAATGGCCGCCCTCCCCCCAACCAATGGCGAGGATAGCACACCGACCATAATAACGGCTCTACCTAATGCGCTGCATTTCCGGCGCGGTATACAAAATATGAGAGTTAGGGATACTGAGTTCCAGATTCCGATCCCGCCCCGCAGGGACGATCCCACCAAGCCTGACTTCTCCATCGTCCAACAGGCATGGTGGGACGTCATCAAGCTGGTCTACCAACAGGCCGAAAGCAAAGATGACCCATCCTCACCAATGCGGCTGACACTTGAGCTGCGTATTATGGGAGGCAGTGACGTGATCATGGCGCCTCAGCGAGGTAATAGCCTAGGTACCGCTAGTATTGAGGTGCTCACCATCCCTGACGCTGTGGCGGATGATGAATGGATGGATTTTATCCAAAAAGTCGCCGACATCTGGATGTCATACGGGGACGATCTGAACGTCCGCCCTCATTGGGCCAAGGAATGGGATGGTCTTCAATTGAAAGGACAGGATGCGCGCAAGTATTTGAAAAACGTAGCGTACCTCTCGCAGATCGATGAGTTCCGTGCTGCGCTGCGAAGGATCGGCAAGCCTCACGGCTGGGGCCTAGACGAGCTTCGAAGTCGATTTTCTAATGAGCTTTGGGATGAGATTGTTTTCGACTAATGTAATGTACAGTACGGGATAGTACTGTTTTGCTAGTTTCTCTATCCCATGGGGATGCTCTCAGTCTGCTAGACTGGAGCCGTTGCCTAGCTCTATTAACTAGTCCTGGAATTAAATCGCAAGAGTGTAAGGTTAAAATTGACTTCGAATTCCACTGTACAATCGAGTCAATTCCCAGTTCCCTTAGCTGTTCGTTGATATTTGGATCCACTTGGGTTGCCTCTTGTGCCAGCTCCATTCTTCTCAGGATATAGACCCTGGTCAAAAGTATCTTCCCACTCCACTTTCCGGTCCTGTATGTTTCATGTATATCCCTGACAAACTGGACTGAAGGTCCCAGGAATAACATTTAGTTCCTCGGGAACATGAAGGGCTCCAGGAGCTAAGTTGGAGTTCCGAGGGGTTAAGCAGCCCCTGAAATTGCTCTTGACATTTCCAGTGTCAATGCTGATCCCCAGAGTCAAAACAACAGCAAGCGAATTTGTCACAGACTCTCCCACCGATCCCAGTGTTGAATGTTATCTGAAAGGTCGGTCTTCACCCAACAAGGCTGCACTTAGCTAAAACATCATAGTGCTCTCTTCTCTCTTTGGTAACCGCGGTACAATGCTCCCAGCACTTAGAACTACCAGCACTCAGCGGGAATACTTAATACATTTGAATTGACGACGTTGGTGAGAGCCCTCATGGGCGATCTCCTAAGGGACGCTTTGATGGAGCCCGTAGATATATTAAGGCAAGATTACATGCAAAAAGCCCATTTTGGTCCATTTTATTATAACATCAGAAACTCCTGATTTTTCGTCGTGTAAGCCTCATTTTTCATGGCCTCGCCGTCCATCAGGCCGTAAACAAAGCATTCGCCTACTAGAGACCAGCCGTCATTTTTTTGCCGCAGAATTACCGGAACGCTACATCCGTTAAGGATGCACACAATGTCTCCTTTGGCTGTGTTTTCAGGGCCAAGGCCCAAAATGCTTCTTCCTCGGTAGTCAGTGATTTCAAACATCACCCGGTTCCAGATGACGCTTCGGACTCTCTTGATATAGTCCAGGGCCATCGATGGATGGCCGGCCTCTAAACTAGAAGCGCCAATGTCATGGCCCATCTTGAAATTTATCCAGTACCGACAGGCCTGTTTATACCAAAGCGGTGCGGCCATGCCTTCGGGGCCGCGGTCAGCCACGAGGGTCCGCCAAAAGCCGTCAGGTACGGAGGATTCATCGTCGTCTTTCCCATTGCAAAGGGCTATCCATTCCTTATGAAGCGTCCCTTCCGAGGCACGGTTCATAGTATTGAAGATAGGACTCACTCTGAAGCCGCTCACCGTGACTTTTCCGTCAAATTCCGTTTCGCCGGCACTTGAAGGCATGCCGAAGATGGCTTCAGCCGTAGTTCCGTTGCAGGCATCATATGGGGATGGGTTGCCTGGGTGTCCGACGAAGATTTCGCCATTCCGTCGTCCTCCTTGGTGGCCGTCTCCGAATGGAAGCTCATCCACTTGCCGAATCCAAGATGGCAGCTTACAGGTTATGGGTAATGTGCCGTAACCAATGTTTCTATCCACCACTGATGAAGGAGCGGTGGTGTTGCCGCTCGTATTCCGGCGTTCGAATGTCATATGCCGCGGTGCCCAGGGGCGGCATATGATATTGATTGACTTGGATTCCTGAAAGCAGTGTTGGATGAACTTCTGATATACTTTGTCCGCACTCGATAGGTCAACCCCTTGGCAGGAAGAAAGCCACTTCCTGCCGTCACTAGCGATCGGCACAAGGGCCCAAATAACTGCACGTGGTTCGGCCGACTGCATCGCGGGGAGCATTGATACTAACGTCTCAAGACTGCACTTTTCAGGAAGTGACCCATCTTCGTTTCGATTGAACAGCTCACGAGACACCTGTACCATTGAGTATGCTGCCAGAGCGCGTGGGTCTATCAAATGCGCTGGTATGGTGTGATATGCGCTAAGTTGGGCACAGAGTACAGTGTTAGTATCCATCCATCAGAACACGCTGACGGTAGCCGCAAAACTAGGAGGGAATATAAGAAATACATACCCCATGTCGTTTGCTGATCTACCCAATAACGAGCGTGGATCGGTCCTGCTAGAATTGGCGGCTGTTCTCAGAAGGAGTTGGATGTCATCGTAACGCGAGCCAAGCACGACCACAGCATCGCAGAACTGGCCCCAGGGGATTTGGCAATCTCCACAGTGGAGTGTGGCGCGGCGGGCGAGTAGAATCTCAAGAAAGTTCCACCGCCGTCTAAAGTATGGCCGGTCGAGGAGGTTGATCAACGCCTCCCACTGTCTGGTCGTGTCATCGTCTACAACGAGAGCATCGACGTTATTCAGATCGAGAAGGCGCGGAATGAAGTTCATCGCCGAGCGAATATCCTCGTCCCCTTCTCCAAGCCAGGCGATGGCCTCCTTGGCGCTCTGAAATATTCCTGGAATCTTCTCCAGCTGCCGCGATTGTTCTTTGGGGTTTAATGAATTTATGCAGATAATCTCCACCCAAAAAGAAACTGGTTCTTCCGGGTCTCGAAGTTGAGTCAGAGCATGCACGATGCCCGTGGAGGCTGCTAGCGGATATATTCTTGATGTTTTGCTTGAATGCATCGAGATAGTGCCTTTACTATCGGTGCCTTTACTATCGCCTATTTGAGAGAGGCCGGACAGGGCCTTGTAGCTTCCGATCGTGACATCTTGGTCCGACCTGGGCAGTTTTTCGACTAGAAAGGAGCATTCAATAGGCTCACTTGAATCTTCACAGGGGAAGAGGCGTAGGACCCGGATTTCATCATTTTCAAGTGGGGTTTCGTCGTAGAGATGCTCCACATCCAGGCAGGGGCACTCGAAATTTATAGTGCGTATGTGGGGAAGTAAATCGCTGCTCGGAACGCCTCCATCAAACCCATCGTCGCTCTGCGAAGGTGGTGGTGATGCTTCACATGCCGATGTTATAATGGCTGGCAGTGTTGTTACTCTGTGTAATCTGTAACCACTCTCCGAAGACGGCGGTGATGCTTCGCGATCCGGTGTGGCTGGCGTTGTTGCGGGTTTTTGCGCTTCGTAACCGCCATTCGAATCTTCTAATTGGCGAGGGAATGACGTGAGCGAAAACTTATGTTTTTGAATCATTTGTGATCTGGGAGACCTGAGAGATAGAGATCTGGTTTGATTTAGTTGCCATCGACAGAGAGGAGACGGAGATCTGGTGGATGAGTCCAGTGAAATAATTACCTTCGACCTGATTCACTTATAGCCAAACCTTCTGGCTGCAAAATTCTGTTGGTGGAAATACACGGCACTTCTTTGCTTGGAAGTGGGCATATGCGAATGCGGCACGACTGGTTCGAGAATGGAATGTGCAGCGGGGTAACGCGCCGGCCTCGATTGCCTTGCGTACGATTCAGCTCGGCATTGACCCTCCCGCACAGCCGGTTTGCGTAAACCAGCTCCCCTTTCTCACGGATCTGCTCGAGCTGGCTAATAAGAAATGTTGTAAAGCTGTCCTCTCCTCGTAAAGGAGTCACCGTCTCGAAGCCGCAGGCGACGATGGCTTCCACGGTGCTGGTGCAATCAGCGCTAAGAGAGAGCGAAGAGCTGTAGCAACAATCCAAAATGAACAAAACATGTGATACACATTCGTATAGAAACAGAGACTGCAGGGCGCTCCAACTGATTTGTGGAGTGTATTCAATCGGCGTTGAGATTGGGTCATCTCTGTACCAAATGTCAGAAAACGGCAAGAGTGATCATGCTACAAATTGAGTAGGCCAAAGACACAATGCCCGGTAGTAGCCTGGGAAGTAGCGTACCGAAGCCAAATACACTCTTTGTCACTGTTATTGAGGCCATGCCCACCATAGTAGATTATCAACAGTGTATCATCTTGATCATTATCCAGAAAGGACAATAGCTCTCTGTTAAGCTTTTGCTGAGGCCGCTTGGAAGCAATCTTGTACTTTCGCACGCAGAAGTTAAATTTTTTGAATTCGGAAGCGAGAGTATCCAGTTGGTTCTCAAATTCGTGCTGGGTCGTGTCCTCCCAGCAGATTAGCAGCACGTTGACTATTTTGTAGGGAATACTGAGGTCGCAAGTATGCATCTTCCATAGCCTGACTCAATAAATCTGGAATGAATTAGACGCGTCAATATGTCGTTCCGATGATATTGTTAAGGTGCTGCAGTAGACAAAGGTGGGGATTGATGCAACGGAAGCTGGGGATAAAACTAAGACGCACGTTCGCCACCTTTTGCTTCCGCGTGATAATCTTGGGATCATAGGTTTTAGAAGTTCCTTTACCAATTGGTATCGGTGGGAGCGTTATTGATAAATAGGAAAGGAGCAACTCAAAAATTGCTTATGTTCCAATTCTTCCCGCAAATGGCTCCACTGAGGGTCGAAAGCCCCATGGCGATTGGATAATGGACACCTGTGGGACTGTCTGGTCTAGAATAGGCTGTGGGGCCCAGATCTGGACGTGATAACTTGATTAGTTAACAAGACACATTAGATATATTACTGTTTTTTACGCATGTTTTGGCCGCTACAAAATGAATATCAAGATTAGAATTACTAGGCGCTGTTTGCACTTTTACTTAGTTGCGACTAGTGGAGGCGTTGAGCGTCTTTTTATCTACGCGGGATATATCTGCCATTATTGTCGTGGTTCGTTAAATTCTACAACGAACGAGGATATTATGTTGTTCCGGTGTACGACAGATGATCTTATACCAAAAGTTGTAGAGCGGGCAGATAACCAAAGACACGCTGAACTTAGTCTGGAAGAGCCTGAGGCTATTAGTGAAGATGAGGATGATACTGATGATGAGGATAACGATCCTGTCGCATTGATTAAGGATGAGCTGGAAGCAGAGAGCCAGCGTCGGTGTCTCTTTGAATGCAAGGCGAAAACGACAAAAAACTGTTTCGCCCGATCACGACAACAAGACGAATCCTCCTCTTCCAGCGCAAGCCAGTGGCCCAAGCGTGCTGGACTAAGCGAAACAAGGAGGCCTCGATATGATGACTACCACTGGGCGTACCATCCGTATCATTGACATTTATTGTAAATATTATTTATATATCAATTAAGTATACCATTTAAATCACTCATTATACTGATGCATAAAGCAGAGTAGTGTTCTATTGTATATGCAGATGGAGGATTATAGTTACATTGTAACCAATTTACCTAAAAATACAGGGGAAACTGCATTACATTCTATGAAACAAATAAGGCCCATGGGTGCCCATTAGCCTCCGGGTCATAGTGTGACTGACGCAGCGATGGTCTCATGATACACTAATTCCGAAGTAGGATACGAGCATTCTTAAATAACTTCACTCCGTATCTTCTCCCAACCCTTGAGTCATTGAGGTCACCAGCTCTTGGGATCATGTGTGATTGCCATAAAGTGATAACCCCAAGTGTAGACCTGCCACGATAAATAGTAACACATTTTTCTCGTTCAATTTAGTGTGATTCTTGATATTTGCACCTCCAGTCCAGAATTATTTTATCGAAGAATAATGGCACCGAATTTCCCTGAACGTTATAGGACCTCTATGTTCCAGCACCGCTACGGGTACGCCCTTTATGAGCCACCAAGTGTCTCCCGGCTTTGTCCTGGGATGTTAGGGTATCTTGATGAGTACCGGAAGTGGCATCCAATTCTGGATCTTTCAAGCGCCATCGACGTGGAAGAACTTGGGTACTCACCGATTGGCCAGCTGTATCGAAGTGAACCGGACGAATGTCGCTGGGGTCCTCTCGCTTCCGACAATGTGAAGAGCACAGATATTGCCTTCAGTGGTAAAATTGACCCGACAAATCTTGCCTTGCCAGCAAACGCAACTGGCGCCATAGAGTACCGTAGTAATACGGACTTTGGAGCGTTACTCATTTGTGATAGCCCTGTCTCCTCTGAGGGCTACGATTTCAGACGCCCTTTTCTCGAGTGGCTCCGGTTGAATTCGAACAAGTTACTGCACGATTATCCCGATCTGAAGAAATATGGTGCCTACATCGCGACCTGGACGTACTCAGCCACTGACATACACATGAAATTATGGTCAGACTCGGCTACTCGCGTCAATATCGGCTTTTCTGTGGAGGCTACATCCGTAGTTAAAGCTGATCAGCGGCTCAAATGGCTGAGGTCACATTCTGGCAAGGGATGGAGAGACTGGTCAGGAAAGCAGAGGGTGGTGTTCTTCACCGGAGTTAAGGTCAGGTACGGGCCATTTGGCATGATGAAACAGTCTGAGGGTAGATGGCGCGGCTCAAATCAAGATTTCATTGTAACAGGACTCGACGAAGGCAAATCCTGTGAGGCTAGTGTTGAGCAGTTTGGCGATGATTGGGCGAAGATCAAAGGTGACTAAAGGATGAAAAAGGGGAACATCTGATAAAGACGGAAGTAAATGTTTTGATTATTGCGCTATTAGTATGAACAATCAAGTTATCAACGATCTGTACCATGCTCTAGGGATTTGTTGTTCCGAATATGATATGCCGCGTTGACATTGAGGTAGCGAAATGTCGGACTCTTACCGGCGAGGCCCCTTAAGGCCGAAGACGATCTAGGATTTAATAAAATTTATATATACGATAAGATTCGAAGCTTAGTGGTGTTAACAGCTAATACTCTGTAAAGATATACTGACTGCAGGCACATCACCTGTCAACCGGGAAGAGTATAGAGATAAACATTGATGGAACGGTAACTCATCAGTCTGTATTCAATAATGTACGTAAACTTATTCTTACTACGAAATATAGGGGCGAGGGGAGAACTGTCCTCTTATTCTTATGGCTCTATGATGATCAGTCCTCTTCGAGGATCCCCGATCATGCTATATAAGGATGATGCTACGATAGCCACCGATCTATAGACTATTAGTTAACCACCGAAGCCTTATCAAAAGTATCAAGGCAAAAGCCCTTTAGGGAAGACTGCCTAAATAGAAAGAGTATTCGAGCATACTGACTCTGATCTGTTCCAGTCCCGTTCCAGCATTATATGGATGGATTATCCATTACATACTCTAAGAGTATATCTCTTCCTAGGAGATTATAGCCTCGAAGGAGTCAGATAGTATAACGGTTCATTCTTTTAAACCAATTAGTCAAGAATACGGACCAGGGGTATACTAATCGAAGTAGGCATAGCGCAATTCAAAATAGAGTTCCACTAATAATTAAAAGAGAAAAGAGGTGAACCTGATTTCGAGCGCGTCTGTATAATTTGAGATGCAAGGCAAAAAAGTAGAGATGCGAAATTCTTCATGGAGGACTTGATTTCATCTCATGTTTGGCCCTGCTGAAGATATGAAATGGTGTAAATTTTGAATAACAGCAAAATTCAAATCAGAAAGGTCTTGAATGAATGATTTAAGACAATCAAGGTCTCAAGCCGTTTGAATTGGCCTATACAGATGTAGGCAGCTTGGAATGAGAAATAATAGTAATAAGAGAAATAAGGTCTTGTACAGTAGTGAGGCATTTGCCTTACAAAATGAGTGGCAAATTGTCTCATGACCTGATCGTGTAACTTTCAGCGTACTCTCTGCAACATTGGCCTGTTTTCTGTGTGTCATGGCAATTTCAATGATTTTGGATGTTAATATCAACCCTTTTTTGCCATCCAGGTTAATTTAAGATTTAGCGTCCGACGCGGATGACTGCCGCCAATTTCGGGTACGCCACATGACACACGTGGATCACCCAGACTCGCAACCTTACGCTGAATTCGCCCGTGGTTTGGCTATCGCGGGTCCTCGTCATTGTCAAAGTCACACTCGGCTTGTATATATCCAATCGGTATCAATTGAATGCCAGCTTAAAGTTAATCTACAAACCAACGGACAGCAGAGACCCACACAAGGTGTAATCGGCTACGGAACGTCGAAATCTATTCTGTCTGTTGGAAGAAATGGTGGAGAAATTAATGGCTTGCTTAAGCTTTTATTTGCACAATTTACGTAGTAGATGTGAATAGACCATTGTACTTATTTTACATATGATCGTTTTTGCTTTTACGCACAGAGTGAACAATTTGCCTGATTATACATATGATTATGCAGCATTCTTTTACGGCTTTGAGCTTTGAGCGATGTGTAAGCATTTCTGCCTGAAGCCATGATTGGTCTCTTCCATATATATTGCGGTCAAGGGGTCTTGGCTGGCGCTAACAAACACCGGCCGCGAAAAATACTGTGATGCGTCTGGTCTTGTCCTCATAAATCAACTTTCCTTTATCATTGACGCATTGATTAATCCAATGTGAAACTAAGCTGCAATGCTAGACCGCTATTTTGCTGATCCTCCCATAAAGTTGTCGGCTCGGAGTGGAATTCCGCCCTATAGACCACGGATTCGTCCGACGATGGACGAAGCATTCGCAAAAAGACCCAGCGCTTAGTGAGAATCAAGCCCAAGAGGTTCAAGCTGTGGCAGACTGGCAATTCACTTCAAGCAGCATCAAGCGAGGGACACAAAGAGGTAGTCCAAATGCTGCTGGATCAAGGTGCCGACGTGAACGCCCAGGGTGGAGGCTATAGCAATGCACTTCAAGCAGCATCAAGACGGGTTATACCATACCCACTAGACGGCGGAGCCCACTAAGCACGACTCCGCTAACTTACTCCTATTTAAAGCTCAACTAAAGAAATAATTTCACATTTTGGCGCCGGAACTGGCGTTTCTTCTGAGATTTACGAACGCTAATCTTAATCAAACCAAACCACGACCCGACCGATGTATGTAAGCTGCTTTTGTATAACGCCCCTATCATAGCGGAAAGAGAAGTCAGTCATCAGATTGAACAAGGCCCTCTTCTGTCTGATGCAGACAGGTGAGTGTAGTACTTACCGATATGATCCACCTTGTCTTCCTTGCCCGCCTATATTCAGTCGGCACCTACAAGTAGGCAGGACAAGCGACGGGACCCTGCTTGAGAGCTCGGTTTCTCGGTAAAATCAAGGTGGCGAGCCACCGCTTTCACGCATATGGCCAATGGGTTGTCGAATGATAGGTGGATGGCGTGCGCATATTGTGCCCGTTGGCAATCGTAGGTGAGCGGGAATTGTAAGAGAAGAATTTTCAAGGACAGGGAAGGCTTATCGTCCTGCAGGAGGTTGATTGCGCATGGGGATATTGTCCCCTAGGCGAGGGAAATGGATTGATTCCCAGTGTATATCATGGGATGAATCGAGGCAGACATGTTGATTGATAAGGAGGGGGGTCGGGAGGGATGTGGATGATTCCTCGAGGTGAAAGCCACGAGTTAAATGGCTTAAAAAGACTGGAGTTACGAGTGAAAGCACGAGTGAGAGCACGTGAGGGAAGTGTTGAGCTCTTCAGGTACAGGCCAGGTCACTCCTTCCTTTCTCGGCCTTGTGATATTATGTCAGTGATGTTAACGACCTCGAGAGACCTCCCAAGGTCGGGAGTACATGTAAGTAGTGTGCTTCCACTCCTATTATCACAGGCTGAAAGAATATCACAATTGCAACTTTAAATATTCAGGTATCTCTCATCGACGTTAAGAGACACCAAGTGCCCTTCATCTATCTAAACCAAAACTGATCACTCCCTCTCCAGGTCCTGTGGCCACACAACTGGGAATCCAAGAGCTTCCCTTCTTTGGAGTGTCGCCTTTTTCCACTTCCAATACTCAGACAACCGAATTTCCGATGGCAGATGCCCCATGGTTTGGGCAGGACTGTCAAAGTGCAACCTGGCCAATTCACCTGCAAGATCAATGGTAGTCTCCAGCCTTCCATCCACCAGCATGGAGATGGTACCGATTCTCTCATAGACAAATGCCCCATAGTACGCGGTGTGGTAGCTCATATCAGTGATATACTCCAACCAATATCTCAAATAGCGCAAAAGCCACTCAGGACGTGGTTTATACGCTGGAGACATGTCTGTCTCTTCATCAATCCAGAGTCGACCGTCATGTTTATCCAACCACTCGGTGTATCCAATGTCATCAGGGGGATATGGTAGCTCCGTCTCGGCCGGGTGAAAGTCGAGCACGAGATTTTCAACAGAGATCTGACGGTCCTCGTAGGAGGGGTCTCCGTACGAGTTGCAGCGCCCTTTCTTCGCGCCCACTGGTCCATACCGTAAGAATCGCTCCAGCAATGCGTAGAACGACCAATGGAACCCGTAGCGACCACCACAGCCCATTTGCCCACGCCCCTCTTCGCTGGTGATTATGTGGCCGAAAAGGCGCATATCTACGTGCAGTGTAGATAGACGTGTTGTGAGTCGTGGGACCGAGATCCAAGCCGAAAACAGATCCCGATCATTCAGAACTGAGATGTCTAGGACGTAGGTGGTTCTCTTCATTCGATTTAGGGTCGATTGAGTTTCAATTGAGACTTGACGACTTGTCAGGAGGAGAGGGAGACTGTTGGATGGGCTATGCGTATCACGCTGCTCGTAATATGGCCTGAAAGGCCCCATATTGGCTTTGTATTCCATGTCCATAATATCCACCATGTTCGATTTGGATGGAGATGTGGGTGGGACGCGATGGCCATTGATTACCTCTTCGAAGATTATGGCACGGATCTCTTGCGGGAGATCCATCAAGGAAGGCATTGTTGTTGATCAGAGACCTGAATAGCGGGTGAATGCTGAGGAAGTTGAAATATGCTGGGATATGTGGGGGTTTAAAGTCTACGGGTGCCTACATATGTAGATCATCAATCTATCAGCCTACATTTGCTGTTTCACCTTCCACCCTCATTCTCACATTGATTATTAGTTTCCCTTAGTTGCCTTCTTACTTTTCTTTATCAAATTGCCACTGGGTATCGGGGTACAATATGTTGGTGGTTTCGTTGCAAGTAAAACATTACGTACATGCTATAATACAAAAATGTCAAAGAACGTACATGTACTGATGGCGAGTAAAGAGTTTCCTTTGTCTGTTCAACACTAATGGATATATGTACCGTTTGTATTGTAGTTTTTATCGAGAAATATAATTCTACAAAGAATCAACGGATTGGCTTCACAGCCGTATGTTTGTTTCAAATCGACGACCAGATAGGTACATGTGAAAGGACATCAATAACTATTACAAGAATAGTAGGCCGCTTATGTGGCCTTTTGACGTCTTTTTAGATGTATTTTTCCAAAGTTATTTTAGATGTCTTTTTTATAGATATTTCCCCCCTTATTGGTGTTGTAGCTAGAATATAGACGGCGAAAACGGCTTAAAATGTGCCAAACAACTTTTCTATGTATAACCTTTTATTGATGTAATTGTAGCATCGTACTAGGTCACCCAAAGAGATAACAAGAAAATGGTATATTTGATTAACATGATACACCTGAAAATATATGCACGCCCTGCGAGCAGGGTCAAACCACCAAAAGACAAACACTACATTAATATTAAAGCACCCGCCATGGACGAGAAGTCTACCTAACCAGCTCCCACTCAGCAACATAAGCCCAACCCATACCAACCCGTCCAACCTTCTCCTGGAACTCCTGCGCCGTAACATCACTAGCATCCTTCCGATCCCCAAAGCTAGTCAACACAGCCAACTGCAGCTTCTGACCCGGCGCACCGAGCATACGCGCACTGGAGACATCCACATACCAGAACTCGCCACCGCCCGCGGGTCTGGAGCCTGGTACGTGCGTGAAGGGAAGTCTGTCATCCTCGCGTCCGTCCACGCCATGGATCATAAGCAGGAACAAGCCCGCATGCTGGATGTGGCTGTGGCGGGCGAGTGTCCAGTGCGGACAGAGAAGACCGAACTGGAAGCGCATTGCGCCCGGCGTGCTGATGGAGATGTGCAGGCCTTGTGGGTGGAAGGTCTTGCGGCCGATGGTGCGCTTGTCGGCGTCGCTGTAGACCTTTAGGCCTTCGACGCCATTTGGTCGTTCCGGGTCTGTGAGAATGTACTCTTCCCATGTTAGATCGGGACGTCCGTCCTCGCGGAAGAACTGGCGTTTGTTTTCGGGGAAGTGCTTTAGGCCGAACTCTTCGTTCGGGATTGAGAACATCGCCGGTTCGAATCGCTGCTTGTATGGTTGTCCGGCGCCTTCTATTGCTCCTGCGCCCCAGCAGGAGTCGATTAGTTTCCATCGGCCTCCGTCGATTTTGACGGCGTTCCAGGCGTGGTTGCCGTTGTATGGTGGAACTGGAGTCCCTGGTGCAAGAGCGTTGTGTCCAAAGCCTTTGCCGTGGCCGCCGACTACTATTGCCTCTAGACCGGCGTGGGTGGCTAATGCTGCAAATAGTCCTGCGTAGCCTTCGCAGACTGCCATTCCAGATGCCAGAGTACTGGCTGGCGTGGAGGGCTTCACGCAGTTGTTAAAGAAGGCATAGGTATCGTAGAAGATGTTATGATGCAACCACGTAAATATCGCACGTGCCTTGTCTGTCATGGATGGGAATGGTGCTGTCAACTCATTGGCCAGCCACTTCATATCCTGTGTGGGAAGCGATTCGCGAGGATACCGGGCTGCATGGTTATCAGGGCCTGAGAAGTCCCGACATACCAAACATTCCGTGTCTGATGTGGGAGGTGGAGGGCTTGAAGACACGGCTGACCCATTCAAACGTGGCTTTGTAGCCAGGATTTTGGATAGATCCGGACGAGAGCCATGTGGGATCGGTGGTGGTGTTCCATTGGGGGCAGTTCTGCTGGGTTTGGGTGGAAAGGTTGGACTTGTATTACCAAACCCGAACTGCCTAGCATCCTTGATTTGCGCAGCTGTTGGTGGAGGAGGCAATGTCTTCCGAATCGGTAGATTGACACTTGAGTCATCACTTGTTCCATTTGTGTCTGTATGTACCCCGGATGGCCGGCGTGGTGGCAGTCGAGGCACCGGGGGTTCCTCTTCGGCCTCATAGCGTGGGGGTGGCTGGCTAGGATGTGGAGACGAAGTAGGCCGTGGAGGCTGCGTAGGACGAGGAGGTTGACTCGGCAGTTCAGGCCGACTTGGAGGAGAGGGAACGGGCGGTTTGGACCCCGGTAGCGATATTTTGGAGGTCAATCGCGCAGACAAACTCCCAAAGCTCCTCTTACTACTAATCGTAGGCCGCGGGGGCTCCAAACTGGCTTGCTCCTTTGGTCGGCGGGGAGGCAGCGTAGGCAGTTCTGTCTCGCCCCATGCAGGCGCCTTGATGCGATTGTTCCCAGTAGAATTCACCGAGGTTGTTGATGTGCCCCGCCCTGCAGTTGTAGCTGTCGACGTTGTCGAATATGACGCATCAGAAGTGACCGACTCAACGGATGGCCTGCGCTTTTGATCCGTCGGTCTGCGCGGTGGTAGCGCAGGACGAGCTGGTGTAGGGGGAGGCAGGCGATCTGATCTTCGCGTGGGCAATGGTGGAGGGGCTTTTGGCTTTGGTTTCACTTCAGGCCGGAGAGTTTCCATTGGAGGCGGTCGCAGGACCGGCCTCTGGGTTCTATCATCTGCGGGTTCATTTCCGACAGATGCTCGGTCTACCACAGAGCCGACTGCATCGTATGAGGGGGGGTTGTTGGCTGACGCGCTCCGTTCGGGGGTCGGGCGGAATGATGGTCCAGGGCCTCCCGGTGGGCGGGCCAGTTGGGACTGGTTGAGGGCGGCGATCCGTTGCTGGATAGAGTTCAACTGAGGATCTTCGGCCATGGTGCTTGGGCGTATATTGAGGGGGAAAGTCGAGACGTGTTTAGATAAATTAGACAGCTCGAGCTTAGGTACCTCGTTCTTGGCTTGGCGGGGGCGAAAGTAGCCTCGTCGGACTCTGAAACACCCAGGAGAAGTATCACAAATATGAATTATTACTGATAATTAATTCCAGCCAGAATCCCCGTGAGAAAGACGGGGAAAGGCCAGCGAAGAAGAAAGAAAGGAAACCAAAAAAAAAGAGGCTCAATTAAAGAGGGGTCAGCCCTGGGGCCATGTACGGCTGTTCCCATGGGTCCAGATCTATATTTGGAAATTCAAGGTACATTCATCGTATCTCTACAATATACAAAGTAAAGCCCTCGAGGAATTGCAAACAGAAGAGGTTTGAATGTATTTCCAGAATATCACGATTCGGACTCCCAAACGCCTTAAGCTGGTGAAGCCCTCATCTGGAACACAAAAAAAGGAACACTAGGTACGTTCAGAGATGAATGAAGGAAGAAGATGAAGCAAAGAAAATGACAAGGAGAAGGATAGCAGTTAAAAAAAACAAGCCTCGAGATCTCCGACTGATAGCATGCAACCTGTCCAGAAGAGCCCGAGGCTGTGATACAGACATAAGAAAGGTCAAGTACATCGTTGAAAGGAAAGGGAAATTCACAAAGTGGTAAAGCCGTGAGGGTAGAGGGCCAGCGTCGATCATCAGCAGCGTCACTTCGTCCCAATGTACATCATCGTCAGGGCAAACGGGCAATTCTTAGACATTCTTGTAAAGGAGCAGGGGCTCGCCAACATTTTCGATCTCCGGAATGGTACACTTTAGATCGAACGCCTTGGCTAAAACGATCTTGAAGATCTGCAGTGGGTCAGCATGTGTCCTATCAGACTTGAAATAAACCGAGCAACAGGGTATGGACGGCTGCAGCATACCTTTTGGACATTGATGCTGTGGCTGGTGCTGCTGAATATCAGACTAGCCTTCATCGCCTTAGCAAATCGCTTGGCCTGCAAATATGTTAGTTGCTGCAGGAAAATAGACAAGGAGCACCAAATACCTGAATAGAGATCTCCTCCTGATCCTCACGGGGGAAGTTCACAAAGTGATCATACTTGGTGCCCACCAGGAAGGGAATGGCTGTCTTATTGAAGCCACGTCCCTGGCGATACCACTCCTTAATTGAGTTCAATGTACTCTTGCGAGTGAGATCAAACATGAAAAGAATTGCAACAGCGTCATTGCAGACAAGCGGTAGCATATTAACAAACTCGCGCTGGCCACCAAGATCCCAAATCGAGAAGGTGATTTCAGTGTTGCGAATCGAGATTGTCTTTTCCATAAAGTTGACACCTAAACACAGTCCTTGGTTAGAAATAACAGAGCTACCGAATGGACAGAAATTCAACTCACCCAATGTCTGGATGTAATCCTCATCCCAGCTGCCCTCGACGTACTTGACCATCAAACTGGTCTTTCCGATCTGTGCATCGCCTACCATACCAACTTTAATCACCACACTGTTCTTATTAGCCTGAGCGGCTTGGCGCTGGCTGGCGTCTTGTTGCTGTAACTGGGAAACACCAGGGGCGCGTTCTGGGCCACTGGAGAGTCCAGATCCGGGCCTGGAGTTGGGAACAGGGAGGGGGTGGTGGTTGAGCAATGGAGATGAGTTCTGGCGGGACTGGTCGGTATCTTGGGCGGCGTATTCGGGAGCAGACTGATGAAAGTCGGTCGATCGGGAGTGGTAATGCGCCTTCGAGTCGCTGTTATAGCCATTGTTGATGGCGGCACGGCTGGTTGTGTGGTCCGAAGCCGGCTCTTCAATATTGACCGAGACAGGCGCAGGCTGCTCCAGAGGTTGATCCAGAGTTCGTTCGAGAGGCTGCTCCAGAGGCTGCTCGGGCGGAATCTCCTGTCCCTGTCCGTGTGCTTGCTCCTGCGCCTGTTGCGTCTGATCCTCTGGGGCAATCTGCTCAGATTCCGCAGCGACAGGAACAGCGGGCGCTTCCACCTCAGAGGCAGCAAGAGGCTCAAAATCCGGCTTAGTGAACTCCATGACGTTTCAAGATCGGTATCGGTGTAGAATTCAGAGATGCAACTGTCAGACGAAGTCCTGATTGTCAGCATATACGTGTTGGATGGAGGATTTCAGGAGGTGACTAACCAATATCACAAAGGGCTGAAATTCCAGCGCAATCTAACGAGATTGCATGTGTATTGCCTCAAGGGATTGTTTTAAGAAAATTGAAGAAGCGGAGAGCTGTGTTGATTCTCGGAAGTTCAAGCGGACAAGGGTTGTCCCTGAGTAAACAGACCGAATTGGGGGGGAGCGACGAAAATCCGAAGCGAAGCAAACAAAATGCAGGAACCAGGCTGGAAATGAATGTCAAGTATGTGATTCCTTTTGAAACAGCAGGGCCCAGGCACATAAATAAGAACGTCGAGGCTTCTTACCTTCAGCTCGAGGGCGGGCAATTGGGATCTGACGCTAGACCGCGATAGGTTTAGCGCCGCTCCCACGCTGTTGCTAAAATTTACGGAAAAAAAGTTCTTATCGCACATCCCCCTCCTCGGTCTCGACACTCTTATAATTAACACTTTTCCACGGATTGCAAGATGTCCAAGAGAAGTGCTGAAGTCGACGAGCACACTGCCGCCCTCAAGGCTGGCGAGCGGCCAATTTCAGACGCCCCAATGGACGAGGCGGGGGAGTTTGAAGACGAGTACGAGGATGAATTCGAGAGTGAAGATGAGATCCTAGAAGCTGGAGTGGATGGTCGCCCAGATGCTGAGCGCGAGGAAGAAGAGAAGGGTTCGTATTCTTTACCTGAACATTCAAGTCTGTTCAACTAACCTTATTTAAATCTTATAGAAGCTATGGATGTCGACAAGGAGACTTTCATTCCTGGACGAACAAAATTGGCTCCCGGAGAGACACTATCGCCCGATCCCTCCACCTACGATATGCTTCACACACTCAGCACACCCTGGCCATGCCTTTCCTTCGATATTGTGCGCGATTCGCTCGGTGATAACCGCAAGACCTACCCCGCTACTGTCTACGCTGTTACTGGTACACAAGCTGAGGGCTCGAAATCCAAAGACAACGAACTCATGGTGCTCAAGATGAGCGGCCTGAGCAAGATGGAGAGGGAGGGCGAGGATTCAGACAGCGACTCGGACGACGATGACATGGGCGAGCCCATCCTCGAGAGCAAGTCGATCCCACTTGGATCAACGACAAACCGCATCCGTACCCACCAGACCCCCTCCCAGTCCGGTGACTACTCCAAGCCCCCGCAAACCCTTACCGCGACCTGGCTCGAGAACTCGCAAGTCGTCATTCACGATGTTACCGCCCACCTTTCCAGCTTCGATGTTCCCGGCACTATTCTTCCCCCTTCGGCATCTAAGCCTCTTTCCACACTGCGCATGCACAAGACCGAAGGGTATGCATTGGACTGGTCTCCGCTCCAGCCTCTTGGAAAGCTGTTGACCGGTGACAACAACGGATTGATCTACGCCACCACTCGCACCGAAGGCGGAGGCTGGGTTACCGACACCCGGCCGTTCACAGGTCACGCTTCCTCAATTGAGGAATTGCAGTGGTCTCCCAACGAGCGCAATGTGTTTGCATCCGCTAGCAGTGATGGTAGCATCAAGGTTTGGGATGTGCGATCCAAGTCGCGCAAGCCCGCCGTGGACGTCCAGGTCTCCAACACCGATGTGAACGTTATGAGCTGGTCTAACCAGACAGCTCACCTTTTGGCCAGTGGTGCCGACGATGGACAGTGGGCAGTCTGGGATTTGCGTCACTGGAAGCCCAATGCCGCGGCGCCTTCTGCTCAGATCACCTCTACCCCCGTTGCATCATTCGACTTCCACAAGGAGCCGATCACCACTATCGAATGGCACCCCTCAGACGACAGTGTGGTGGCTGTTGGCTCTGCAGACAACACTGTCACACTTTGGGATCTTGCTGTCGAGCTGGACGACGAAGAAAGCCGCCAGGCCAACATGGTGGACATTCCTTCGCAACTGCTGTTCGTGCACTATATGGAGTCTGTCAAGGAACTCCACTGGCAGGCACAGATGCCTGGTACGCTCATGGCGACCGGCAGCAGTGGATTCAGGTATGTTGTATTTTTGATAATGAGTTATGAACCAAGCTAACCAGCCCCGTTTTATAGTGTTTTCAAGACGATCAGTGTCTAGACGAAGAAAATGTATCTACGCTCCGACTGAATCGGGAATTTCATGTGCCATGTCTTGCTCATATACCATTCGAATTCTGTGGATTTTTTGCTCCTCAATATCATTATGCTCGGAGTTAGACCCTTTCCTTCAAATGGTTAGGGTGGGTGAACAAAAAGATTTTGTCTTTATATCTGGCATAGTAAATAGACATCTTTACACGAAATTCCTGGGCAGTAGTTCACTCGGCTCCGACTCTTCCATCGCATTCATATGTCAATGACGTTGATATACATTCAGGGCTAGATGATACTTCACATTCAACGGCGGAATTAGACCCAGGCAATTCCGCCTCGTTTGGAGGGGGAGGGGCAATCTGCAATGCAAAACATCAGCAGAGCAGGTGCAGCGGAAAATACACCCATACCAACACTACTTCCACGGGTTTACTCAGATACGTACCGACGTAATTTCATCCTCGCCTCTTCAAAACACAGATCAAATGTACAAGGCGTTAGCAGGGATAACCTGCACCTATGCAAAGTCACTACAAAGGATGGCCCGTGCCAGATCGCCAATGCGCCATTAAATACATACTGCATATTACATACATATGCAGCCTATTATATGGGACGTGACCTAGTACATATCCCATGTACTCCGTAGCTTTTCGGCGCTGAGTTAGCCTGGGGCCGAGTCGGGGTGCGACGAATGAGCCAGTCGCTTCAATGATCCTCCAGGGCTGCGCTGGTTAGTGGCGGGTAGAGTACGAAGTAGCCGCGAATATATTTATTTGTTTATACTAGGTTTTATGTGGAAATAGGTCGATGGCATTTGGAAATACAGAATAGATGAATGGTACAATCCTTTGTATACGTTATATGTTGTAGTCTTGGGGAGGCCTCGGTTGGAAGATCGACCCTGGTTGTGCATTGTGGCGATGTGGGATGTTTTCTTTGCGCTGTCAAAGCGAAAAGACCCACTCGATGTTGCTATGCTGTAGTTATATTGGTCATTCATTGTATGGATATTGGAATGCCATGGCACAAGTACATATGGAGACAGTGGAGTGGATTGATGCTCCAGGTATGACATACATGAATTCGAATGGAGACTGTTGAGCGCATTTTAATGTCAGACAGTTTTAACTGTTGTGCTTGTGTTGCTCGGCTCGAGACATCGGAATCAGTTGAGAAGTATACTGGCGTGTGAATAGTGTCTACAAAGTGCACCTCGGTAGTGGCCGTATACCTGGAAACAGTGTGTATAGCACTACCTAGGTATGTACCTACAAGCTGACTGCATACAACGCATGGTACCTCACGCTAGAAAATCAATCGATCTGATCTACCGGCCAAGTCTGCTCCTATCCAATCCGCTGGAAAAGAGGACATTCAATGCTCCCTCGTCATCGTGCCTGCAATAAATACCGCTAATGCATGCCCGAGCCAGCCCGGTCAATCACATCAGATCTAACTGCTCTTTCGTTTTAGCAGAGCAGCAGAAACAGGCTAAAATAGGTCCTTTGCGACATCGGCTATTCTCCGGTCAAATAAATCTCTCCGATATCAGTCTGGTCCAGCCTCTTTGTTTTCTCTTATCGGAGAATTCGAGCGGTTTATTCCGCCTATCGGTAATTTAATGGTAAAGTAGTCCACATGTACAGATTAATCCTAAATAGTTATCTCGCTACAACCTATCGAGCATATAATGTTACATTCGATGTACTCCGTACTAGATCCAAAACCAAAAATACTAAATATAAACATCCTCATGTCTGATCTTAGCGCTGGATAAACTCCATGACTTGCCACAAATGCTTCTCATTTCCTTGATAAAAAAGCACTGTTCCTGGGTAGGTCCGAACACACTGGTGCACTGACGCACCCGTAGAATTGGCAGCTCCCATCCTGTATGATCCGACCTTATACCCACACTAAACTCTGATCGTCCACGCAGGGACTCGGACCATCCAGTCAGACGGCGAGCTTGAGCGCCTGTCCATGCGCTGGGAAATCCTTTCCTAACTATTACTACTGCACAAGAGGTAGCTGTTGCGATCTGCATCCGATGTAGTATTCCTACTACGTACTATCCGGAGACATAACGTTAGTACGGAGTAGAATACATATACAAACCAAGTACGGTAGTCTGCTTTGATAGCTGTAAGCCGTTATTTGTTATCGTTAATGTACGCTGTAGTCATAATATTCATATCTGGAATAATACTCCGTAGTTTATGTCGTATCAGCCACCTCGTGTTATCACCGGGCCCCATACGTTATCCAGGCACACGGCCGAGAACTACATTGCGAATTAATAATACATAATAAATGCCCGTATTTTTCGTTTAAGGGAGCTTGCGGGAGCTCCACTAGTCTCCGTATCTTCCGCTATCCACTATACTGCTTTATTGTTGCTTGGATTGCGATTGCATGTTTCAAATAAATATGTGGGTGGCCAGTTGATCGTGTGCGACATTGGACACCTTTGATTCTGACCGGTATAATTTTTTGGTCAATTGCCGTTATTCACACCTTGGGTCCTCGTCTCGATGCCCCGGCGCTGATCATCCGTCCACGGCTGTGGTGCCGTCACCCCACGTCTTTTTGCCGCTCGATCTGGAATGATGACGGAGCAGTTGGGGTACCTTTTTATTATTTATTATTTGGTTTCAACAAATTAAGATGCACATAAAAAGTTACAAATATGGTAGGTCGGCTTGATTCAACCGAACCATTCTGGTTCGACTTGTCTGTATTAACGGTTTCATTGTGGACCTATAATGGCAAGAATAGTCGGCCGGTTATTCCCCCCGAAATGCTTTTTATATGTATTTTTTGAGGTCTTCTTAGGTGTATAAGAAAGCGGTAAGAAGCACACTTTGTGCAGACGACTTTTTTTATAATCAGGTACGCAGGCGAGACAGCTCGGAGCCTCAGGAGATTAAACAGAATCATATAGGAGGCGAATGATCAACTAGGCACATCAATATTCTTCTTCAGGCTAATCTGATTACATCGAGGTTAATCGGGAAGGGAAAGTACGATGTATAGACTGTTAAGGTCCAAGCCAATGACACCTTATCTCAGTCTGTACAACATGTATTCTTCACAGGTAACTAATAAACGACACCGGGTAGTGATACCCGGTAAGGAGAAAAACAGAAACAAAAAGGCACGGCTTAAAGTCCGATCAGGGGTGTAAGTTCCGCCATCCCGCGTCGAAGCCACAAGCACTGGCCACTAGGCACCCGTGACACGCAGGGCTAGGATGTGGGCGCTTCGGAGAATTTTTGTGGATATTTTAATAGCTAGACATTGCCTGAGCCGGTGTTTCATCGTCTGTAATTTATTGTCTCAATGAATATTACTGCGTAAAATATGACGGGGTGGAAAAGGCGTATACACCCATGCGTCGCACATATGGTACAGAGATCATCCGCGAAGCGCGGTTAGGCAATAACGTTTGATGGACTCGGCACTCGATGTATGGGCGCTCATTCAAGGATCCCCCTGTTGGCTGGCATACGATGTAGTGACTAGTGTAGTGTCTAGTGTATAGTATCATTGCATGATTAGGGTCAGTGGCGTCTGCCCCTGAGTTGCTGGTGACCGAGCTCATGACAAAGTGATGACTTCTTCAATGTGTTGGACCTGCATCAGGAGATTGGTTGGAGCTGGCGGATGTCCGGGCAAGGCTTTTTCCCAGGCTTGAAATTCGTCTATTTAGGCTAGATGGCATTTACGAACGGCCTCGCTGGGTTGCGTAACATCGTATTGGCTGTGTTCAACCCCGGTGAACTGTGTTTGGGGTTGGGTGTTGTACGATGCTTCAAATCTGTAGGTGAGACATGTCTTTGCTAGAATATCGCCCTGGTTCATCCAAGGCTTTGGGGTATACTCCGTACTCCGTGGCTCGCTGCCGGACATATCGGATTATTGCTCACGGGGTTCCAACACGGCAATTATACTGATGTGGCTAAAGTCCCTTTTCATCTAAACGTGCATAGACGCATGCAGATTATTGGAAATAGGTCGGATGCCTTAGGTATGCCAATGTTCTTAAGGGGAAACTCAGACCCTTGAGTTGCAGCTTATTTGCTCATCCACCTAAGGGATTGGCCAGTGCCATCTTAACAATCCGGATCAACCCAGCATCAACACAGCCTAGAGACAGCTCACTGCGTTGGAGCTATGGAGGGTGGCTTGCGGTACTGCTGTTTCATTTGTCGCTCGACCACCCTTGACTCATCTCGGGTCACCTGCAGCTTCCTTAGACTCGCTCTAGTATGCTAGTTTGACTAGTGCATTGTCCAATCCGGGGGATTCTGCAAAGGAGATGTCCGTGCGACCGAATTGCGAGCCTACAATGTACTCCAATGGCGAAATTCGGAGAAATGAGAGACTATGGGGGAGTTTACAAAGAAACTTTTATTGCTGTGTGACCACTTTCCTCTTCGTCTGCATTCAAGTCAACCTTCCAAGGTTGGAAGGATCCAAAGGCTGTATCAGCACCGAAAAATACTGGATCATCGCCATAACCCCAGATCAGCGATCCGATGGTCGGCTGCACGCCCAATGGGCTTGAGTGTCCATCTTCGCCTTGTTCCGTGCGACCCAAACTCAAAACGGCGTGGCGCAACGTGCGCAGTGAGTCCATACAGCGACGGGATGGGGATTCTAGAAAACGCTCAAGGGGCAGATTCCGGGGAAAGCAAATTAAAAGTCTGGGGGAGCCAAGAACCAAAAAAAGAAAAAGAAAAAGAAAAAAAACCCCAAAAAAAGACCCCATATATTTCCAATGTTTCTCTTCCAAATTTACATCCTGCCATTTGAGACCATGTGCAATAAGGAACCGGAATATCCCTTGCTGGCACGTCCAATTGCAGAACAGCCGCATGTCCTATTCCGTTTTATGTTCTCTCCTGGGTGTTGGGAAAATCCCCCACACGAACCCTTTTTTTGGCTCTCCCCCACAAAAATGGCGCATGGCCTATTCGTTGGCGGATCTTTCCGCTTATTCATACCCGGACACTCCGCCCCGGGGTGGATTCTTTTTGGTCGTAGGTTTCATTTGCTACTCTGTACGGGAGCCTTCCAAGGTTGGAAAGGAGTAAAATGAACATTTGAAATCAAATCAAATCAAATGACTGACACCAGAACCTGTCACGAGGTCTTGCCGCCTACATATTATATCATACTCGTACATATATATTACCATTATATTAAACGTGTATGGGCTTGTTATTCTCAGTAACTCTCGGGCCCACTCCGATACTTCCAGGAGAGAATATTAAATAATTAAATATCACCCTGGGGAATCTGGTTAGTGCAGCCACGTATTCTTTATGTACGGAGTACGAAGTAACCTCAATGTACACTATATAATACCATCATAAGTTGAGTCAATTCTAATGAAACCCCAAATTCCCGAATTCCTTTCTGAAACAAAAAACATTCTTCAATTGCATTCCACATAGCAAAACTAGATGTTTCATGAAAGGGTAAGATAATGCCTAAATAACACAATACTAGTCAAGTCTGGCGTTACGCCGCTAATCCCGAGAGGGCAAGCCAGTGGAGACCAATTCACGCTGATAACCAGAGCCAGGAACTGGTGGGCGTCCAGTAGAACGTGCGTGTCCATAAGATTTAGTCTACGCCGCATTTGGTATCACCCTAGTTAATCGTGGGGACATCATTGGCAGAGACAGTCAGCCCGTGTGTCTGGGATCCACCCTCTGCTCTCTGTATCGGTACCGTCTGCTGGCTTGTCTGTCGCTGGTCTGCTGCGTGGTTGTCTGGGCCTGGCATCGCCCTAGTTGATAGTTGCCTCGTATGTACCTTCGGTGTACCTTTGTCCTCGGACCCCCTTATCGTCGGTACCTCCGCAGTACTTCCTCAGTAATTCCCGGTTAGCTCTCTACCCGCCACTACTGCCACTACCAACGGTGTATGTAAGTACCCTGACCCAGGTACCTCGCTCTGCTCTAGAACGACTCAACTCAACCTTCGGAGGCAATTTCGAACTTCCCAACCACTTCACCTCTCCTAACAACCTCTTATTTTCACCAACTTCGCTTCCCCAGTGTTGTTGTGGTTTCTTTGCTTATCGACAATTGCCTATCTGCACTCCATCGGTTATCTCCGGCTTATCCAACTCCCTCCAAGTTGCGAGATCAATTCCCTCAATGCATGCCCGAGTTTAAAGCATCCAAAGTCACTGCTCTAGCTCCGCCAGTCTGATGTGAGTGATCTGACCGAAGCGCTATCTCCGGGCATCATCCATGTTAGTCCGGTTCGCTGATGTTTCCGATCCCTCCAAACAGACGTCAATACTAGGCTCCATACCCCCCATACTGGTCTCAGGTCCCCATATCCTGCATTTAACCGAAACTCATTCAACACCGTCTTCCGGGCACATAGCGACCTTCGATAGACCGACTGTAATTTCGTTTCCCTTATTGGTGGGTCCCGTTCATCTATCTCACGGCAAGGTTCCTGATAGCCTGCCTCGGTACCTTGGGTCGTTGTGATAGCACCCTCTACGCATCATATGAGACATATGCTGACTTGATGTCATTTGGATGGAACAGTCGTTGATGCGGCACATTGTACAAGTTTGAAACTTCAAATATCGTGCAGACCCGATCTTCGCTCAATCATAAGATTGACGCAACCTCTCTCCGTTAGCAATTTCCCGCACGTCGCAATTACCCCCCACCTCCGAGACCAGTGGTCAACACTCTGGTCGGTGAGGAGTTTTTGAAGACTAGAATGCTATTGGATGCTATGGTCGGACAAGATCGGGACCATAGCCCAAAAGTCGTGGACCTTGCTAGTATCCACGAAATTCCGGGAAATATGCCTGGTGAGTTTGGCTGAGACACTTCCCCTGTGTGCAATTCTTACCCATATATCTGTAGCTCCAAAGGACTCAAAGAAGCAGACCGACCTAAACGGCCAAACGGGTGCCAATGGCAATATCCCGCCCCCTAAAACAGACAAGCCTCGGCCCCACGTCTGCACCACCTGCGGTCGCTCGTTCGCGCGATTGGAGCACCTCAAGCGCCATGAGCGCTCGCACACAAAGGAAAAGCCATTCGAGTGTCCGGACTGCGCCCGGTGCTTCGCTCGGCGCGATCTGCTCCTGCGACACCAGCAGAAGCTACACATGACCACCACACCGTCTTCTCGACCGAGAAACGGTCGCCGTGAGAGCACCGGCGCCGCACCTGGTGCTAACCGTGTTCGCAAGAACTCCATTGCCAATACTTCATCTTCGTCGATGCGCCCGAGGGCTAACACCATCAGCCACGTTGATGGGGCGGCCTTAGGTATCCCCGGTGCCGGTAATCCGTCATCTGCGCCCACTCAATCGGGCCACGCATATCACCCCAGCCTTAGTTCTTCAGTTGGCTCAAGTATGGACTATAGGGGATTCGGCTCTGGACACCCTTCGATGAACGGCCTTTCCAAGATCGAAACTTCCGGGCTTCCCATGGACATGTCCGGAGGACTTCGGACTGCCCCCGTGTATGGGAGCTTTGATACGGGCATCGATGGCATGCTGATGGGTCACGGTAGCACCATCAACCCCGCGCAATTACACTTTGCAGGATCCCCGCAAGGCTTCAACGATTCGCCCTCGTCTCCATTCGGTCACTATCACAATGGACTTCAACCCTCTGCGGATCCCATGATGGATGAAGAGATGCACTTTGACTGGATGAACGGGTTTGACACAGGTGTGGTTATGGGAAATGGCAACGACTCGGTTATTGACGAGTCCTCGCCATCAGCAATGAGCACGGGTAGCCAGAGCGGAATCAGCGAGGCTATGCTGGATGGCCCGAATCGCATTCCCATCTCCAACGGTTGGCATAACCCGTTCCCTGCGCACCACCACCCAGCCAACCAGTTCGCGATCGACTTTTCCCCGACGACATTGAATGATTTGGGGATCCCCCCGGAGACAGTGTCGCCTAAGTCTCTAATGGCCCAGAATCCGTTTTCTGAGACGTATGCCACGCCTCCTTCTATGACCTCGGTCGGCCAGCCCATCATGGGAGGACATTCGCAGAGTATGTTTTCCTCTCTGGCAACAAACGGAGAATCTCCTAATCCTCTCAACGTTCCTTTCCCGAATAGTGCCCTACGAAATGAACATTCACCAGTCTCAACGGATACATTTACAGACTCCACACGACAGGCTCTATTAGCGAGCATGTCGACCCCCACTGGCTTCAATCATCGCAAGTATTCCCAGCCCGCAAGCGGACTTCTAAACAGTCGTGAGTTGTTCGCCCGCTCGACTGGCTTCAACAGCTCCGGTCAACTTCCCAGCACCTCGGACTTGCAGCGGTACATCTCGGCCTACATCACCTACTTCCATCCTCATATCCCGTTTCTCCATATACCTACCCTCAATTTCCAAGCACCCCAGTACACGAACAACCTGCGCACCCCTAGCGGACACCTCAATCTCAGCTCGACCGGCGTCGCTGGAGGCGGGGGTTGTCTGATTCTCTCCATGGCAGCTATCGGTGCCCTGTACGAATACGAATCCGCCGCCTCCAAGGATCTCTTCGACGCCGCAAAAAAAATGATTCAGTTATACCTCGAAGAACGACGAAAGGCCGACATGTCTGCTGCTCTCAATCGTTCACATTCCTCCCGCGATAGCTCCGTACACAATACCCCGCTTTGGCTGGTGCAGGCAATGCTATTGAACGTAATATACGGCCACACCTGCGGTGACAAGACATCTGCAGACATTGCGAGCACGCACTGTGCTGCTTTGGTCAGCCTTGCACGCGCGGCCGAATTGACGCATCATCTGGATCCCAAGAACCTGCCACAAGATCATCTCACCGCTGGTAACAACGGAAATGATTCTCCTGGTGACTCGGAAAACTGGATATCTTCGTCATTTAGTCAACCGAAAGAGCGCCGAGATTGGCTGAATTGGAAGGTTGTAGAGGAGCGGAAACGTACCCTCTACGCTATCTTTGTTCTTTCCAGCTTTCTCGTCTCCGCCTACAATCATGCACCCGCACTCACAAATTCGGAAATCCGCCTTGACCTCCCCTGTGAAGAGGATCTCTGGGCGGCCGAATCACCCCAGGCGTGGAAGCAGATGGGCGGCCAAACAGCCTCGAAGAAGACTCTGTCATTTTCTGCTGCTTTGACGTCTCTTCTGACTGCCAGCCAACGAGAGCAAAATCAATCGGCGAACTTGTTCTACAACTCTGATGATCTGGCTAATTCTGAGAACCGCCCAAGCACTTTCGGCTGCCTGGTGCTCATCTACTCGCTACACAACTACATCTGGGAAACCCGCCAAAGGCACATGGGCCGACAATGGACCGCCCAGGAGACCGATGCTATGCAAGCCCATATCGAGCCCGCTCTACGGGCATGGCAAGCGGCATGGGCCAGCAACCCTGTCCACAGCCTAGAGCGACCGAATCCGTTTGGGGCTGGACCTCTGTCAGCAGACAGCATCCCCCTTCTAGATTTGGCCTATGTTCGTCTGTTCGTCAACCTAGGCCGATGCAAAGAGGCATTCTGGCAACGCGATTGGAATGGCATGGCGGATGAGCTCGCACGCGGCACTGAGATTTTCCAGCACCCAGATGCTGCAATGAACGACGTTGTGGATCCGTCTCTCACGGGTCACCTTGATACGAGACGAGACTCCATCGCCGATCTAGGAGTATCAGATCTAGCTATCTCCAAGACACCGACGCAAGACGAGCCCATGCAGACTCTCTCCAACATCTACAAGATTGGCCAATCCAAACGTGAAAAGCACCTGCGCAAAGCAGCGTTCTACGCGGCGGATTCCATCTCCATGTCGAATCGTCTTGGTAACACCTTTGCCGAGTTCTCGTCGCGCGAACTACCAATCCAGTGCGCCTTGTGTGCTTTCGATTGTGCACAGGTGCTGGCCGAGTGGATCACCACTGTTCAAGAACGGGTGGGCCCCTACCTTGGTATCCTAGGCCGCGACGATGTCGATTTGACCCAAGTACCTGGAGTCATGCTACTAGAAGACGAGGATTGCAAGCTGGTCGATAAGATCAAGGAGATCCTGGGGAGTATCGAGATGAAAATGCAGCGCCAGTTCCAAAATGGGAATTCCATGTCCGCGCTGAGTGCCGTGCAACGGCTACCCAGTCTTGTGGAAGGGGGATACGGATGTAAAATATTGATTGCGACAGCCAGTCTCTTGGAACGAGCTGCTGTCTGGCCAGGTTAGTTTCAGCAATCCTCCGAACCTCCACAAACCAGAACGATTCTCTAACACCCACCCGCAGTGACGAAACTGATGGCCCGTTCTCTGGAAGCCCAAGCCATGCGAATGAAGGAGCGTACCGAGCACTCCGTGATGATGACCCCTTAATGACCACCCCCACCGTCCTCCCTACTACCTTGTTTGAATGTCCAATGTCTGATCCATTCTATTTCCCCCATCTCTCCAACTCTTTTTCCATTCGCGCGCGTGTATCATGAATAAACAATCCAAGGCAACACCCCACCCATCCCACGAAGCATGTGTATCCGCACCAATAACCCGCACCCGTCCCCTCGCTCGGCTCTATTCGCAACATGCGTACCGCCTTTGATACCCTGCTCTGAGTCTTCAATTATATGTGTCATAGACAAATTGCCTCCTCATGTCATGTCATTTCCCCGCTTGCTAGCGTTCTTGCTTTGTTTGTATCCTCCCTGACTGGTGTCCTTGCTGTGGTGTGATGATTGAAGTGGAGTGTGGCCTTTTTTCTCGTTTCTTTCTCATTCTTGACTTGCTGATTTCGGACGAAGGTGAGATCTCATTCTTTCTTTCCTTTTGCCTGTGCGGTGTTTGATTATCCAGAGTTTTACTTCGTGTGAATATGATTTACCTTCTCTTAAAGGGTTGGTGTTATAGTAGTATGTAGACTGCTAGACTGCAATCCATCCAAGGTTATATATCGAAAATTCCTTTGCACATTTCAAGCCATTTTTGGGTAAGCTGTCTGTTTTGTGTTTGTACTGTGAATCACGGAAAAGTACATACTGTTGAACATAGTAGTAACTAGCACATGCTCTGTGCATCGCTCCTACCTATAGAGATGATGACATAATATTTCCCCACTGCTCGTGGGTCTGGAGGTTGCTGGGCATTAAACGCGTTAAGTGGTTTTCGCGTTAGGCACTCAACTCTGGCAGATACATCTGCCTGGTGTCAATCGCATATGGTCGGCCTACCTCTACACCGGAAATGAATACAACCTCAAAGCATCCGCCCAAACCCCCTCCATCGCAGCGTCCGACTGCCTCGGCTTCTCCACCCAACAATTAATCTCCGCTCGAAACTCAACCCCAATGCCCTATCCACGGCCCGTCTCCCCGGTCTCACTCGAAACATGCGTGCCTTCAGAGCTAGATTCAGATGACCTACTCGCCTCGGATGACGAGCTGGATGACGCTGCCCGAGCTGCAAAGCGTCAGCGGGTCGAGAAGTTGGCGGAATCTTATCTGCAGGGCAAACCACTGTTGATCCTCTCTGCGTCGCTGCGAGGCCCACTCAATGACGGATGGGTCAATCCATGGAAGAAGAATAGGACGCGCGGGACTGGCGCACCGGCGAGGGTTTGCCAGATAAATGTCCCCGAGCGGGTGGTTCAGGAGACTGATTTGCGGGCTCCGAAGTACCGAGAGGGTCTATCGGTTAGTACTCGTCGCCCGGAGATTCCTGCGACATCGTGCAATTCTCCTAGGACCTCGGTGCAAAATGGAGACCGTTCTTCGCCCTCTAAATCGCCACGGAGACAATCCAAGGAACCCACCCCGCGCCCGGGGCATACTGGGCAAAATGGAGCATTGCGACGATCTCCCACTAAAACAAAGGAACCGCCGTCGTCAATAGTGGATGATCGGTCAATGATGCCAATGCCGCCTAGGACAGCAGACTGGCTGAAGAAGGATCGGAAGCTCATGAACTTCACCAAGTTCGAACCGCCGAGCTCGCCGACAATATCCATGGCTTCTCGTCAGTCAGATAAAGCTCGTCGACCGATGCCGCGCTCTGTTCAAGTCCAGGTCCCACAGACGCCGGGATCGCCAACAAAATGCCCTCCTGTCAAAACGGTCCCACCGAAGACAGCCCAGAGTGCTCGTGCGAACTGGAACGGGCACCTATCCCCGCAGTCGATTCCATCGGCTGCTTCAAATTCACCCAGGGCCCTTACCGTTCCGAAATTATCACCATTCCAACAATATCAACAGTCTCATTTGTCACAGGAAGCGTCTCTCCGAATCGTTAATTCTTCCTCTCAGCTGCCGAGGTTTGAATATCGGAGGTGGCTCCGTGAACACTCGAGTCAACAGGGGAAGACTTATCCTATGCCAGATGAAAGTATCCTGCAAGAAGAGACCTTTTTGCAGGGCGACAGTCCCTTGAAAGAAAAGTCCATAGTCGATCCCGTACCTGCGAGGCCTAGTCCCGCTAAGGATCAAGCATTGGATCCTGTTGAACCTGAACCTCAACCCTCGGCTCTTGAAGAAATAGTAGTTCACAATGGGGACTCCATGAAGAAAGATGCAAGCCACAGAACTTTGTCGAAAGAAACCAGGTTTGCAGATGAGGAAGACTTCATAGAAGACAATCTTGCGCCGGATCAGGTAGCAGGGGAAGATGTCGCCGGGGAAGAGGCCGCAGCGCAAGATATTGCAAACGAAGAAGATACATCGACATTCCAAAACACAGATATCTCTGGACCAACCGAACAGAACACCTATGATGATCTCACTTCTGCCCAACAAGTGCCAGCACCTTTGGGGGTATCAGATCGGGTAACGTCATTGCACTCGACGGCTTTGCCAAGAGGAGATTCAGGACAAGACTCACCCCCAAGCCCCGATACCCAGCTTTCGACCCAAGCTGCCCTTTTGCATGCCCAGAAGTCTTTTCAAGACGACCTGGACAGTCCCGAATATTATAATCAACATACACCAGATCCGGACCGAGCAGTGCATTCACCCAATGCTTCACTTCACTCAGCAAATGTCACTCCATTCTACCGTCTAGAAGAGTCAATTCGACGTGATCTAGAGTGGAGTTCGAAATCCATGGACAAGGACGGGATGCATGCAATGAGCACGCAATTCATGCTTGATGCAGCTACACCTTTCAATTTCAGCACCGAGCAAGCAGGTCAAGATCGGAGCTTGAAACCTACGAACAGAACTATGACTCAGGCAATGAATACGCAGTTCATGCTCGATGCAGCTACACCCTACGCCTTCAGCACAGAGAAGAGACAGCGTTCATCCCGGCCGGACTCAGGCTCACCTACAACGAGAAACCCCAAGAGAAAAAGGACGGCCAATATCGGAAGCCCCTCCCCTTCTGCTAGGAGTCAATCAGCATCTATCGACAACGAATATCACACTGCGGAATCCCAATCAGGTGATGATGAAGAAAGCCCACATTCAGTGGCCCAACAGTTGGATCACCAATTAACGTACCAATCTACCACAGAGGCGGCGTCCTTGCCCCTCACCCTAGGCGAATCAATGCCAACAACAGGCCAGGATGGACAAGGTGTCCATCAGGGAATGGAGAGTTTCAACCTCAGTCAGGCAATCGCAGATGCTGGTAGTTGGCTTCAACAAAGTTTTGATTTCATGAAGGACAGCGCTCGACCGAGTCAGAATCTCAAAGCGATTCCTACCTCTGACAAGCACCCTTCACCTTTAAACATGGATCTATCTCAATAACGAGAGCTCCTTGATGCTTTTACGACTAAGTTTTTCGCTTCTTGTTCTTTTCACATCTTCCCATGATCCATAGCGTGTTGAAAGCTTCAGCTTGGTAGCGAAGTTGTTTCGGGATCTCATTAGCATATATTGGTACATTTTCTTTTAGCAACACATATTTGTTATGGTAATTGCATGGTTTACATATGTAGACCTGAAAAAAAAGCTACAAAACGCACCAGAAACGAACAATCACTCATTTGGAGTAGCAAAGTAAATGCGAACATCGTCCTGGCAGCCGTGGATCGACGTCAGGAACGAAGTGGCCCGAGCGCCAGCGGGGAGAGCTCCGAACCGCATCGTCACCTTCCACACATCTCAATCAATGGCGAGCCGAGATGGCGTTGACATCAGTAAGAGGACAAAATTTCCTACTGATGGACCATAGCTGACAGAAGCAACAGTGGAAAGCATTCAACTTCATCGACGTGTCGCCGGTGAAGCTACCAGAAGACAGCTCCTCAATCTTCAATGTAAGGCCTCGACCTTCCCCTGCTTCAGCCCACGCCGTATCTAACAGTCAGCCTTAGAGTGACCTTTCGAGTATCTGCACCGGCTCCGCGAACCTCTTCGTCGGCACTACCGATGGCTTCGTCCACATCGTCTCCTCGGCCTTCCGCGTCGTGCGATCATTTAAGGGTCATGATACCGGCTCCATTACGCACATGCGACAGATAAACGATACCGCCCTGCTAGTAACCGTCGCGGAGGATCTATCCAACGAGCCGGTGCTGAAGGTCTGGGCACTAGATACGGAAAAGAAAGATGGTGGCCCGCGGTGTCTGTCAACGGTCTCCGTGCAAAATGCCAGGAGACAGTTCCCGGTGCGTCTGCATCGGAAGCGAGAATAAACGAGTTTAATACTTACTTGCAATGGTATAGATATCGGCTTTCGCAGCCGTCGACGACCTCTCCCAGGTAGCAGTGGGTTTCGCGAACGGATCCGTGACGATCATCCGAGGCGACCTAATCCACGACCGAGGCGCGCGACAACGGATCGTATTCGAGTCCGAGGAACCAATTACAGGACTCGAAACCCAAATCGGCGCCGTCACAACCCTTTACATTTCAACCACGAGCCGCATCTTGACATTGGTCATCGCCGGGCGGGGGCAGGGCCAGCCTGCGCGCGTTTTGGAAGATACGGGCTGTGGCTTGGGCTGTATGACTCTGGATAAAGAGGGCGGTGATATTCTCATTGCCCGAGAAGAGGCGATCTTTACGTACGGCCCGCGGGGTCGTGGTGCGAGCTATGCGTTCGAGGGTCCGAAGACGTCTATTGATGCTTTTCGTGACTATGTGGCTCTCGTCTGTCCGCCCAAGGCTGGGACTAGCAAGTCGGACCCGCTAAGGAAGTACACTGCTAGTCCGGCCGAGGATATCTTTGGCACGACCACGTTCACTCTGCTCGACACTGATCTCAAGTTCATCGCGCATAGCGAAGCGCTGGTGTCACCTATGAAACGTATTTTCATGGAATGGGGTGACTTGTTTCTTCTTACGACAGATGGCAAGGTATGTGGATGCATAATGTTGTGTTGGTCTTTCTTTTAACCCGTTTTAGATCTTCCGTTATCGGGAAAAGACCCTCCAGCAAAAGCTCGAAATCTTATACGAGCGCAATCTTTTCATCCTTGCTATTAACCTTGCGCAAAAGATTGGGATTGAACCGCTACAACAGAATGCCATCTACCGCAAGTATGGTGACTTTTTGTACCAGCGGGGCGACTATGATACCGCTATGCAGCAGTATCTCCGGGCCATTGATAATACTGAACCTTCTCAGGTCATTCGCAAGGTCAGCGAGGAGCGGACTTCGGCATTGTTCTTTTACTAACTGTTGCTGCAGTACCTGGACACCCAACGTATTCACAACTTGATTGAGTATCTTGAAGAGCTACACGACCATGGTCGTGCCACGGTTGATCACACAACGCTTCTTTTGAACTGCTACGCAAAGCTCAAAGACACAAGCAAGCTAGACTCGTTTATCAAAGCTCCTGGTGAGCTGAAATTTGATCTTGAAACTGCTATTGCAATGTGCCGTCAAGGCGGATACTATGAGCAAGCAGCCTACCTTGCAACAAAGCATGGCGAGAATGACATGGTCGTTGATATTCTAATCGAAGACTCTAAGAAGTTCGCCGAGGCAGTGGAATACATTTGGCGATTGGATCCCGAAGTGGTATGTCTCAACTGCGTCATCTGGAGGAAACAAGCTAATACGTTCTAGGCCTATCATAATTTGATGAAGTACGCTCGAGTATTGCTGACACATTGCCCTGAGCGGACAGCAGAGCTGTTCAAGGTTTACTATTCTGGCCAGTACCGGCCACGCACCGAGGTAGAACAGCCATCAGAGCCCCAAGAACAGACGACCAGCACAGTGCAAAGTCTTGCTGCCCTTCTTCCTTTGCGGTATATGCATGTTGGCACCGGCACACAACCTCCGGTTGAAAATTCCGAGCCTGCGACAAATGAAGACAAGGTTGAAGATTCTCCGTCAGATTATGACATTCCCAAGCCACGAACAGCCTTCTCTGCATTTGTGGATCACCCCCAAGAGTTCATCGATTTTCTCGAGACTTTGGTGCAGCAGCCGGACTTGAAGCAGGACGCCAAAGTTGATCTTTTTACAACACTGTTTGAAATGTACCTGGACACAGCAAAGGGGAAGAAGGATGCAGGCGAAAGACAGGAATGGGAGACAAAAGCCAAGAAACTAATCGAAGGGAAAGACGTGAGTTATCCCGTCGGCCATTTATCACCTCTTATATCTGACCCACCTAGATCCCAATCTCCACATCCAACGTGCTTCTCCTCTCCGACCTGTCAAATTTCAGGGAAGGATCCACCCTCGTTCGCGAGCAAGAAGGTCTCCGTCTCGACATTTTCCGTTCTTTCACATCAGCAAAGGATACACAGGGTGCCATCAAAGCGCTACGCCGGTACGGGCCCGACGAGCCTCAGCTCTACGTTGACGCATTGACATACTTCGCCTCGAGCCCGAAAATCCTCGAAGAAGCAGGCGATGAGCTAGACACAGTCCTGCAGCGCATCAACCAAGACGGCCTCCTCTCCCCGTTGCAGGTGATCCAAGCGCTCAGCAACAACGCAGTAGTAACAATGGGCCGGGTAAAGAAGTACCTTAGTGACAACATCGACCGCGAACGCAAAGAAATCACCACCGTAAGCTCCCTCAACACCCCCTTCCCTCCTGTTTAGCGAATAGCAAAACTAACCTCCGTCCCTCGCCAGAACCGCCGCCTCATCACAAGCTACAAATCCGAAACCGAAACCAAACAACAAGAACTAGACCACCTAACCACCCAACCAGTAGTCTTCCAATCCCGCCGCTGCCAATCCTGCGGCGGAACCCTCGATCTCCCAACAGTCCACTTCCTCTGCAAACACTCCTTCCACGAGCGCTGTCTGAACAACCTCGATGACGACGCGCAGTGTCCCGTCTGCGCGCCGAAAAATGCGACCCTGCGCGCTATCAGGCAACGGCAGGTTGATTCGGCGGACCAGCATGATTTGTTCAAGGGGGAATTGTCTCGCTCGCGGGATCGGTTTGGGGTTGTTAGTGAGTTCTTCGGGAGGGGTATCATGAGGCCGCAGAGTACCATGGAATAGGAAAGGTGGAATTGATTGCGCTTAGTTTAGATATGCTTTTTGTCTTCTTTTCTTGGGCTTGTTTATATGGAGCTGGTTTTATTCGTTTGATACCTCGATCTTTGTCAATTAGATCAAGTTGTTTCTCTTACTAGTAAAGATGGTAAATAAATAGTAGTGATAGAAGCAGTTCTTTACATGAATCTATAGTGCTTCTAATGTTGTCTGCGGGTACTTACAATGAGAAAAAACCGAGGATTATGTCCATGTAAAGAATGCATTGTATATATAGTTAAACTCGCTTCGCTCTAGCAAGAAACAGCAGCGAGCTAAGACAAAAAGGAATCATAAACTCGATCAAAATGAGCAAGTCGATCATGGTGATCAAGCGAGGTCATTACATGCAAGAGCAATTAATATGCACAGCGGATAAGATAAGAAAATACATGAATATACTCGAAGCAAAAGGGTTGAAGCAACAGAACCCGGGTATATACATTTCCAGTATTGACTCAGAGTTGGGAGGAGGTGACGTGATGTTGTCTCCTCTGTATGGCCGAGGACGACTATCAGAGACGAAGAACGGGATAGAAAATCCAAACCAAGAGCTTTCTATCCGATTGACTCTTTGAGATCGCGAGACGGTTTGATTGAACAAACTCGCTTAAAGCTCACGCCCCTTCTCGCCTCCCCATGAAACACGCGGGATTTGTCGAGAGGCGGACTGGGAGCCGGAGCCGGATCCAGATGGAGAAGACCGATCAGATGGCTTGTGTGTTTCGGGATTCTGGTCCTTGCTTGTAGACTGGCTTGACTCGCCGTTGTCCTCAATATCCGAGTCTTCTTCTAAGATGGCATTATCATCCGACTCCGAGCCATCATCGTTCTCAGACTCGTCACCTCCGACACCCAGGGCAGCCAGACGGCGACGACGCTCGGCTGGGGTCTCGCCTGTATCGTCGTCATCCTGGCGCGGGGGCGCGGTCAGACCAGCGGCTTGACGGAGACGCGAAGGTGGGATACGCTCTGTACCATCGTCGTCGGAATCGCGGCGAGGCCGGTCCCGAATACGGGGTGGTGCAGGGCTGAGGTTGTTGCGGCGTTCTTGGGCGGCGGAGGTACCACCGCCACGGGAGAACTTCGCCAGTGAGGCGGCCACGTTAGGGGCACCGTGGTGGTCGCCAGACTCGTCGGTAACGTCGCTATCGGTGATGGACTCGGAGTCCAGAGCCTCGATGTCTTCTTCGGGGATGGTGCCAGCGCCGGCGGTAGCGGCGGCAGCGACAGCAGAAAGGCGGCGCTCTTGCTTTTCCTCGGCCTTTACTTCTTCCTTGGCTTCGTGCTGGGCTCTTTCTTGAACTGATGCTGGTGCGTCAGTTTGCTGCACCAGATCCCGGCGGGCCTTTGCGTCAAGACCCTTCATCTGCTCGAAGAATTCTTGCTTGTTCATACGTCGGCCCTTGTGGCCAATGCCTTGAGCGTTGACTTGGGGGTCCTGGGCCAATGTGAATCGAATGCCGTCGTCGGCGGTCCAGTCGTCGTCCTTTCTCTTTTCATGGGCAGCCTGGGAGGATTCGCCTTCTTCCTCCATGCCGAACCAGGTTCCCATGCGGGTCAGACCACGTCGGACAGGTGCTTCACCAGGGACAGTTGGCTCCTTCTGGGCCTTCTCGCCCTTCTCGCCCTTCTTGCCGCCGGGAAGGGTATATTTCTTGATCACCTCACCATCCTCATCCTCAACAATAATAGTATTGCCGAATTGGTATGCATGAGCTGAGCGAGGCTTGGGCTTTGCTGATTCGGCCTTCGGAGGCTTTTCTTTCTTCTCGGCCTTCTCTGGCTGTTCCGTGGCCCGGTCCTTTCCAAGCCCAGTCCAGTTGGTCCACTTCTTGAGAGCCTTTCCGTATGAAGTACCAGCCTTCTCCTCAACGGACTGCTTGATCTCCTCTCCCTCAGTCTTCTTGTGGGGTTGACTCTCAGACGCTGCCAATTTTCCTGATTTATCGGTTTCCAGACGCTTGCGTTGCGCTTCAATATGCGCAATCTTCTCTTCCGGAGACATATGAGAGGTATCCTCAGTCGCGAGAACATTGCCCTCTTCATCCTCGATGACCATGTTATGGCCCTCTTGATAAACCTCAATCTCTGGCTCACGGCCGAAGCGATCCCGCTCGGCATGAGGTGGAGAAGCTCCACGCTCAACCTGATCGCGTTCTTCGAGTTCTTTCCTTTCTTCCTCGGCGTCGACCTCGTCCTCGGTTCGCCGAGGAGCGGGCATAATAGCAGACTGGCTAATAGGGCCTCCAACACCGGCAGGACCCTTACGGCGTCTCCGCAAGGGCTTGCGACGAGAAGCCTCCAGGCTTTGTGGCTCATTATCTCCCTCCTCGTCACGTTGGCGGCGGAGGAAGTTTCCAGGCATGCCGATAGGGGGTAAGGTACCGGGAGGATACTCAGGAAGCTTTTCGTCCGATGAGACATCCGTATCCTCCGCCTTGCGGAAGGACATGGAGCCCTTGGCGATTGACTGCACACGAGGCAGACGGTTCATCCATGAAGGTCCATCCTCGTTGGCCTGTGTGTAGGATAGGGTGATAGTCAAGGTGTTGATGCGTTTACCCAGAGTGAAAACTGCAATAGACGAACCATGCACCAAAATGGATGTGATGACCATGAATGTAGTGATGGGCCAAATGAGCCTGACAACATAGTAATTGCTGGCTCCTGGCAGTGGGAGCTCGTCTTCAGGTAAAGGTTGTGTGCTGTCGTGCTCCAGCTCCGCTCGAGCAAGCATGGCGGCGAAAATGGCACCGACACCGATAGGACCGAAATGCCCCGCGAATAAAGCTTCTCGCCATGTTTTGACGTCCGGTATTATCGGCTTGAGCATTAGCATGATGGGAATACGTCGGAAGAGGAGGACCAATAACGCAATCACCACCAGCCGCCAAGGAGTAAGGCCGAGCTCGGGGGAGTTGAAGTCCTCCCAGGGAATGATGGATCCGAAATAGACAAAGTATGCCAAGTTGAGCAGAAGATCGATAACGTTGGAGACATGAGATTCCTCTGTCTTCTCCGTAAACCAACCATCGTTACTGAACCCAACACCACAAGCGAATCCAATCAGCAGGTCGTCCATGCCCAGCATAGAACCTGAACCAGCACAGAAGACAGCCAGCACAAAGTAGAACACTAGGAAACTCTCACGATCAATCAATCCCTTGCGCTCAGCCAACTTGATCGCATGGCGAGCAAAGTAGCCGATCGTGAAGCCGAAAATAGCACCCAAAATACATTCGTAAAGAACGGTGATACAGAACCAATTCAGCCACACCTCGCCGACTTGAGGGCGATAGTGATAGATGTAGAAGGAAAGATAGATGAATGGGAACGCCATGCCATCGTTACACCCAGACTCCGCAGACAACAAATCACGCAAATGCTTGGGGACACGCTTGGCGAACTTTCCCTTACCAACGACAGACGATGCCAAGACAGGATCGGTAGCCGTGATACAGGCAGAACACACCAGAGCCTCCAGCCAGTTCAGGGGAGGTACCAACCACCAGATAAACAAACTGGTGATCAACCAACCCCAGGTCATGACGGGGATTAGCAGCAAGGAAACAGACTTCCAATGCCGTTCCATGTAGGCCTTTGGCAACTCAACGCCGACGGCGAAACATTGCACGACCAGGACAATTCGTGAACACTCGAGCGTGATCTTGTCGATATTTCCCCATTCGTGCGGATTGAACAAATTGGCCGCATGGGGACCGAAAATGATACCACAGAGCGTGGCTACGGTGGCTTCACCGATGTACAGCTTCTCCTTGACGAACAAGGAGCACAGCATGAACAGGCCTGTGAAACCTCCCAGGATCATATAAGCCAAATGCGGCCTATCGATGTCCAGATGATCCCACGCCATGGTGAGGATGTCGGTGACTGAACACCAATTGTATTATATCCGGGAACTTTTGTACGATTCAGTCCCGGGCTTCGTACCGCAACGAGCAATTTACCGGATGAATTCCGCCCTCGAACTTCGTTTGTTCGCGTAGCTCTTCATGCCTTGGTGAATGATCGAAAAGCCAAGTTGCCGAGCCTTGTAGGGCTGAATGTGGTATCGCGATTCAGGCGCCCGTCCGATAGGTTTGGAGGTGGGCGACGGTGCAGATTCTGCGGGGTGCAGACCGGGGCCAAGAGCTTGGGGATGCCACTGGGGGGGCGGAGGCGAAGCTAGGCAAGAGGTTGATGAAAAAAAATACCCAGGCTTGGCCTCAAAGAAGTCAGGCACAGGTTTGGACTGGAAGGGCGAGAAGGGGAGAAAAGAAAAAAAAATTGGACAAGAGCGAAATTGGGTCAGAGTCTTGGGAGCTCTTGGCCAAGCAGAAGAAAGCGAGTGAACGCGTGCTTGGGGAGATTCGCCCAGAAGGAAGTATTCTTGGAAACGGCGGGATTCGTCAGCCGAGACTTTCGAGACCCACGTCGGAAGCGGAATTGGTCTTGGCTAGCGGAGGAGGACGTGCGCCATTAGATTAGAATGTTTATGGGGGGAAGGACTGTGGTTATATAGAGATAGAAAGGGAAAAAATTGGAGAAGTTTATACAGATCAAGCACTGCATAGCGCATGTATCTCTGATTTCACCCGAACAGTTGCAGGCACTGTAATATTCCGGTTATGTATGGTAATTCTCGATACTCCGTACTGTAATCTAAGATCGGCCAGCCCTGTCAGGCGCCAAGGCCGAAATCAAGGATCATCGGGATTTATTGGGTCAGTGGCGTCTCTGGGCTTACCATGGACGTTCTAGTGGGGAATCGGGGCACTTTTTACGGAATATACGAAGTACTGTAGATAGTACATACGATGTAGTAATAATTTACCCGAAATTCTTAGGCTTGTTATGTAGGAAGTATGTACTATGTATGCCGGTATGTAGGACTCTGCCCCTTTACTATGTGCGGTATACATATCCTATATAGAATATCAGATTGAACAGAATACAATCAAATTGGGAATTGTGTAAAAGCAAAACAAACAGTTTCAGACGGATTGCAAACTTTCAGGGGAATTTGATGCTGAGAGCCCAACATCGTAAAGCATGCATAAGGATTATTTCCGGGGAAATATGGAAAATAAAAACAAAAACAAAAAAGCAGATTCCATCAGTGCACGTGGGATGCACTATGCATACCGCGCATCCCGCGCGAACCCCCAAAAAGATGGTTCGAAGATTTTCAAGTCCACCGGCGGGCTGTTATGTACGATGGACGACCTGAGCGACGAGGCCCAATGCTGCCAAGCTACACGCCCGTCGGCATCCTCTCAACTTCGTCGCTCAAGCCACGCCAGTTGTCCGCCTGCAGTTCGGAATACTTGACACGCTCCTGGCTCCAGTCCTGATGCAGGCGGCTGATGTGATACTGGCTTTGCTGGAAGTGGACGAGTTCGTCACGGATGCATTCTGTGATGAAGACGCCCCGAGCATGCTGTTGCACAATGGATTCTTTGTCCTAGTAGACAGCCAAAGTTAGTATTGCTGTGGGTGCCGTTGAAATACGCAGTCTTACCTTGAAGATGGAATCCTCAACCTTCTCAATCTCCCCGGGCTTTACTGTGCCCGAGGGTCGGGCGCGTAGGTCCTGCAGCTTCTGCTCACTGGTCTCAATGCGCCGTTCCAGCTGCGCAATATTGTTCCGTGCATACCGATCCCGCCGGTCGAACATTTCGCGCACACTGACCAAGCAATCACGTTGCTGCTTTAGATCTTCTAGAACCCCCTCGGTCCACCCTCGGGCTTCGTCCTCCAGCAGACTTTGGCTGGTAGAGAGATGCCGAGCGGTAGCTGTGATACCTGCATTAAGGGACGGGATGTCATTGGTATCCACTGCGTACGTGTCTTTGGTGACTTCCGTCAAGGACTGCAGGGCGAGGGAGAACCGGAGGTGGTCAGCAGCCAGACCATCGTTGCGCTTAGCCAATCGCTCAAGCAAAGTGCAAAGATTAATATAGATTTCCGCAGAACGCTTGACACCGCTGCGAACCGTTTCAAATGTATCGTCGAGAGTGGCGGGTAATGAGTCTTCAAGATCCGGTGGGAGGACACGGCCAACAAACTCGTCATGGACTGATATTGTGGCCTGTTTTCGCCAAACCGAAAGTTCCTGGGTTCACAGTTATTATCTGCCTTGACTTGGATACCCAAAAAGAGCTAAAGGGGAGCTTACTGTTGGAACTGTCAAGAACATGATCACAAGCTGCTCTTGACCAAGAACGGGATGGCGAACGAGGGCATTGGTGAATCGAACAAGTCCGTGCCGGCGCTTTTCGAGGAAGGAGGATGAATCCGCTGAAAGGTGAGTGCCATTGACTTCATAATTGTGAGTAAGCGATTAGGTGCGCTAAACCAGCGTTGTGCATACCTGAAACCCGCTTGGGGGGAAGAAGAGGCAATTGCCGGAAAGGAAATCGCTTTTGGAGGCAGTCCAACAGCCAGACAAAATCGCTATAACGCCGAATAACCGTGCTACCTCTCCGTGCAGACTTGACCTCATAGTTTCGATGTTGAAACATGAACAAGCCTTCTTTCTCGGGGAGCAACGTGACCGTGACTGTCTCCTCTACCTGTGGGTTTGTCGGTCGGCCGAGACCAATGGACCGACGTCGTGGTGCAATATTAGTGGGCTCATCCTCTGCTGGACCAAAGCCACCGAGTGCCGGAGGCACTGTGCCCCCAAAGCTACTTTCATCGCTCGGACCCGCTCCGCTGAAGTTATTGTTTCCCCATCCAGACCCAGAACTGCTAGGCGGCGCAGCCTCCGTCTGGCCATTGGAATGCTCCCGTTGAACCACGTTGCTTTGTGTGGTGTCTTCGACCGCCTTGTTAGACCAGGCGTTCGTCGTGGACCTCACACTACCGAATCCATTCAATATACGTGGTTCGGCGCCTCCTGTCTCATGGTTGTGACCGCGGTGTAATTCTGGACTGCCCCATGGGTCTGACTCCAATCCGCCCAATGACGTTCGTCGTAATCTTTGCGATTGTGCGGAGCCGGGGGTTTGCAAGGGAGGAGGTTGGGGAGGGGGGGTAGCAGGTCGCTGGTATGGTTGTTCGGAGCTTGCGTCGCCGCTCGTTCGTAGCCGGTCAAGGTAGCCAGCCTTTGGCTGGGGTAATTCTGCATTGACTCCGCGTTAGAGGGATTATCCCGAATAATAAATGAAGAAATACCAAAGGGCACAAAGTCAACTCACTTTTGCGGCGGTCGTCCACTGCATCAAAGGAGAGGTCCTCGCCTTCTTGCGCTAGGCCGACCAGCGCCAACAGCACATTGAACTCGCCACGACCGAGTCCACTAAAGCTTTCATGGTCACCAGAAGCAACAAGGTTCAGGATTTTGCTTTGGTCGGTTGCAGTGAGCCCGCTGCTTGAAAGGATCTCCCGAACAGAGGTCAGCCCAATGCCGGAGCCAACCCTGTCACCGCTGTTCAGAATCAGGTCGTATGCGTCGATATAGCTCTCAGGAACGTCCGTATTTGGAAGCAAGGTCCGAACTAGATCGCGCCGGGCAGTTCGCTTGGCTGTATTATTTTGGGCGTTCCAAGCAGAGGAGTTGTCGTCGCCGTCATCATCGGCGAACAGCGAGGAGCCGCCCGTAGCCGGTTCGTCAGCAAACAGCGAGGACTTGGATCTGGCAGGATCACCCGCAGAGGGATCCTCTGGAGATGTGCCGAATAAGGACATCAGGAAACCGACGGGGTGATGTTTGCGCCTGGAGAGCTGTCGGGGTCAGGTGTGGAGGTGGTGGCAATGACGATGTTGACGATCAGGCGGAGCTCCCGAGGGGGCTGGTCGCACGAATAGACGGGTACCACTCTCCACCTTAAAAAAACAGCCCCGGAGACACTTCGATTTTCAAAAAGATGAGACGCAACAGGGAATTCAGTGACAATTCAGTGACAATTCAAGTTCAAGAAGGTGAGAGAGATAACAGACTCGAATGTCACTGGTACCGCACCCAACCGGGTTTCAGGGCCATGCGAGTTGTACCTAGGCACCAGTTACAACTATCTCACCTCAAGGCTACATACATGTATGTATGTACATTATGACGGTTGAATTTGTGTTGAAATTCTTCCTGTTACTATTGTTCTCATTCTCGTCTCATTCAAATGAGCAGAATCTGTAGCAATTACCGTTTGGTGATATATTTTGGGGTGTTGGCGTTATCCGAGCTCAATATCACTCAAGCACTATACTACCGTGGGAGAGGTATCTCTCTTGAATCGGCACATTCCAACAGCAGTCTATAATCTTTCAATCTAAAGGTCGTTCAAGGAGCTCGGGAGATAACCAGGTCTTTATGACATTGTGGCATTCGCAGAGAATGCCGATACTTCTATATCCAAAGATATATCCGTGGGAGTGATCTGCGTCTTTCTTATCGAATATGGAACATCGTATCTCGGGTGGCTACTCCGATGTTGGAGCTTCGTTGCAAGACATTCCCCGGTGCCAGTGTTGTACACATCAGCTCCCCGCTCGGAAGGACCTTCCGATGGCTAGTATACCTAGCTCATGCATGAATATCATATTTAGGGTGTTCGCAGACTGTTCTTGCTTTAACATACATTGGCCGAAATTGGGTATCTCTGTTTTCTTTCCACAATATGCGTCTTGTTACTATTAGTCGAGGAGTGAGGCTCAATTGCCTCAAGCCTCGTGCTCTAAATGGATCTTCAAGGCGATACTTGACTATGTTGAGCCCTCCCAAGTTCGAAAATGAAAAGATGGTGAGCAATATTGAAGTACATAACTGAACTTTGACTAACAGCAAATCAGCTCAACTACGCCAAAGGCTCTCAAGAAAGAGCTGAGTTGACCAAGACGATCAAGAAACTCAAGGGACAATTTCCTTTCACAATTCCCATCACTATTAATGGCTCCGAGGTATGTAGTGAACATAACTAATACCAATTATTGACATCCAACTGACATAGTTGTAGATTACCACGAAAGAATCCCGCTCCCAACCAAACCCCTCAAAGCACAGCGAGATTGTCGCAAACTACGCCTCTGCTACCCCAGAGCAAGTCAATACCTCTATCGACGCAGCCCTCAGTGCAAAGCCCGCCTGGGAAGCTATCCCATTCGAGGACCGTGCCGCCATATTCCTTCGAGCCTCGGAGCTCATCACCGGCAAATATCGGTCTGAAATAGTTGCAGCCACAATGCTTGGCCAAGGAAAGAACATCTGGCAAGCAGAGATCGATGCCGCTGCTGAGACCGCCGATTTCTTCCGCCACTACATCCAAGAGGCATGGGCTTTGTACTCCCAGCAACCTAGGGTCCAACTGGATGGAAACTGGAACAAGATGGAGTACCGCCCGCTTGAGGGTTTCACATACGCCATTGCTCCTTTTAACTTCACTGCACTCGGCGCAACGCTTATTGGTCCTGCTGCATTACTTGGAAATGTCGTTATCTGGAAGCCTTCGGACTCGGCGCTTCATGCTAGCTGGCTACTTCATCAAATTTTGCTTGAGGCCGGTCTGCCTAAGGATGTTGTCCAGTTTTTGCCTGGTGACGCCGAGCAAATCACCAACACTATCCTCAAGAGACCCGAGTTTGGGGCCCTGACATTTATTGGGGCTACTGCTACATTTAAGGGCATTCAGAAGAAGATTGGAGACGGCATTGGTGCTGGTATCTACAACTCATACCCTCGAGTGGTCGGCGAGACCGGTGGCAAGAACTGGGGTGTGGTTCATTCATCCGCAGATGTGAGAAGCGCGGCTTTAAACACCATTCGAGCAGCCTTTGAATACCAGGGCCAGAAGTGTTCCGCCAACTCGCGTGTTTACGTCGCAGAGTCTGTCTGGCCCGAGTTCCAAAAGGTACTGGCAGAAGAGACCGCGGCTCTCAAGGTGGGAGATGTCGAAGACTATAGCAATTTTGTCAACCCGGTTATTCACGAGCGATCATTTGACAAGCTCAACAAGTTCATCGAGGACGCAAAGAGCGACTCGGAGCTGGATCTTATCGTTGGCGGAAAGGCCTCTAAGACAGAGGGCTATTATGTGCATCCCACCGTCTATCGGACCTCCAACCCCCACCACAAGATTTTGTCTGAGGAGCTGTTTGGACCCATTCTTGGCGTCTATGTTTACCCAGATGCTGAATGGGAGCAAACACTGAAGCTCGTTGACATCACCTCCCGCTATGCTTTGACTGGAAGTATCTTCGCCAAGGACCCCTATGTCAGCCGCCAGGCGCAGACTATTCTCAAGCACGCGGCTGGCATGCTCTACTTGAATACAAAGTGCACCGGCTCTACTGTGGCCCAGCAGCCGTTTGGTGGTAGCCGCGACTCCGGTACAAACGACAAAACTGGCACTATGGCACACCTACAGCGATTCGTTAGCGCTCGCACGATTAAGGAAGAGTTTGTGCCTCTGGAAAAGGTCACATATCCTTCGAACGAGGTCTAAGCGGGAATTTTTGAATAACTTATGATCTTTGAACATATAAATTGAACTTCTACTCTTTTATTGTGTGAAGGAGTCCCCACACTATCTTGAATGGACAAGTAAATTGGCGCCAATGCAGCAACAATCACAACACTAAAAACGTCGTGGCCTCTGAGCCAGTATCTGATGAAAGAAGCTCTTCTTGTTCTAGCAAATGCGTCACTCTAAGCAGAAGATCGTAACCGTTGTAAGAGTGGGACGAATATTCTCCCTGGGTCTTCTCGTAATATCCACCACATCAAGTCGAGCACGTCGCAGTTGTGGAACCGGCTTTAGATGGGACGTTGTGGTGGATTGGCTCTTATTGCACCGATGTTATGGTTCTGTACAAAGATCAAGTCACAACACTGGCGACGGCTAGTGTAGCCACCATGATGTTTGCTTTGGGATTGGCTTACCTTGGCATGAGCCTTAAGGGGCAGGAAGTGCTAGCATGTGTGGCTGCGTATGCTGCAGTCTTGGTTGTGTTTGTAGGAACGAATTCATAGGGATAACCTAAATATGATATTAGAGACTTAAAGACTTAACATTCAAGATACTACTTCAATGTCTTTTGATGTGCTTTTTGCTCTATTTCTACATATCGTTTTCATTCTCCAGCATGGTAGTGAGAGTAAATATATTCCGATACCATACTCATAGCGAAAGGATTTCCAAGGTTGTGTCCCGGGGCGTGGATGCAACTTCTGGTATCACTAGATAGCATTGAAGATTAAATCGGAACCGAATCACCGAAGCAAAAGATAAATGAGCACCTGGTAACACTGAAAGCCGAATAGTGCACCATAAGACCGTCACTGGCCAACCCCACCTAGGCACATCTATCTATGAAACGTAATGCAAACTAACAATACTACCTTGAACCGGGCCGGTTGGAGCTCGAGCAATGATAACGTACGGATCTGCCTTCCTTGGCCATTTAATGATAACAGAAGCAACGATGAGTTGGCATCGCGGGGACAGGATTCCTAGTCCGGGAACCCCTCCTTCCATCGGAGTCGTCCTCCGATGGATGATCGGCTGACTATCGGTACCGGATAGTTGGGTATGTAGGCAGTAGCGGTCTGATAAAGTAATACAGAGACTGGAAGAAGTGCTTACTTCAAATAGCATCCCGTCGTAGCGACCTGAGTTAAGTGAAAGTTATTGCTATCTCGAACTCATTCATATAAAACACAAATGCAACTTTAGACTCATCTGTTTGCATTCTCGACTCAAGCCAAGATGTTACCTCGTTCTACTCTTATGAAACCCCCTCATGGCTTCTCAGTTCGAATCTCACCGACTTTAGTTTGTCGACTTCATTCGACAAAATCTCACTTCCATGACGCCGCCATGCCGGCAATCAAACCGCCCGTCGAGGTCTCATCTATGGCCCGAATACCGACGAGACTACTGTTGCGGTCTTTACTTTTGACGTCCTTGATGACATCCAAGTTATTCTTACGACCTGCTCTAGCCGTGATGGGCGTCCTTGCGACATCAAAATCCCCACTATTGAACCCAGATCGGAACATCCCTTTGAACAAGTTCCTTCGCTGGACGGTTTACAATCACTTTTGTGCTGGAGTGAATAGAAAGGAAGTTTCGAAAACCGTGGCAGACATTAAGAAGATGGGATATCAGGGCGTTATCTTAGGTTATTCGAAAGAGATAGTGCTGGATCACGAGGAAAAACTTTCGACCGATGAGTCTGGCACGCCACAATACAGCGACAAATGCTACCAGATGATTGACGAGTGGAAGGAAGGAACATTAGAGACACTGCGTATGGTTGGACCTGGTGACTTCCTTGCCGTGAAGTAAGTATGAAGCTCTGGATTCTTGTACTACGGAATCTGATATTCTTTTGTCAGATTGACAGGTGCCGGCCCTGTTTCAGTGGACGCAATGGCAGCACGCCAGCCTATGCCAGAGGCTATGGTCAAAGCCGTGGATGAAATTTGCATTGCGACAGAAAAGCAGGGCTCACGTCTCTGGTTGGATGCAGAGCAACAAATCTTGCAAAAGGGCCTTGATGACTGGGCCATTGAAATGATGCGCAAACATAACAAATCCCAAACACCAATTGTTTACAACACTATTCAGGGCTATCTCAAGGGATCAAAGGCGAACCTTGACCACCATCTTACCTTGGCTGCACAAGAGGGCTGGACTTTGGGTATCAAATTGGTCCGAGGAGCATATATTGAGCATGAGACACGATCTCTCATCCATGATACCCAGGCCGATACAGACCGGTCCTACGATCTCATCGCAGACACCTTGCTTTGCCAAAGAATGCCTGCTGGGAAGGAAAACCTCTCATTCCCTAAGGCCGCTCTTTTTCCTCGCCACCCACAACGCCGCTAGTGCAACCAAAGCGATTGCCACACACCAGGATAGGCTTCTGGCAAATCAACCTACAGTCATGCTGGAATGTGGACAAATCCAAGGCATGGCCGACGAGCTCAGTTGTGAACTGGTTCAAAACTACGAACGTGCCCTCGAACAATCATCTGCCGCCAACTTGACTGTGCCAAAAGCTTTCAAGTGCATGGCTTGGGGCTCAGTTGCTGAGTGCATGGGATATCTGCACCGCCGAGCAATTGAGAATCGCGGGGCAGTGGAACGAACACAACACATGGTGACCGCATTGCGTCGTGAGTTGTGGCGAAGGATTGTCGGATGAGTCAAGAAGATATTTTAGTGGCTAGATACCCAATGCACAAGATAACCAATCAACTATTGACACCCACTAAATATGCGCAGTCCATGCACGAAGCCAAATAGATCAAGGCAAAGTCAATCCCGTTAGGGTCTCACCAATCATGTGATGGGTCATGATGGACGAGGCGCTGTTATCTCCGATAAGAAAAGTCGGAAGGGCATCCCGAGGTCCCGACTCCGATTACACGAACTATCTCATCTCTACCCCGCACTCTGCAGCAATTGATATCGGAGAGTCGCCCCGGAAGCACAGACTATCTCCAAAATTGTTCTATACATCATCCCGGCGTCCCAATCCGATATGCCTGCAACACCCAGCCAGGCAAGGACCAAAAAATGCCAGAGGGCGTGAGTTATCTTGATCAACTGGCCCAAAAGTAGAACACCAAACTTACATTATAAATAAGCTGTGAGCGATGTCGATCAATGAAGGTCAAATGCTCGGGGGTCAGCCCTTGCACAAGATGTGCGCGGAAGAAGAAGCATTGTCACTTTCCGGTGGAGGAGGTCCGGGTCTCCGTGTCGGAACGGTAAGTAGCTGCAACTAGCCGCACTGTCCATACTAATGCATAATAGGTACTTACGAGAGCTAGAGGAGCACATATCCAGGAGCGGAAGCTCGGGTCGACATGGACCCCCGGCTCCTCTTGATCACAGTCCTCTAGGAGGTACGCTGTTTACAGGCGATGATAATGTCGACGTCCCTCCCACCCCTCAAGCATCTAGCACACTGCTAGACAGTCAAGCAGATATTGGATGGCGTTCAATGTCAATTGGTATGCTGTAACCATTCTCTGAATGTGTGTTTGGTGTATTGATCGTGGTTTGCTTTCAGGGATGGGGCCGCCCCTACATACCCCAGGAACCCCTCAAAGAGGGCATGAGACCGACAGTGGTGCCGAACAAGACAATCACCGATCAAGATTCTCTCGGAATCCTTTAGTTGATCGGGATCCATCGTTTGCCCAGACGCCAGATGGCCGATTTTGTGAGTATTTAGTCTATCATATCGCACCACCTCATTACTGACTCGGATATCGAAGGGTACATGGGGCCCACATCGTCGTGGTCCTTCTGTCGTCGCGTCCTTGCTTTGATAGGAAGAAAGGTCCCTGAATCAAACTGTCCACCAGATCCATTTCACATTGATGGCGTGGCTTTCAAGTTGACCTGGCGACCATATCCTCCAGATGAAGTACCCGATGTCACTAATTTGCCGCCGTTGGACTATGCACTCTTCTTATTCAACACAGTCAAATTCTATTTTGGCTTTCTTTCTTTTATGATTGATGAACATGCTTATTTGCAGGATCTGCATGAATTCTACAGGGACCCACCAGCGAAAGCCGCTTCGAACAGACCTTGGTACTGTCAATACTTACTTGTTCTTGCCTTTGGAAAAGCGTTCTTGACACAGAAGAATCCTTCTGGGACACCGCCTGGTCATCAATACGCATCTAGGGCGATGGCGCTGTTGCCTGATTTGTCAGGAGTTGACGAAGACCCCTTGGGTTGTATCCAAGCACTCAGCCTAGGGGCAGTGTATCTTCAGTCAATAGATATGAGGAGAGCGGCCTTTCAACATGTGGGTTTCTTCATCTCTCACTGGTGTCAAATCAACTAATTATATAAACAGATCGGGCATGCCTTACGAGGTTGTATTATCGAAGGAATACACAGGCATGTACCAGAGGAAATATGTGGACCGGAGCTCTCCAAACGATGTAGAACAATCTTTTGGGTGGTTTACATGTTGGACCGAGAATTCTCCGCTTTAATTGGTGCCCCGAGCTCGATTAGGGATGAGGATATCACGGTTAAATTGCCAGCAGAAATGGATGATTCGGTAGAACAGGTCAATTTGACATTGCATGTTCGGCTTTCCCGACTTATGGCCACGATTCTGACAAGTGAGTCTTTTAGTAAGTTGGAATTGGATGGAATGCTAACAAAACCAAGCTGTCTATGGGGTTGGAAATGATTTTGATGACACGCTTGTTCGAAGTACCCAGTCTATTCTTCACAGCATTGCCGAACTTTCATACGACCTAACTTCCTTTTTAAATGCTCATTTCCACGGGTTAATCAGCCGAGCCTCGAAAATGGCGATTCGATTGATGCTGGCTCATCATCATGTGGGTTCCCCCGAACTACTGATCTCGCCGTGAACTAACAGCAGCAGTGTGTCGTACTTACAACAAGACCGCTAGTGATGTGCGCACTTCATATGCATATTGAACGAACAGAGAGACAAAAATCTCAAACGATCGCTTTATCACCTCCTGTTGCATCCCTATTGCAGTGCTGCGCCGATTCCGCCCAGACTATCCTCCAGACCCTTCGTACTTTAGCTGATGATGACCTAATGGGTATGATTTACTAGCTGCGTTGAAACACATTAATACTAATTCCAACCTACAGACGCATTCTTACCATTCCAAATCGAAGACGCATCATCCTCTGCGTTTGTTCTCTACCTAATCCGTGCAATTGCCCCATCTGTGATCTCGAACGATACTTGGTGTGACAACCTGGCACTGGTGCTCGATAAACTCATTGCAAAGGGTAATCTAGCTGCACCACTTCGAAGGCTTGAACTCAGGCAATTGGAGCAAATACTCGCACCTTTGACGCCGAAATTGGCGAATCACCATTTGCCGCAAGTCAATCTGGATGAAGGCAATGAAATTAATGAAGAAGCTTATGGCTTCGATCACGAGGAGTTTGAGTGGGATCTACTGGGACTCAATTCATCCGTCAGTCTTCCCCCGCGAGAATTATTGGATCTTGCAGATCAATTAGATATGGAGGGGATCATGCAATCTGTTGGGGTTTGATGTCTTGCAACCATTTAAGCCAACTATACGACTTTTTACGAGAATTCAATAAGTTCGGAATTGCAGAACAAGCAGACTTGCTATATCAGAGAAATTTAATTGATCACAGGCGGTCTCAAATCTGGAACTGGGCTTAATTTTCAGAATGGGTCAACGGATAAACGACCTTCTACGGCAGTCTCTAACCGCCAGTGCGCTATAACTGATTTTCCCTGCAGTACACTTTGTAATTTGAGTGTTTCATACACAAGAATAGTCGGCCACTTATGCGGCCTCTGTCCTTGACAAACCTAAAATTTCAATGGTCTGAGCTATTTGGACGAAGATGATATTAGGGATGTTATATGTAAGAACCCTCCGGTACATCGGCATGTTTTTTTAAACGTTCTTTTTATAAGTCTTTTTTCATGTCCTTTTTAATGTCTTTTTTTACAGATGTTTTAGGTGAATAAGAAGGCGGCAAAAAGTATAAACTGTGCAGACGAATTTTCTATGTATAACCAGGGATTACTATGGGAAAATCAGTTATGGCGCATTGGTGGTTAGAGACTGCCGTTCCACCTTCCATCAAATGAACACAAGGGCACAAGAAAATGCCAACCATAAAGTGAGAAACAACTTGAAGGACTTCATGTTTATTGCTGATCGTCTCTAATTAGTTCGATTGCATTATATCAAGCTCAAACATATTGGAAAGCATCCCTCAGCAAGCCAGCTTCTTGCGCGTGATGTTCCTTGACAAACCCTGTAGCCACACTAGCCGTTGCTTCGCGTCCCGCAAAGCGTATCCGACGGCCCTTGTGTTGCTCCGTTGTATCAAAGATAGTCTCGAGTCGACTTCGAGCAAATGCCCATGGGCCATCATTGAGGGATTCCTCTTGGCACCATACGACATCCGAGGCGCTTGGGTACTGCTCGAGATTCTCTTTTACCTGTTCCCAAGGGAATGGATGAAGCTGTTCGATGCGAGTTATAGCTGTATCTGTAATGGCGTGCGTCTCACGATACTTTGACAGTGCCATGTAGACTTGTCCCGTGCAGTATATCACTCGTTTGATATCAGGGGGGTTGGAAATGGATTTTCCATGGGCTGGATCTGGGATCAGAGGCTCGAACTTCGACTCTCCGATAAAATCTTCAATGTTGGATTTTGCCATCGGGTGTCGGAGAAGGGATTTTGAAAAGAACATAATCAGCGCTAGACGGGTGTTTTGGTAAGCAATAGTTTTCATATTGTAGATAGGGCAAGTACTTACGCTTTCTGAACTCACGATGCAGCTGTCGTCTGAGAACGTGGAACATATTTGCAGGAGTGGTCATGTATACAACTTGCATATTGGCATCTTGATGCTGTCTGTCCGATTTCTCTGGTGATGGGAAGAAGCGAGCATCCTCATTGCACAACTGTAGGAACCGTTCCATACGAGCCGAGGAATGCTCAGATCCTTGTCCATCAAACCCGTGAGGTAGAGACAACACGAGACCAGATCTCAGTAACCATTTGGACTCAGCAGATGAAATGAACTGATCAATTATACATTGGGCGTTGTTTGCAAAATCGCCAAATTGTGCCTCCCACATGACTAATGCATTAGGGTGCATGCAAGAGTATCCATAGTCGAATCCCATGACGCCATATTCACTCAAAGACGAGTTTCCGACTGCGAACCGAGCTTGGCTGGGACTGAGTGAGTCGAGAGGAGTAAATGTTGACCCGCTGTTTTGGTCGTGGAGCACTGCGTGACGTTGGGAGAATGTGCCGCGCTCGACATCTTGGCCTGAAATCCGCACATGATGACCTTCAAGACACAGACTTCCCATCGCCAGGGCCTCTGCTGTAGCCCAATCAATTTCTCTTCCGTCTGTTAGACTTTGTTGTCGCTTTTGGAGAATTTTGTGCAAGCTTTTGTGCACGGTAAATGGCTGCTCTGGGACGCCCATCTTACTTGCCACTGTATTGACGAGATCCTGGGTAATGGAGGTTGATTTGACAGAATAAACATCGTGAGACACTTCAGCCGGCTTTTTCATGTCTTGCCATTGTGTTATAAGATACTCGCGTTCCAGGGTCTGTGGGTTCTTGCTGTTTGCGAGGCTCTCGCTCAGTTTCGTCCACACGTCTGCTTCCAACTGCGTGGCTTCTTCACGAGTGACCACCCCTTCTTGTACCAGCTTGGTGGTATAAAGCTCCAACTGGGTGACCTTGTTTGCAATTTGCTGATACATCAATGGCTGAGTAAAGGACGGCTGATCCATCTCATTGTGTCCATTCTTCCGATAGCAGATCATATCGACCAAACAGTCCTTCGCAAATTTGGCACGGTAATCTGCTGCGAGCTTGCAGACAAACACGACAGCTTCAACATCATCTGCATTGATGTGGAAAACAGGTGCACCAATGCTTTTTGCAATGTCGGATACATTGGATGATGTTCGTGCAGATTCCGGGTCTGTGGTGAATCCGACTTGATTGTTGACAATCAAATGGATTGTTCCACCAGTCTCATATGACTTCAACCCAGATAGTCCCAAGGTTTCGTAGATAACACCCTGCCCGGAAAATGCAGCATCAGTGTGACTATTGAAGACCATGGTCGATGCTCGGTCCTCGCCATTCTGCTGCTGCACAGCTCGGGCCATACCCTGGGCAACGGGATTCTGGGCCTCCAAATGAGATGGGTTTGGGAGGATAGAAATATTGACCTTCTTTCCGGAAGGTGTCTCACGTTCGTAGTTCATTCCCAGGTGGTACTTCACATCACCTGGAATACCATGTCGAGATTTCAATTGGCCCAAGAATTCGTTGAAGATTAGTTCGTTTGGTTTTCGTGTCACATTGCTCAGAACATTCAATTTCCCACGGTGACAGCATGGAAATATGATGTTGCGCACACCATGCTCTGCGGAGGCATCGATCACTGCCTTCACTGCTGGAAGCTGGCTCTCAACACCCTCCAACCCAAACCGCTTTGCGTTCGGGAATTTGGCAGCGAGGAATTTCTCGAAATTCGTAGACCACACCAAGCGGTCGAGTATTCTCTTCTTTTCTTCTGCCGGGAACCGATATGGTTCGGAGGATTCAATTCGTTCGCGAATCCAGTCGCGCTCTTCACAGGTTGCGACGTGCGAATACTCCGTTCCAATCGAGCGACAGTAAATGGACTCGCATGCCTTGAGAATATCGCGAAGAGTCATAAATTGGCGGTTTGCAGATTTCAAGGAAGGAAGAACTTGGGGTCCAAGTGCAAAATCTCGGTCCAAGTCATTCTCAGTAAAGCCATAGAAATCCAGTCGCAGTTCTGGTGGTGACGGTGCCTTATCTGGTAGATCCAAGGGGTTGGTCTTTGCTACCTGGTGACCAAAGTCTTGGAATGCTCGAACGAGCCGCTGTATTCTGGCTTGATCGTCACCTTCTGATGAGGGGATTGGCGGAATTTTCGCTGTAAGATTCAGGCCTGGAAGCATTGGCGAGGTCCCCGGACCCCATTCAAACGATACATGCTGGGGAGGTTGAAGTAAATGATCAGGTGGTTGCTTCCCGGCTTCTATTGCCTCAAAGTATCTTTTCCATGAGACATCAACTGAAGCGGGGTCCTTCTGCCATTCCGCATACATGTCGTCCATATAATCTGCGGAATTTCCCTGCAGAAAGCTGTCTAGGTGGAGCTATAACAGTTTCAATTAGTTTGTGCTATAGTAGTTCAAGTCGGGTCAGATCAAATCAATCATACGCAACGGTTTTGTGCATAAATTTGCCAGTACGGCCTCAAACGATGACTTCCAGTTGTCCGTCCCCGACATGCCGCACGTAGGCAGCCAGCGCCCTGGTTCAAGGAAGGTCTCAGAAGGTACATGGTGGAAATCAAAGAATAGAGATCTTATACTCTTTTCTATACATCGAATATCGAAACGGGGCAAAAAGCCAATAGAAAGGGCGAACAACGCAGGATTGATGGGGGCGTGTAATGTTCAGTTATGAAAATACTAATATGATCATCCATCTTCTCTCTGAAGTATGAGGGGCTTCGGTGAAATTCTGTTTTGCCATATAACCGCCAAGTAACCGGGCAACAGCATCGGGGGATGGTTCCGACGTGGCTTTCGCTGAAGTACAACCAAGTATAAACAAGTGACCCAATATCAAATTCACCTTGTACTGATCTCTTTCGGGTCTCCGATTAAAGACGAGCTGTGTATGTTATCTGTAACTTCATCTCTCACACGGCAGTCGGGATTTCGATTTTCATTGTCAGAGATATCTAATTGTCATATTTTTTTGTGATGCGTCTAAAGCATAGTATTTTCGGATAGAGCAAAATTTCAGGGATCGCAGGCTAGGTATAGACTAGACTAGATAACTAGGAACATAGTTTTTGGTTTATATAACAAGAACAGTCGACCGCTTATTGGGTCCCACAGATCAACAACAAAATGAATGGAAATATAACTCGATTTTTCGGTCTTCTGCTAGATTAAATATTCCCAAATCTACAGCTCAAGCATCATAGTTTCTGGATGCTCCAAGTACTTCTTAACCAGGACCAAGAACTGGACTGCCTCCCGTCCATCAATGATCCGGTGATCATAAGTCAGAGCAACATACATCATCTAGTGAGAGAGATATGATTAGAATCAAAAGCCACGGAATACCCTCTTAGAATGCACTTACGGGACGAATCTCGACTTGTCCATTGACCGCGATGGGTCTATCCATGGTGCCGTAAGTCCCAAGCACCGCCGTCTGGGGTAGATTGATAATTGGAGTTCCGAAGAGCGATCCCCAAACTCCACTGTTGCTGATTGTGAAGCTTCCACCGGTGAGGTCATCCATAGTCAGCTTGCCATCCCGAGCCTGGATCGAACCCATATATTAGCGACTGCTCCTTCAAAGGGCAAGACAAAGTACTGACCTTCTTCACCATTCCTCCAATCGCTTTCTCAATCTGCAAGATCCCCATAGATTCAATATTCCGCACTACTGGCGTGACAAGCCCCTTCGGGATGGATGCAGCAATGCTAAGGTCGACGTAGTCCCGATACACGATGGTATCATCATTTCCGATGGATGCATTTACGGCGGGGATTTCTTTCAGGGCCAGCGCCGATGCCCGAGCCATGAACCCCATAAATCCGAGCTTAACACCATGCTTTTCCATAAATCCCTCTTTGTTATTCTTTCGGAGTTCTATTAACCGGGACATGTCGACTTCGTTAAATGTGGTCAGGAAGGCGGCGGTATCCTGCGATTCCTTGAGGCGTTGTGCAGTGCGCTGTCGGATTCGAGTCATTTTGACCTAGTTGATTATTTGTTGTTAGTTGACAGTAGGGTTGTGTTTTTGATCTTGAAGTATATCGCATGCAAAGAACGGTGTAGACTTACCTTCTCTTCTGCGCGGCTGGGCCTAAATCCCCAAGACGTATGGGGTTGTGCAACAGATGAAGCACTTGTAGCAGGCTTTTCTGCCTTTGGAATATGCTCCTCGCGATGTGCCACATCAGGCTTTGTCGCCGAGGCCTCTGACGTTGCTTTATCCAGCGCGGGCGTCGAAGTATGGCTCGCGGTCTCATCTTGCGGTTTCGGCGACACATCGTCAATTCTTTCCGAGGCCTTGGAGCTTTCCTTTCCATTTTGAGTTGTAGACTGTTTTTCTCCGGTTTGGATCTCTGCAATTTCTTGATCAACGTTGACTATATCTCCCTCGGCAACGAACAGCTGCTGAATGATTCCCGCCAGCGGGGCATTCACAGAAACATCAATTTTGTCGGTCTCAATCGTAGCCAGTTCTTCGTCCGCTTCGATGAAGTCCCCGACTTTCTTCGAAAATTGATTAAGGGTTCCCTCCGTAATAGACTCTGCCATTTGCGGGACTCGCACGACGATCTTGGCATCATGCTTGCGCAAAGAAATGCTGAAAGTGCGGATCTGCAACGCCGAACTTCTCAATTGGCTGTGACCAGATTTGGCAAGAGTAGAAGAAATAGCTGGGATGGCAACAGCATGCCCTGGGGTGCGTCTCAGCCTGCTGGGAAGCCGGAAGGCCGCTCGGGAGGTCAAAGGCAACGCCATTGCACACAGGGGATTGAAATTGGGAAGACAACGAAGGTGGGTTCATTTTTATTATTAAACAACCCAAGTTAGCTTGAGTTTGTCTCGGCTTGAGCGATAGAAAATTCGGACCCTCTTGCCGCTGAATTCGGCGTCTTGTCAGAATGCCGGTCGACGACGTAAACGACGACATAAGCGGCCTAGCCCTAAAAGCTCCTGTTTCTTTGCTTGAATTTCTCCACTTCTCTATACTTTGTGGTTCTATTCTATTCCCATCTAATGCTAATTGACCTATACAACAGCAATAAAATCCACCTGAATATCCACCCCAGCGGGCAGCTTAGACACTTCAACCATAGACCGTGCAGGGCGATGCGGGAATACACTGTCATAAACAGATGCAAATTCCGGCATAACGTTGACATCTTTCACGTACACCTGATGAGATGTTAATTGTCGAATAAATATTGGGAATTGCGGGTTTTAACACTCACCACTACTTTGACGACTTTATCTAACCCAGTGCCCGATGCCTTTAGAATAGCTTTGGTATTCTTGATTATAGCTTGAGTCTGCTCGGTCATTGTGCCTTTAATCAGGTTTCCCTGTGCATCTGCCGGTATTTGACCGGAGAGCCAGACTTGACCGGCGGCTTTAATCGCTTGCGACTGTGAGCTTGTTAGACAACCTCTTCTATTTCGTTCTTGACTATACATACATAATGAGCAAAAGCTAAATATATTGTCAGTTATAGAATCTGAGAGAGTTTCAGTCCATACACTTACGTGCATATGCCTCGTTCGTCTGCACGCTGGTCACCATAGTGTGCTTCGGCGCACTAGACGATATAGTTTGGATTCGAGGAGTATAGCTTCGAGCCAAACGGCCCGATAGAAGTGGAGTTGTCCTGAGAGCAGCGAGTGTGGTTCGGCTGAACATGATTGAATATCACGAAGCAATGGTGGTCGTGGTCGTGGTTGAGGTCGACCCCTCCCTCCATAGATCTTATCGTGAAGATGTCGGAGTGAGATCCCGACTGTCGGAAGACCGACCCGGCTTTTTTTAAATATCTTAAATGAGATATCAAATAGTTTAAGATGAGCATCACGGTCGCATTGAATCTTGTCAATCTACCAAACACTTTATTTGATCCAAGATGACTCGTACAAGAACAATTGGCCGCTTTATATCCAACCAGTATGTCAACCTTTGCTCGCAAGCCCGGGCAGTATCTAACTTGAATCCAGGACTTGGAATTTTACTCCCATCTCTGTACCTCGCATTGGTTCTCATTCATTGAACCCACTAAGAATGAGTTCCTCTGCAACGGCCGTAGCATCAGAAGTTGAAACCGCCGCGGCACAAAAAAACTACCAAGTCGTCCAAGACAGTGGCAATTTCGACGAGATCCAAGCCAAACGCCCAGACTTTGATCATTCTAAGCCCATCGAAGTAACAAAATCCCCAAATCCCAACTGGGAGTATGGGCAAGGAGTACGCGATAATGGAGCCAGCCTGGCTCAAAAACATCACGAAATCGACCCCTACGCCTCAGATCGCCCGATGATCAGCAACTACCGCCTGCTTGTCTCGGGGATTGCGCCTCGACCGGTGGGGTTCCTAAGCACCGTCAATTCCAAGGGTGAAAAGAACCTCTCCCCATTTAGTTACTTCCAAGTCATCGACCACGATCCCCCGATGTTCATTGTGGGATTCTCGTCTCGACCCGGTCGGGTCAAAGACACATACCGCAACCTCCGCGAGACTGGGGAGTGTGTGATCAACACCGTGTCGGAGAACATGATCGAGGCAGTGAACGCGAGCTCTATTGATGCACCGTACGGCGTGTCAGAGTGGGATGTATCCGGTCTGCATGAGGCGCCATCGAGTACGGTGAAGCCGTCCCGCGTCGCCGAGTCGGTGTTCAACATCGAAGGCAAGGTTATTGATATCAAGGAGTTCACGGATCACCAAAAGCCTGGCATGAGCCTCGCTGCTACTGTTCTCATCAAGGCTACCCGATTCTGGGTTAAGGAGGGCACTGCCAATGAGGATTATAGTCATATTGACTTGGAGAGGTTGCGGCCGGTTGGTCAACTTGGGGGAATCTCTTATGGTCGGATTACATCGACTTTTGAGCATCCGCGCAAGAAATGGAGCGATGAGGTACCTAAGAGTGAGATCTTGGCTAAGCTAGACGCTGCTAAGCCTGTTAAGAAATGAGAAATGAAAATCTTGAACATCTTGGTGCCTGAGGTGCCGACATACCCTTGTACACCATAATCTCCTGTATAATGAAACAAAAAGCAGTGTACTATTCAATATGAATATTGAAATCGGATCCAAAAAAAGTATTCAAGGCCAATCACACAATAGTGGAACTGACAATCCCTGGAGGTGTCAGTAAGGAAGATCATTGGAGAAACATCCACCGATCTTCTATGTCATTGTATACATTTTATAGTATTAATTAACGTTAAAGAAATCAGTCTAAGCATTTACAAAGAAACATAGAATGAGGGATGTAACCCCATATTTCAACCAGAAACCGAAATAAGCCACCCCCTTTTCATCTTTTCATCGCGACGAATCAACATCTTCAATTCTGAACGGAGAACTCCGCACATCGAACGAGGGTCATCAGAAGCGATACGAAGTCCTAAACATAGCTCGTTTGTGTCGTTTGTTTCTATTTTCCTTCTCTGAGACATTCTGTTAATTCACTGATTCACTTATTTGGAGATTTCTTCCCCACAACACACTCCCTTGTATCCCTTCTGAACCGAGAACCCCCTTCACTCCTTTTATTTCTGGTTCTCATCAAATACACTCTTTTAAAAACATTGAACTTTGACCATAACGGACAATCCACCATGGTCCCCACACTCCTTACTTTCTTCCGCCGCGACTGCAATGGCGACGAAACTATGTCCAGCTGCACAAAGCCCACCAGCTCAGCAGTGACGATCGGCATTCCCGCCGCGATATCAGGGGTGTAAGTCCATTGTTTCCATCACCGCCTCCATCACCGCCCTTCTCCGACCTCACCTGGGCACCTATACTTATATCCCCATATCCAACCGCCCATGGCAGAACTAACTATATCTCAGTCTCATCATAACCGCCATCATCGTCCTGATAGTCCTCTACCACAAGCGCATGCGTCGCGATAACCGCGAAGACCTAGAAGAGCGCCAGCGCGACTCGGGCTTCTATGCTCGCTACGCGACGCAGCGATTCGGCACTGAGGGAGCACCACCACCACCATCGAATGGACGTGCCCATGCTTCTGAGTCGCGGCGTAGCTCCGGAGAGTCGATCTTTGATTTCAAGCAGGACCATGGACCATATCACCTTGCTCAGCTCCCGAGTCCTGAGGCGCCGAAGCCAGTGGCTACTAGGGTTGTTGTCTAGTCAGTGCGGGGTTTGATATGTTTCTTGCTGTAAGCTTTGATGGTTTGATATGACCAAATGAAGTCAAATGCTGACTTTTGTTAGGTTCCTGCTGGTCGGGACGATTTCTTCGATTTGCGGCGCTTCTTCTTATGGGCGAACCTGCTGTTTTCCAGGGTTCTTTTCCTCTTCAATGTATTTTTTATGACTTTCGAGCGATCTGAGCCATAACACAATAGCGAATCATTACTTTTCCCACTCTGTGCACAATATCCACGGCCACGGCGGGTTCGAACGATGTAGATAAAATGTCTTGTTCGAAAGCGAAGACTGGTATAAATAGTAAATAGTAAGTAATAACAGTTGTATATTGTGAAACAGTAGCTATATCATTCATCTTGAGATCGTTTTCATAAATAATACATTGGATCGTGCATGAGACACGAGACCAATCACTCGGCATTCTCCATGACCTGGTCATCCAAGACATGGTCACTGCGCTCGGGGGATGCCTCAACCATCGGTTGCACATGGAAATACCCCGTCTGGAACAAGACATGCTGCCACTCTGGCCCTGCGGTGCCTTGCACTTTGTAGTAAGGCGTATCTAGAGCGAACCACCTCTCCTTGCGCGTTGAGGCTTTGTCGCCTCCTTCGAGGGCCGCACGACTAGCACGTGTCGTGCGCGAACGCTTATCGCCAAGCCCGTGCTCCTGCGCCGTAAGCGCAAACAACCTCTCGCGGTATTGCTGGAGACGACCATCGAAGACCATGATGGCGCGGATGTACGGAGCCAAGTCTTCCGTGATCGGTGCGATTCCATTCTCGAACGAGGGGGCATGGCGGGCGGTTGGTGTGGGGTTTGAGTAGTTGGCACGCATGATGGGTTCAAAGATGCGCTGGAATTGAGGGAGAGTAGATGGAGGGGTTTGCGGGGGCATTGCAGAGACGATGGTTTTGCTCAGGGCTCGGTTCGCGTATAAAGATTCCAAATCTTCAGCGGTTGCGGAACGGAAAGTTCTGCTTATCAACGCATCGAAGGTAGCGCCGACAGCTTCACTGAGTGATGAATACTCTGTTCGCAGCTCTGTGTGCAGCAGTGGGTAATTGTCAAGATAGTTGGATTTATAGCCTTCTGGCGGCGGTGGGGCGGATATATCAATAGCATCCTGTTCAATTATTAGCTGGTGTTTCTGTAGACGTATCGATCAAACTTACATTGCTCGCGTCCATCGAAATATTGGAGCAAAGGATATCAAGAGAGCTTCTCATGTCATAGTAATCCGCTTCCCGGCACAGCATGTCAAGTTGCGCTGTCTTGGGAACAGATTGAAGTTGATCGGGGGACAGAAGTTCAACTTCATTCTTCCCAGCCATGTCTTCGGAATCTTGCAGGCCGAGACCCCATGATTGAAAGCTGTTGCAGATGATTTCCGTCTCTTCATTCAACGAGCCCTGGGTCACAATCATATCACGATTGAACCAGCCCATATATCGCTCGTAGGTGTTGAGGCTCAGAACTCGAAGTCGGTTCCCATCATGATCCACGTTTGACCCAGGTGGCCAACTAGGAAGCAGCCAGTCCAAGCCCGCTTTCTCGCTACCAACACCCATCTGACACCAAAAGTTCAGATCCATCAATGACTTCCGAAGATCCATTCCAGATCCTTGATAAAGTCTGGTCACGGCTTCTCTTTTTAACATATGCCCCTCGTTGGCGGCAACCAAAAGCAAGTAATCGATGCTGAAATCGGGAGCAGGCTTGTGGTATCGTAGTATGGCATGAAGAGACATATCCTGGGTAGGGACTAAACTTTCATCGTTGCAGGTGATGATGATCGGTCGTTTAGATTGGCTGATGAGAGTCAAGACGCCAGTCCAGAATTGTCGATCTTCATCAAAAAGGATATCGGCTTCTTCGAGCAGGATCAAAGACTGTTTTTGCTCCCGGGGGCGTTTGGGCGCAGTTTCGGGTTGAAGGCTAGGTTCGCCAGACTGGGAGACCGGCTTTCTAGCTTTTAAGGATGAACCTTTGAAAAAGCTCTTCAGCTTGTTTTGCTTGGCAGATTCCTTGTCGTCGTCTGTTGCATTCTCAGATTCGTTGAGAAGATGAACAAGATGATTTTGCGTCATATCTCCGACTCGCTCCAGCATATCTCGGGCACTTCGTCGGCTTCCAGCATTTATCTCGAAGACTTCGAAATCAAGCTCTTTTGCAACGGCATAGACAGAAGCGGTTTTGCCGGAGCCAGCCGGGCCGCTAAGAAGAATCGCATTGGTCATTGGAGTCTTTCTTTCTACTCCATGTAAACCAGGTGCTATGTCACCCGACCTGACGACTGTCCGTTGAGGTGTTGTGGTCACGCCGCCCGCTAACTCATCATCTGAGCCAGAGAGATTGTCCATCTCAGAGGCCTCCTCTTCGCTTGACACAACGAAACCATCGAGTTTGTCGGCTTTCTGGCGCTTCTTCGCCTTTTTCTCCCGCTTTGATTTCAGTTTCGCATTCTCCTTCGATGATTTTCCGGTGTCCACCGCTGTGATCTTAAGGTGCCGTAGCCAGTCTCGAAGCATCTGTGGTTCGCGTCCAAGCTGAAGGACGTGTTCAGCCGACTGAGGGGCGTACTTGTGTGTCCAAAGCTGCGGTTCGTAGGTTGCACAATCGAAAGCTGAAACTGAGGTGAGAAGTCCCGATCGAAGTCTGGCAAGGGGCGGACTAGAGGAATTCCAAGGAAATTGGCGGTTGGGTGAGGACCACGACATCTGTCTTTCCATTGCCGTATGCAATACTTGACTGCTGGCAACATGTCGCACGGGATGCCGAAGAATAGCTAGGGCATCGCAGTCCTGTTTGGAAAGGCACGCGATCCTCCTTGCTTCAGCTGTCCCAGCTAGAAGGACGTTTTCTTCGTCTCTAATTGAGATAGCTGCAATCTTCGATTTTTTTCGGTCCTGGGTTGTATGCCAGACACGATCATTGACATCTAGGGGTGGGTGAACGTCTCTGATATGTACGAGATCTTGCGGTGGCCAAAGGGGATCAAGCAGTTCGGGAAACTTAGAGACACGACGGGGGAAGCTAGTAAACGAACTGCCCGAAGCTGGAACTATGCGCTTCTTGTCCGGGGCCCCAGCTGTGGTTTGGCTTGAAGGCACGCTCGCGCTGGTATCTGGATTGTCCGATTGAGATCCATTCAAACTCGCGGGCCCGGGTTTCTGTGCTGACTTCTTGCTGAAAAACGGGTGTGTGGGCTTTCGCGGTTGGCTTTTCGTCTTGCGCGGCTGAACAGAGGGGGTAGTGGCGGGGGGTTTTTGAACCGCTTGGCCATTTAGGATATCATCGATCAACTTCCCGAGGTTCCTTTCTGTGGTAACACTGTACTTGATCGTGACCACCTTGCTCTCGGCCTTTCGCGGCCTCCCCCGCTTCCCTGTCGCTTTTTTTTTTGGTTTCTCGGGGAGGACTAGAAGCGGGTGACGATAGGAACCCTCCCTTTGAATTCAGTCTAAGTGTTTTTTGTCTTGCGGAGGTTCTTGCAACTAGACCCTCTAGTTTCTCGTTCTCGGCAAGTGTCAATGGATGGGTATCATCTGCAGGAAGTTGGGTCTCCGCCAGCGGAGCCTCGAGGTGAGGTGTAGACAAATTGATTTCGGTCTCGAGAGGATGGTCGGTTGACGAAGGCTCGTTGTTGGTCACGCTGTGGCTGAGCCATTCTGAAAGACCTGCACTGGAAGTAGCAGTGGGTTCGGTCGTTTGATTTGTGTCCGTTCTTCTCCTCTTCCTCCGGTCCTCATTCAGGTCTTCGTTGACATCCACAGAACTCTCATTGTTTATTTTGGAGAGATGTGAATCGTGGTTCTCTGGGGGCTGTAGCCCCTGCTCATGCGTAGAGCTTTGGCTGCTTATCGGTCGAGGCTCATGTACGTGGGTGTTGACGAGCGAGATTGGCTCGTTTGAGGGTGTAGATTTGACCGAGACACCAAATTCTAGACATTGTAAGCTCGAATTCACCTGCGGCTATGGGACACATTCTGACCTTGTCGGAAGAAGGGATGTATGACTTGCTGTTCGTTGGTTCCCATAGCCATCGGTGGATTGGATACGATGCTCATGTGATGAAGAATCAGTTGATCCCTGAGGAGAGACCAGGGAGCAAACAGTATCTCAGATATACCATTGAAATGACAGAGTATTGGTAGTAAGTGTGGAGCGATTGCATGAAGCAAGAATCAAGTCTAGGTCGATCTCCATAGCTTCAAACACGTCCGACGCGAAAGGCGCGTTAATGGCTTATGTCAGGCTGACTGCTTCACGGACCAACGCTAGTCCTGATATGGCCTAGTGGGTGGATATGCCGGCCCGACGTAATCCCGAAAATTTTTCAGATTTACAAATTGGATGGGTCTGCATCAAAAAGATCACACGCTTTGAAGGGACAGGAACTTAAGCCATTTTTGATTCCTGGTATTCAGTTCGTCATGGATTTGCAGTCCCCATCTGTCCTGGCGCAATTGCCTCGTCCCCTTCACGCTTCTACTGGCAAAACCCGTATCGGGGATGTCTTCAGTCTCGCCGATGCGAAAAAACGCAAGCGCTACGAAGTCGCAGTTGCCGTAGATGGCGAGGCTGTGAACATTTACAATGTATGTTTTCTCCTTCTCTGGTGTTCCCTCAGTTGCATCTGATTCTAATCTTCATCAGGTTCAAACACCTAAGCTCGTGACTTCCTACGCCGTCCCACCGCAGTCTACCTTCTCTTGCCGCCCATGCTCAGTTCGCAGGAAGCTGTCGAAAAAATCGACAGTCCGAAGACAAACCTATACTGCTGTCACTAAGCCAGAACATCAGATCAAGTGCTTTGTGGAGGAGATCAGCAGCAGCGGCTCAAGTGCTCCAGTCATTTCTTCTTCGACTACCACCGTGACCGACTCGACCAGCCCCACGACTTTTGTGGGCATCGTTCCCTCTAGTACCGATGCCGAAGGAGAGACGGACCCATTCGATATTCTGGCAGTCCACGAGGATGGTCGTGTACGTAGGCTGTCGTCCGATCTGAAGACCCAACGATGGAGCATTCAGCACAGTGAGATTGCCAAGGTTTGCTCTACTCACAACGTCCAATCCAGCTTTTTGGTTGAATTTGATGATGCGAAGAAGGCTTTGTTCAAAAGACGACAGGATTTGGCTTTGTTGGCGCTGGGCGATCTGACAACCTCCGGAACCGACGAGCCATCTATCTTGCTTCTGGTATCCCAACCGAAGAACACCGATCGAGTTTCCCTTAAGGACATCATTGTGCAGATGTTCTCAGTCCCTGCGCATGCGAAATCGGAGTCTCGGTTGGACGAAAGTCAGCGCCTGCGCCATCTGCAAACTTTCCACATCCCGGATGTGAGCGGCCTGGAAACTACCAACAGCAATGCTATGCAATGGAACTTCCATTCTGGGTCGGCCGGGTTGAACCTCTCTTTCGAAAGGGGTTTCATCAACGTTGACCTCTCTCAGTACTCTCCCTGTGTCACATCGCAATTCGTCCTTGATGATGAGGAATTCTCCTCGGTCATGCGCATTTCTCCGCAATCCGTGATTGGAGCACAACAATCTCTTGTGGCGGTATATGATACCCAATACCATTCTGTGCAGCGCAGCATTCCAGCCGGTGATCTTTTGTCAAGCACCGGGTCGACCCCAGAGAGTCCCACAAACTTCATCAGCTACTTCGCCAAACTTGGGATTGCTGTCGCAACCAAGGGCAACACTCTTATTGCCTTTGACTTGAGCTCTCTCCCAAGTGCACCCAGCTCCTCGCTGAAGCGGACAAGAGACAGCCTGCTTATCGATGCCATCGGCAGAGGTATTGGTTCATCTGGTGCACAGTGGGATATCGCATCGAAGAAGCACCGATCTGACAACATGGCCTCCCTTCGGCTCACATCACCAGAGCAAGTTGAGAAATGGACTCAGCTCACAAAAACGGTGGAGAAGGCGACCAATACGAAGAACATTGACTTGTTCGATAATGCCGTTCTAACGTACTTCAGCACCTCCGATGCCTCGACAACGCTCCCGGTCCGCGGGCAGTATGTTAACCCCGAAGCAACTCTTTTCTTGCTGTCCAAAATCTTCGCTGTGGAGGAGTCTGCCACAGATGATACAGTGTCGGCTACCCCTTCATCTCAACTCCGTGTTGCCATGTGGCCCCCGACTACTTGCGACTGGCTCATTCGCCTGGGACATCTGTCACTCGATAACGTTGAGATTGCGCTCCGTCGTGCTTGCAAGCCACGCATTTTGCAGCCATTCCCCACCGGATCGTTCATTCAGGCCCTCCTCGATTCAGATCCCTCATTGAAGCAGGTCAACCAAGTGCTTGAGGGTCCGACTCTGATTTCCTCCGATGAGTTGGCCTACGCTCTCAAGGCCTTCTTGAACCAGGCACGTTCCCACTCAGGAACTCTTGAGGAGACAGCTCGTGCGATCACAAACGGTGATCTTGCCACTCCCACCCAGGAACTTTCAAAACAGCTGGGGGCCGAAACGGCAACCCTGAAGGATATATTCGCTGGCCTGAACACTTCCCTCCAAAAGATTCACTCGCAGCCCGTGTCAGTGGTCGTCCATTCCCTCCGCTCCAATCTCTCACGGACTGAGCTCATTTCTATGGTTCACCATCTCCGCCTTTCCCTCGCTACCGGAGGTTACACTTCTCGGTTCACTGAAAACCCCCCAACACCTATTACACTTGACCAAATTACCCCCACGCTTTCTCTCAATGTTATCATTGATCTCATCACTGCCTCTGTGGATGCTGTGGGTCCGTCCGGTTGGATCTCGGCCATCCCCGCGGCGGGTGACTTTGAGGACTCAGACTCGGTCACTGCCGCTGCTAGTCGTGAAATGGAATTGATTGCGGACATGAAGTCTGAGGTCTCGGCCGCGCTTGCAGGAGTGGAAGAGGCAACCTATCTCAAGGGTGTTTTGTGCGAGTACCTCCGCTTTGCGGACCAAGTTGACACCCCCGCTACTACATCCGAGGATGCCTTGGCCAAGATGCATGCCGAGGCGGGTCCTTCTCACCTGGTCCGCTACGAGAAACTCAATGGTGCCGACTTGATGGTCTTCACCCGTCCCGGTGAGGGAGAGGATGGCTACGATGGCGATGTCGGTGGCAAGATGCTACCGCTGTCACTCAAGGCTGCTTCCAATGACGTGTCCCGCACCAAGACCAAAAAGTCCACGGGTGAGGTCAAGAACCGCAGCAGCCGTGAGATTGGTTACTTGCGCCGCAAGGCGGTTGGCAAGTACTCATTCGAGAGACTGATTATTTAGGACCATTGATGTGCATTTCATGTTTTATACTGTAACATTCATTATTGAGGGAGACAATATCCTAGGAGTTAGACACGAACAATACATATTTGGGTTCCCAGGCAGTATTTCAATTATTCCTTTCTGTACTATCTTGCCCTTGCGCGTGTTAAATGTATCAATATTCGAAGATTAGAATTTTGGAATTTTGAAGGGCCAATACACATATTTTGCTTTTTTTGGTAGTTGGCTATCAAGCCTTGCAGATATATATAAGTGGGACCAACTACCTGAAAATATTTTCTACCGATCTACAATCAAGTCGAAACATCACTTCTAAATACTACATAGGACATGATACTGGATCAGTTCAACTAGTACTTGTTTATTTAAGATAAACAACAAAGCAGGACTAAGTGGGACTAGCCAACATATTAGGCTTCAAAAGGAATCAATAGTTTAGCTTGAATCTGGGGTGTTTGGAGACATTTTAGCATATTTTTCCCCAGAACAAAAATAAGAAATGAAATAGTGGAAACTAGGGTTAAGTATATAATTGATAGGTCTCAAAATCTATATATTATTTTATATTATAGTCAATATTGATCTGGACGGGGTCAACCAAAAAAGGTAAACAAAAGATAATAAACAAGGGAGTAGCCCTGGAGCTTTCCAGGTTAAGTGGAGATACGCTGGACACCGCATCTCCGCACTCTTCTACCCACCGTTCTTCTTATTATCTTTTATTAGCTCCGATCTATGCCTTTTCATGTTGATGTTGATGTGAACTTGGTTTTGTTTTGATCCGGAACGCGTACCGGCATCATAACAAAGGTTGAAAATGAGCAACCAACCATGGCTTGACAGTCTCTCTGATGACTGGCCATCTCCAGCTTCGCCCAGCAGTCCAGTACCCGTTCTACCTGTTCTACCAGAGTCGCCTAAAACCAGTCAGCAGGGAACCCCCAGTCGCATTCCTGTGCCTGCGCGGCGTTCCTTAGAACAACAATCGCCGGGAAGCAACAAAAAGGATAAGGTTACCCGACCATGTCATTTCCATAGAAGAGAACCTCCGACTCCGAAAACTCCACGAACACCCAAAACACGCAAACCTCGATCGCCTGCCCCGGGTAGTTTGAAATCCAGTACCCCCAAGACCAACCCAAAGACCTACTCCAAAAGCCCCAAGGTCAGCCCCAAGCCCACCCCGGGTGCGGCTCGCAGGCAGCCCTCAATGGATACGCGCTCCCCTCTACGATCGGTGTCGAACGTCTCCAAGGCCTCCACACAATCCGAATTCGACGGTACGGTTCAGATCAAATCGAAGGGCAAGGATACAAAAGAGGGTACACCAGAATGGCGCAGGCGACTAGTGCGCGGGGAAATCGCCGCTGGCGAGCAACGGGACCTGTTCGCGCCGATGGGACTAGAAAGCGTGTTCAAGCCGCCCACACCTGGTGCTGCAACGGCGCAACCAGCCTCTACCCCGTTTACGAAGCAGGACGACCATCTGTGGGATTTCACCGATACACCTTCGCGACAGGATAGAGAGGAGCACAACAGTCGCGACGATGATCTCGAACGCGTCATCAACGAGGATGGAAGGGACAATGGTGACCGATCGCCGGAAGGAACTGTCAATCGCGCTCCTTGGGAGAATATTGGGGACCTGGGCGTGGATTGGGACCAGGAAGGGTTCTCACAACCGGGGAACACACAGCTACGGACAGCTAGTGGGCTGGAGGATCTGCGCAACGAGGGAATCACACCCATAACCTTCTCCCGGAACAACACTGTCGATGGCAATGGGACTTCAGAAGTCATCAAGTCTGCGCTGAAGCAGGTCACCAACAAGTTGGAAGGCCTGTCGATCAAAAATGATAGTCGTCCGGACTCCCCCGCAAGCGATAGCTTCCTTTTCTACAACCAAAGTGAACCTCATGCGGATGGGTCTCCACTAGATGACAGTTTGCTGGACGTGACAAGTCATTCTCTACCCCAGGATCTGTCTATGGGGACGGTGGACTTCAATAGTCGGCGAGGAAATCGCTCCTTCCCTCGGCGATTCTCCCCTTCGCCCTTTCCTTCCCATCGTTTGTCCCCCACAACCCTCGCCAACTCTAAAATCCGAAGTTCCCCCTTGTTCAACCCCCCTCACAAGACCGCGTCACCTGGTCTACCGCGTCCTTCCTCGTCTCATGTTCGGCCATCCACGGCTGGAGCAGAAAATGAGGCCAAGATGCCGTCATCAGGAAGTCCATTGAAGCTATTCGGTGACCATGACACATTCACTAATAACAGACTTCTCCGACGTATGAGCCAGTTTGAAGACAATTTCAGCGACACATCAGAAGGAGAGGAGCCCCCCTTCGCCCTCAGAAGAAGCGCGAAGAAAAGGCGAAAACCGCAGCTTTTTAAATGCGAGACATGAACCATTGCAGGAGATCTCTCCTAGGCGAAACGAACGTCTTGGATCTCGCAATGCTGTACATCGGATTAGCCAATTTGGGGGTGGCGAGTTGGACAAATTTGATTTCTCAGACACCAGCCCTTACGAGCACAAACTGGTGTACGATGAGGCCGGAGGGTTTGGGTCCCGTCCATCTTCACGCAAGCGATCGTCAACCCGGCAACAATATCTCCGTGGCCCCTCACAGCAAGGGTTGTATCATTACACTAGATCAGCGAGTTCGGGATTCACCAGGAAACCATCTGCCTGGATGCGCCAGGATTTCTTTGATGATGTGCGGCACGGGACTCGTCCGAACAACAAGGAAAATATGGCCCCTGATGTCAAGCGAGTACCCCGGGCCCCCGGCATGGACCCCACCCCCAAACGGCGCCGAACAATTATGAGAAACAACAGCGCCGATCCCTATCACAGTACCAATGGCGGTTCGCCTCAGAAGTACGGTGACAGCATGTCGCTGTTGCAACGAAGTCTTATGCAACATGGTGTACAACTCGAAAATAGTGACTATCTTGCTCCGCCTGGCCTTTCTCAATCGAGGCAACGACCTCGAACACCCACACCAAGCCAAATACGAACAGACGGGGAAAGCCATGTTGCACCGCACAGAGATTTCTCAGAATCCAATTTCGACAATAACGATTATTCGGATTCATTTTCCCTTGACGGTGACGTTCCACTAGTGAAGATTACTGGGACCAGCGACACCTCACGAAAAGGATCTATCACCACTCAGGATTATTTAAACGAGGCCACCAAGATCATGGATCTCATCAGATCCAAAGGACGAGGCGCGGCTGGATTGACAAGCGTACATGAGTCTGACGTGGACAGTGAAGGCGACGACTTCAGCGACGACGACGAATCCACCCGGGAAGCGTTTTCTCGCCCTCCGAGCCGTGACGGAACGGATCTTCGCAAGTTGAGAGAGGTGAAGGAGTTGAATCCACTGATCTTGAGTCACCTGAAAAAATACCAGGAGCAAGATGATCCGAATGACCGCGAGATGTCCCTGCATGCTCGTCATGGCCAGGACGAGGGCCCAACCGAGCTCGGTGAATCAAACTCACAGAATATCCGAATTCAAGGCCCGAGGAAACGAAAAACTAGTGGCATGACTGATGACACGGCGGAAAATATCGCCCAGGATCTGATGACTATCAACACACAAATGTCTGGCTTCAGTGTCACCTCCGTGCCCACGGGTTCTTCGCAAAGCTCCCAAGTCAAGGGCATGCTGGCGTCTGACCTTGTAGCCCACCTGATCCCAAATGAGGTCAATGGCTTCAAGTATGACCGTTCGAAGAATCAATGGGTGAAAGATGAGGTGGAAGAACCACAGGCACCAATATCCGAACCTGCCGATGAGGCTGATGATCCATTCAGAGATATTCCGGATCTCAGTGTAGATGAGCTCCAGGAGATGATGCGAGTCCATGGCCTCAGTTCTCCCACCAAGAGCGACGCCCCAATTGACCAGGAACAACCTAAGGCCCGCAGTCCTTTGGCTGCGAACACATCCCCCAAAAAACCTGATGTTCGACCACACACGAGGGACGGAGAACCATCCCTCGGTGCAAGCTCGGTTCAATCAAGACTGACTCGCTTCACCTCCAGTGTTCCTAACACTGGGACAAGAGCTACATCATGGGGCACGGACGAGGACGCAGAAAGGAAAATCTCCGAGCAAGGAAAACTTGAAGCCCAGCGCGAGGAGCCGTTGTCTTCGAAGACCCCACGATCTCTAGGAAAACAAGCACGTGTCGCAACAGTGAATCTCTCATCGCCCCTTGTTTCACGCCCCTCTTCTCGCGGTGAGCCTGATAACGTCCAGTCCGACCCGAACGCGAATCACACCTACCACGGAATTGTGCCAGACGAGGATCCAGCCCCAGCGGACCACGAAAATGGCTCAATACGGTCATCCGCTCCTCCCACGGGGCGTCAAACTTCAGTCGGTGGACAGCCGTTCATTCGACGTCCTATCTCGAGGATTGAGGAGAGGAACGAGGAGACTGTTGATGACCAAAGCCTCATCCGCAGGAATGACTCACTTCATGTTCAAGAAACGCCCGCCAGAACCGATGGAGAGCATTCTTTGATACCTCTCCAGAGCGCCGGGCCGGACACGAGCTATAGCTTCCACCTCAGCCCACTTGCGGACTTTACTGTCAACCAAGGCGATAAACCCCTGAAGCTTGAAATGAGCTATGTGGCTCAACGCACAAACCCCTCCTCTTTGCGACAAGTGCATGGGACGTTCGCATTGGCAACTGAAGATTTGATCAAGCATATTACTGACGTGGAACCATATGAGCCTTATTGGGAACACGTGCGCCGCCTTGTCTTGCGCCAGAAGGGATTGATTACGCTTCACAAGCTGAACGAATTCTGTCCCCGACTAGAGGAGTTGGATGTTTCTGATAACGACATTGGTCAATTGAGTGGCATTCCCTCAACCCTGAGAACCCTCAAGATTCCTAGAAACTGCCTCTCTAACCTGACTCCCTGGAGTCACATGATCAATTTGCAGTATTTGGATGTTTCAGGAAACGATATTGAGACGCTGGATGGCTTCGCGAGCTTGATTCATCTCAGGGAATTGAAGGCCAATGACAATCAGATCCGCAACATTGACGGGATTCTTGATCTGAATGGCTTGCTAAGCCTGAAGCTGAGCAACAACTCTATCACTGCAGTGGATTTTGAAGGGTCCGAGTTGACACGTCTTCGTGATCTTGACTTGAGCCACAACTGTCTGACATCTGTTCGCAATGTCGAATGGCTTCCGTCACTTGCCACTCTCGATGTGAGCGCCAACCAAATCAGCCGTTTTGACTCCACTGCTTCCCTTATCAGTCTCCGCGCCCTGAAACTCTCTGAAAACAAATTGGAGGCTTTAGATGCACGAGCTTTCCCGTCTGTGAGCCTTCTCTACCTCGACCAAAACCACCTTTCTACCGTTATTGGCCTTGAGAATTGTCACAATCTCGAGGTACTGTCTCTCCGAGAGCAGACACCGTCCAAAGAAAAGGACATTGATCACAGGCTGAATATTGATTTGGGACTTGTCAAGGATGTTCGCAAAGTCTTTTTGTCCTCGAACAAGCTTTCCCCTCAAAGTGTCTGCCCTTCTGCCCCGCTACTACAACTTCAACTTCTTGATCTAGCTGCGTGCACATTGAAAAGTCTCCCGAGTGATTTTGCTTTGAGCTTCCCGAATCTCAAGGTCCTGAACTTGAATTTCAACTCGGTTGATGATGTTGAGCCACTGGTTGGAATGAATTGTCTTGCCAGACTGATGATTGTCGGCAACCGTCTCTCAAGGATGAGAAGAGTCTGTCAAATCCTCAGTCGACTAGGAAAAACCGGAAAAGGAACTGCATGTTCCTTACGCAAGCTTGATCTCCGTGGGAACCCGTTGACTATTGGCTTTTACCCTCCAGCAGTAACTGGGAGTGGCAATGCCGATCGCAAGAAATTGAAGCCTCAAGAACAAGCAGTCGTCCGGCACCAAGGAACCCACCGGGATCTTTCTGATGCTCTAGCTGAGCTCGGGAACGATGACCAGATCTCTCACCGCGCCACCATGGGCGATGAATCGAAGACAGACAGAGACATCGAAGTTGACGACCCATACACACTTCCGCTCGCCGACCCACAAGCGGATGTGAAGTACTTAAGACACCTCGATCAAGCCACACGTCTACGCCGGAGAGTGCTAGAGCTCTTGCTCTACGCTGGCACGAGTGGCTCCCTCCACACCCTCGACGGACTAGACCTTCGGCCCTCCCTGGGCGACGAGTCCTCCGACATGAACAAAGCATGGGCCAGACTGGAGCACCTTGGTGTATTGCGGAGGAAGGCGATCAAAAATTAGGCTATATTCTTTGTTATTCTTCTATTGAGATTTTCTTTTTCAATCACGCGAGGAGCGCGTGTGATTTGAGCATTGTTGGCGGCGTGTATGGAGTTTTGTTCGTCTGAGTTGGAATTAGCTACGTTTGGTCTTTCGTGTTTGCACAGCATCAGCGCATTACCGGAGTTGGATATCAAATCAATTCTGGCATTTTGGCATCTTTTATTGTCTCTAGCCTATTTGGGATTTATTCGTCTTGTTGTAGTACGTCATGATATAATGAGATAGAGCCTCATCAGAACTTCCAAGGTTTCCTCGTTGCGGGAAAGGTGTTGACTTTGTCTTATCTTGCCGACAACCTCGATGTTTCTACTCTGCATTGCAGCTGGGGTTTGCTTTTTTTTTTTTTTCTTTTTGAACTAGCCTGATCCTAGATTATTGAGTGGGTTTGTTTTTCGGACTTTTGTTACATCCAATCTCTCTGGCTGCAACATGATTAGTAGCCAAAGTGGGCCGAACAGGGATTCAATGAGCTAAACATACTAGATGCATTTGAAGCGATGCAAAGTGACTGCGCCGCAAGAAGTGGAAGCGGCCCCCAAGTTCAGGGGTTTCGAAAGACAATCCCATTCTCTGCTTTCTGCTCGCTTTCAAGCGGAAATTATCTGAAATTATAAAGTTGTCTCACAAAGATATCACCATGTCTGGCTCTACCGAGGTAGATACCGCCCTCCGTCAACTGCAGACGGAGCAAGGTCCTCTTCTTGACAAGATTGACGATCTTCGCAAAATCGGAGTCGGCGGACTTGTCGGATTGCCGCAGCTTATCGTCTGTGGAAACCAATCCAGCGGTAAAAGCTCTGTTCTTGAGGCCGTTTCTCGTGTGCGTTTCCCAATGAAGAGCAGTGCCTGCACTCGATTCCCGACAGAGGTTATTCTGCGCCGCCATCCAGCACCCCGGTTCAAGGTGTCCATCGAGCCTGGGTCATCTCGGAAGAGCAAAGGAGATCGTCAGACGATCGAAGCATTTGCACCGGCCGAGGTAACCGACGGTAGTCAGTTAGAGTCTCTGATTAAGAAAGCCAAAGAATGCATGGGGATCACCGGTGATGGATTCAGTGACGACATTCTTAAAGTCGAAATATCGGGACCCGACAAGCCGGAATTGACACTCGTCGATCTGCCTGGCCTCTACACCTCCCACAGCTCATCCCAGGATGAGCAGGGGATCGGGATTGTTCATGATATCACCAAACGCTACATGGAAAACAAGCGTAGCATCATTCTGGCTGTAGTTTCGGCAAAGAACGACTACCACAATCAAACAGTGTTGAATATGGCAGAGGAGTTCGATGGATCACGCGAGCGCACTATCGGAATCATCACACAGCCTGACAGAGTTGAAGCTCATTCAGATGAAGAAGCGTCTTGGCTGCAGATCCTTAAGAACGAGAAAGTTCCGTTAAAGCTTGGGTGGCATGCTTTACAAAATAGATCCTTTGAAAATCGCAATGTATCGGACGATGAAAGAGATAGGCAAGAGAAGGAATTCTTCGCTAAAGGAAATTGGGGCTCTATTCCGGCAGAGAATATGGGAATCGAAAATTTTCGTCGCCGACTGAGCACTATTCTGCTAAAGCATATTCAACGCAATCTCCCGGGTCTCATCGCTGATATCAATAAAAACATCCTCGATCGACAATCCAGACTGACCAGATTGGGCCCGTCTCGAGGCACTCTCCAGCAACAGAAGGGATTCCTACTCAACATCAGCAGCAATTTCGAGCGTATCACCGCTGAAGCGTTAAATGGCATGTACAAAGATGATTTCTTTGGGGGCTTAGACAATGAGACAAGGCGTCTAGGCCCAGATCTTCGGCGTCTTCGTGCCATTATTCGTGAACTAAATGAACATTTTGCCGATGCCATGGAAACTATTGGGTGCGCTGAATTCATTGGCGAGTTCATTGGTGAAAGAATTCCACCCGTGTTTGGAAACCCCTACACGGATATCAGAATACCGAACTACAGGACCAGATCCGATATCGAAAATGAGGTCAGCATACAAGCACGTCAAAATCGAGGACTTGAGCTTCCAGGAAGTGCGAATCAACTCTTGGTGGGAAAGCTATTCCGAGAGCAATCCAAGCCATGGGAAGAAATTGCTCGAGAGCACTTGACAAAGTCTTTGGATGCTGTCAGAGATTTTATCAGCGTCCTCTTGCAATATCTCGCCAATGACCACACCTACAATCTCTTGCTGGGTAATGTTCTTGATCCCGAGCTGGAGAAAATGAAAGATCATCTACTAGCAAAGTTAGATGAGCTTACCGCATACAATAAACGTGGACATCCATTGCCTTTAGGCAAAATCTTCCTCGCAAAAATCCAGAAAGCCAGGAGTGATCGCCAAGTCGACAGACTGGAACAGGCCTTGCTAACAGGATCTCATTCTCGAGATGAGTCCGTTACTATTGAGCGGCTTCGCCAAGCCAATAGTCAGCTAGAATCGACCAGCAATCAGTTCGCAGCAGCAGATATTGTCGATCAGATGCAAGCATATTATGATGTGAGTTCGCATCTTAACTCATCGATCGGTCATACACCAAATTGACAGAGTGCTAATAACAACAGACTGCTATCATCACTTTCATTGATAATGTTGCCACGCTTGGAATTGAAAATTGTTTGCTTGGTCCTCTGAGTAGTATTCTTACTAGCCAGACAGTCAACAACATGGAAGACAAACAGGTTCAAGAAATTGCCACCGAGCCTTCCTCTATCGCGGATGAGCGAGATCGCCTAACCCGGGAATTGGAGAAGCTACAAGCTGGTTCGCGCACATTGAGCAAATTCAATATCCGAAAGGTTACCACACAACCCGCTGTTTTCAACCCAATCAGTCAGACTACTCCGAGTAAGTCATTATCCTTCACCGAAGAGAACATGAGCTAATAGAAACTAGCCCGCAAAACCACCATTCCCAGTGCGCCAAGCTCAGTGCAGGCTTCTCAAGCTGCCCGTACTGGCTCGGGCCTTAACACCTTTGGACCAGGACCGCTGAGAACTCAATCCCCTATGACAGGGTCCACCACGCACACGAGTACCGGGAACATGGGGCTTTTTGGTAATTCGCAAGACTCACAACCCGTGACCGGTAGAGCGCAGGGCCTTAATTCCAAGGGTGGTAGCCTATTTGGCTCCGGCCCCGGCTCTGGTTCTGGTTCTGGTTCTGGCTTTGGCTCTGGCGCTAGCTCCGGCTCCTTGTTCCAAGGAGGAGCTACTTATAATCCATTTGGATCATCGCCATTCGGTTCAGCTACAACTCCCAACTCAGGTTCTTTCATGTCTGGTGCGGCTTCATCTGGCAATTCAAACAATCCCTCAAGTCAGCCAAGCCCTTTCTCATCCTCAACTTCCCGCAACTCTCAAGGCCAAGTTAAGAGCACTGTGCCCGTCACTCAACCCAGCAATAGTCCCTTCCGGTAGGTCCGAACAGGTCGTTCTTTGCTCTTTTTCTTGATATCAGGGAACCTTCATTGTCATTGCTTTTGCGTTCTATCTGCTTTCTTTTCCCTTGATTTTCTTTTTTAGTTAGTAGTTTCTTCCTTCCTCGAATCTTTAGCAGTACAAGAGCTCACTTATTTAGACCTTTGAATAACACCTCTGTGCTTTGGAGTAGCTAGCTAACACAAATTGAATACTTGATAGACATTTTTTCTTGGAAGAAAAAGACCCGACAGTTTCGAGTCGTATGATGAATCGATACTTCAGTATAGCCCTTTCCCCAAAATTCTCAAATCTGTCACACGAAGTAGGGATATTTCAAACCCAGAAAAGAAGTGAATGTTCTCTAATGATATTATAGGAGCTACGATTGAAGGATTATGCATTTCTTGGAAAGCTCCGCACGGTTGCTTTTAGAGGGTAGAAAGAATGATGAAATGAGTGAGAAACCAGCTCCAGGTTCGAAGCGTAAGGCTTTAAAACAGGGACCCAGAGATGTATAATCTGCTAGATGATCTACCTCGGGAATTTGGGCTGGACAAGACTACGTCAGTCGAAGCAGGTGTTTGATCTGGAAAAGATCACTCCAGGGCTCTTTGAATTGTTGACTAAATGGTGGTTATCTGGGAGTACTGGAATACTACGCCGTCGATAGTGAGGCAGTTCCAAAAGTTCCACAATATCTTCTTTAAGAGCATTTATTACCACGCTTTTTGCTCGAATCAACAGCGCCAACAAAGCCAAGTGGATATCAGTAGAGCAGACAGACTCTGAGAACGGGGCAAGGAAACGAAGAAACGAAGAACTTCTTTTACTGCTACCCAGCTCTAAGGCTACGTCCTAGGAACCCCGAGCGACACCATATATATATGGTAGAGGGGGCTTGTGAGAAATGGCGGTGTGAGCTACGCTGAATACGTGTATTTAAGTGCTAGAAGCAAGAGATTAGAAGAATAACCAACCTTTCTCCTACCAACTACCCCTTGGCTTCCTTCTCCTACCTTCCGCTATTCAAGAACCTGCCCTGGTTTTGTCTGGTTCGCAGACAGACATCACCCGCGTCTATGACAGCGCTCCCCACTACAATATATATAGATTCTACTGAAGCAGTGGAGTATCGGAGTTATATTATAGCTCTTCCGAGGTTTCGAGGTCACCGGGTCCGAGATTAGGGGTCCTCGGCTCGAGGAGAGGTGTTACATGGGCCAATAAAAGGATTTAGTGACTATGACCATGGGTGAATAGAAGGGCAAGGTAATTAAAAGGGACAGTCTACTCGGCGGATGATATATTTCCTCAGATTTGTGGACAAAGAGGGAACAATATAAAATACGTACTGTTGGTATATTTATCGACGATTTCAAGGAGTTTGGTGTGTTTGGATATTAGTCTCAGCACGTCTAATTCTTAAAGATGATCAAGGATATTTTCTAGATTGCAATTATTGATGAGGACTAGCTAGCTCCCTTGGTAGGTCTCATGTATTGCCAAAAATTAGGATTGAAATCCGATAAATATAGAAAGAAAAGTACATGTAAGTATATAACCCAGCGTATGTAGCCCAAGGACAGAAATCCTGCCAGATCAGGTCACAGACACGACAATATGAAGATGCCAAATTATTTCTTGCCCTGAACAAGAATTTGCTTCTGCTTCTTGATCTGCTTGACCACTTCAATATCGACCTTCAAGACGTTGGCAACAGTATCAGCAGGAGTCAAAGCCAGCCACTGAGCCAGGGAGATATCAGCGACGCGGTCGCTCTTGTAGAGCTCGATCCAAACGAGTTTCTCTGTTTCGGAGTTGTTCTCGATATAGTGTCCTTTCAATAAGATTTAGCATCCTGTCTCGGCCTTAGAAGAAGTACACTTACCACTGTTGTCGGGGAAAACAGCGGTGTCACCCGCCTGGAAGTCAAAAGTGCGGGCCTTGGAGTCACCAATAAACACAGTGGCACGAGCGTGACCCTGGTGGAAGTAGAGCCATTCCTCAGCCTATACTGTGGTTAACATGGGTTTCTCCTCCTCAAGCACTTGTTTTTAAACTTACATTGGGATGCCAGTGGAGCTCACGAAGACCCTTAGGCTCCAGTTCCACAATAGCAGCGGCAAGAGTCTTTGAGATGGGGAAATTGGTCGAATCTATCTTGCGGAACGTTCCACCGTGACCAGGGACAGGCTCCGAGGGGTGTTTGTAGGTGTGGTAGACGTAGGAATCATCACCTCTCAGCGTACCCTCAGGAGCCTTGTCGAGATCTTTGCTGACAGTGCCGTTGAGAATGTAAGGGAACTTTGACGGAACGGAGTCAAAGACCTTGGGGTCAACACCAAAGTTCTTGGCGAGAATATCTCTGGGAGTGTGGGCAATCCAGTCATCGACCATGAAGGTAGTTCTTCTTAGTTAGTATATTGATTTTATGAAGGCCACGATGGAACATACCCGATCTTCTCAAAGTCACCATCATCGAAAGCGAGGAGGTACTCGTTCTCATCGTCCAGGCCCTGGACATTATGCGCTACACCCTTGGGGAAATACCATATATCACCAGTTTCGAGAACCTCGGTAGTGAAGCCACCGTTTTCATCGACACCGGACAGCAGGAGGGAGCCATTGTAGACAAATCCCCACTCGGCCTATGTGCTAAAGTAAGTGATGTGCCGAAAACAGTGTATAGTTGCGGCCACTAACCGTGCGGTGCCAGTGCAGTTCGCGAATAGCGCCCTTCTTCAGATGTTGCTGGGCACCTGCAATATCATGACTCTGAGGCAAGTCCTGAATGACTTGCTCCCGAGACCAGCCGCCAGGGAACAGTCTAGTCTGAGACTCAGAGAAACTCCACTTGACGTTGGGCACAAAGCCGTTATCGGTACTGGCAGTGCGGAACTGGTCTGGGTTTTGAAGGTCGAGAGCTTTGTTTGTTCCACCTATTTACAGCGAGTGGTAAGCATGAATCACGTCGACTGGTACCAATGGAGAGATCTTCTAGCCTTGGAAGCTTCCAAGACCTCGGGATTTTGTTAGGCTTACCTAAAATTGGGGCTCCTTTGCCACCGCTAATCGGCTGGTCATTGCCAGCATCCTGCCTTTTAGTCCGAGGCACTGCAAAGGCAGAGGAAACAAATAATCCAAAGAGCGCGAGGCTGTGGGACTTCATTTTGAATGAAGGAAAAGAATGTGTGCAAGAATGGGATTTGGACTTGGGTGCTTCATCCCAGCTATATATGACATTTCTTGACAAAACCACCCCCTCCAAATCCCGAGGGGAATAGACCTCAGGAATTTAGCTAGTTTCAATATGTTGCTCCCTAATTTCGTGGCTTTGTGATGTTGATCCCAATGAAATTGACCAGAACACACCGAATGAGCAAAAGTATAAACAGAGTCCCAAGAGATGATGCAATTCAGGAAGATCTATCCATCTCGCCTATTGCGGAAGACCCCATAAAAGAACCCAATCTGAATCGACATTGGGTCGAAAGGTACTAGGACAAGGCTAAGCATGGTGAAGGTTCTAACAACATTCTTGGCATCATGTCGAAATCGGTGCAGGCTCCCCCGTGCTCATCGTCTCTGTGGGGAAATTGACAATGTCGATCCAGGGACCTGACAGGGATTCTCGGTAGATTGTTGTCTCGGGATTTAAAAAAGTGGAAATTGAAGTTCAACCCTGGATCACCTCATCGGTACCTTCGATTAGTACATAGATCCCACATTTCTTGGCATGCGCGGATCATTCCTCTACTTTGACCTCTTTGTTGCTAGTTCACTCGAAATCAGAACTTCACCTTTGCTTTGACCTCTGGAACTTAAAACCGTGCCTTGTTTCGGTGTTGAGTTGTTGTATGTGTGATATAGCGATCTCTGAAGGCGGTTCTTGGACCTTTCCTATTCCGGAAATTATGGGCTCCCTTAGCCCTACTTCCACGACCCGTTCGTCCACAACATATCAGTGGCGCTGATAGCCAGGGCGAGACTGAGTGCTGGTATAGACCGGTTCTTGATAGAGGCACGTTTTGGGTTCGAACTATTGATTTCACGAACTTGTAGTCCCTCTCTCGAGGCTTTGGATTAACTTCAATCACGACATCTCCTCAAGATTAGGAAAAATCTCCATGATTTGACTTTACACACAACGCCTGTATACGGGGATAGCTGGTCCAACATCAGATCCCATGTCGGGGATCGTCTGAATTCTCATGTCGGTGTTGAGGGATGAAATTCGCCATTTCGCAGATCAGCCTCTCCTCACGGAATTTGGAATATCACACGAACCCAAAATGCGTATTGCTTGCGTGATCTGTGTTCTCGTTGTCGAGATAGTTCAGGGGAATAGCAAGACGATGCCTCATTTGGGACGAGATGAAGGCGCACTGGGGTATATAAGCTCTCGAGAATTCTCGCAAATATGCTCATCATACCAACGCAATCCTGCTCATTCTTTCTCAACAACAAGATGAAGTACTCTATTGCTTCCATTGCGTCTCTGGTTGCCCTCGGGGAGTGTCTTTCTTTGCCTCCTCTCATTCCCAGCATTCCTGGAGTGACCGAGCCTTTGACGACCAACGCTCCTCCTTTGCCTATTTTGCAAGTCCCTACTCCTCCACTTGAGAGTCCTCCATTTGAGTCGAGTGACATCAAGCCAAAGAAAATTGGTTATTTCTGGACTGGCTCGGCAGACAAGTTCCATAAAGGTATGGATCTACGAATGGTGGATTGTCGAGAGATGATACTAATTATAATGGGTAGACTTCCTTGCTACCTACAGTTTGGATGATGTAGGCCAAACCTAAGCTCAATACAGACTGGCTGGAATCTATTTGCTGACTCGATTTTAGGACACTTTTGGAACCCTTTTGTGGGTCACAGATGTGCCCAGCAGCGGCAATGACCCCCACCACCTGGGACCATCGCTGGATGGAAAGACCATCTGGGGTGGTGGATTGCTGTCTCTCTTGAAGACTCAAGTATGTATATTTCTCTCAATAAGACTTCACAGCAGATCTAATCCCTCATTAGGATACTGGCTTCTACTTCGATACCTCCAACCCTTACCGCCCCAAGTTCTTGAAGAGTAACCGCGGTATCCTTGCATCCATTGCGGATGAGGTCCGGGCAAAGCCAGATGGTGGATTTTTCATCACCTACATGGGCTCGGCCGTTGGTACTTCGCCCGGTCGTCTCGTTGAGACTGATGCCGATTTCAACATCATCCACGAATGGCCCGAGGATGTGGAGGGCACCCTCAACATTCTTGAGCAGCAGTTCTCTCCTCACGGACTTAGTATCGATTGGGAGAAGAAGCTCATTCTGACTTCGGACTTCGTCGAGCCGATTACTATCTTGAAGCCCAGTCTCGGAGTCCGCCATGCCGATACACTGCGTCTCTGGGATTTGGACTCTAGAAAGATCCTCAGCACTCTTACCATTCCTAATGTAAGCCAACTCCTGAGATTTAATCATCATGCATCTTCTAACTCAATCAGGGTGGTGGTATCCAAGATGTCAAGTTCATTCCCGGACACCCAGAATCCGCTGCTATCGCCACTGCCGTGCACCTGGGTCAGCTTTGGGTGATTTACCCTCTGCGCAAGGACGCCCATGGCAACCAGGGTGTGGTTGAGGAACTCTACGATCTTGGTCCCAAGGCCCGTGACACCATTGCTATCTAGTAAGTGGTTATCTGCTATTTACTCCACAAAGAACATCATTGCTAACAACATCACCCACAGCTCCGATATCAGCCAAGACGGTAAATACTTCTACGCCACCCTTACCACGGCCAACCACATTGCCGCGCTAGACATCAGCGACCTCAACAACATCAAGCGCCTGGATGACCCCGATGAGGATCAGCCTACCGTCGGACCTCACTATATCAAGGTCACACCTGACCAGAAGCACTTGGTCGTCACCGACTACTTCGTCCAGACTGGCGACATTGGTATCATCAACACCCCGGCTGACTTCAAGGCGCTCTACATCGACCTCAATGAGGATGGCAGCCTTTCTTTCAACCGCTCCATTGACTTCCCGAAGGAGTTCGCCAATCGTGGTGGTGCTAAGCCTCACTCTAGTGTGATCTTCGATCTCACTGACCCCGAGAACCCTCTCTACTACTGAGTGATCTCCACTGGTAACTCAAAGTAGGATATAGGACACTGTCAATGGGAGATGATAAGGACGGGGATATAACTTTTACTCTTCTGAGCCTGACATGTGCCTTCGGGCCATGTATTTATTGTGGATATAATACGGCTATTTCTTAGTTACTGCGAATGGACATCCACTGAATTTGCTTGATGAGTAAAAAGAATTTAATCTTATAAGGACAGTTCACTGGGTATCGAGAGTAAATCAAAAGGCTAGACTAGAGTGCAATATCACCAAGAGAGGAAAGCAAATCGACATAAACATAAGCTCGATTAATGCTCCGATGACTAAACTTCATGCACATTTGATGTGGCAGACACCTTCGAGCTTCCATCTTTCCGATGCTGGCCTTCGATCTGATCTGCAGACACTGACGGACCAGCCCCTTTACTCGCAATAATATCTTCTTCCAACACAGCGCGGAATTCCTCGCGCTTTGGTAGGAGGTACCGCACATCCACAAATCTCAAAATGCTCGTCATAATAATCACAAGAACCAACAAGGCCAAGGCAGACTGCCACCCATATTTATAAAACGGTGCTTGACTCGCAGGCCAGACGAGAACCTGTGACCACGAAGAAATGGCATAGTACCCAGCAACAGCAACGCCGACAACAAGAGATCGCGCCTCTGGATCCTGCGGGATAAGATCAGAGAGCCAGGCGAAGATCAACGGCGCCGTGCCAAGACAAATATACGAGATGAAGTATGATGCATAAGCAGCAGTTAAATCCACCGACACCGGGTGTGTAGTCCAAATGCTCATGATGATACACGGGACGATCCCGATAACCGCTTGAAGAACGATGAGTGTCCAACGTGTCTCAAAGTAATCAGATAACAGAGCCCAGATCCACACAAACACAACGTTGATCGCAGATCCTCCAATGGGGATAGCGTTGACCTGCGTAACAGTCCATCTCGCGCTCCCATCTGGGTTCTTGAGCGACTTCAGGAACAGCCCGAAATAAACATATCCGTATGTTCCCAGAACCGTTGCGATATACAGAATCGCAATGAAGTAAACAACCCATCCCGAGAACGTGCGCTTCACGCCGGCCCAAGTCATCTTCTTTGGCTCGGCGCGGCCGTTGCGCGCGAGGCGTTCTAGCGAAAGCTCGCCGTGAACTTTCTTGAACCAGAACGCGCGCGGGTTAGGTCGGTTTGGTAGATCGGGGAGCATGACGAAACCTGCGAATCCCCAGATTACCGTGATAATGGCGTTGACCACGAATAGCCAGCGCCATCCTGCTAGTCCACTGTGTCCGTCGAGAGTGTCGGTGATTGCGGCTTGCATCGCGCCCGAGAGCATTTGGCCGACTGCTTGGCAGGAGTGGTAGAATCCCATTCGCTTGGCGAGTTCCGTTGGGGTATACCAGTACACTGGAGGGTCGGTTAATTCAGTGGGTCAAGGGAAGGGCTTTCGAATGACATACTGAATAATGTCATCATTCCTGGCCAAGCGCTACTTTCGCATAGACCGAGGAAGACACGGAGAACGTAGACTTGTTTTGCGTTCGTTGTCATCGCGATCAATCCGGTCAGAACACCCCATGCAATCTCCAAGCCCGGGAGCCAATAACTTGGGCGTACGTAGGTGAGGATGATTTGGGAGGGAATTAGCATTACACAGTAGGCGGCGTTAAAATATGTTGTAAATCTAGATAGTATCAGCTATCACCAACTCTGCGACACATAAAGCGTTTGGACAACTCACAGATTAAGCTCATTTCCGAGCAAATTCAAATCCTCCTTCATGCCAGATACGTAGGCATTGTTAATATTCTGTTGATCGAGATATTTGATAACTGACAGAAGTCAGTTTTGCTAGTCTCAAGCTGTGAGGGGGTCTGGAGCCCAACGCACCCTGTGAAAGACAGCCGAAAGTCATCAGGAACATGTCAAGGCGTCGGACCAAAGCCTTCTCCTCCGGAGATCGGACATCGACGTTTGTTGACGCATTTCGACGAAACATTTTGAAGGACACCATGATTATAGTGGTGTGACAGGGAGGAGAGAAAAAGCCAATATTCTAGCGACCTCGACCATTCATATACAGGCTCATGCAGGCCCGAGCCGTGATAGGGCCCCTGTGACCCCTCACAGATAGGTCAAATAATGTGTCTGGGGTAGACTTCGGCTTTTAGATCCGACATGGATGTTTCTGCAAGGTGCACTCGTGATAAGCAATCAAAGCACCAATGGTTGTATTCCTCCATTGGGGTAACATCGGAGGAATGCCCGAGTGATATACAAGATACCAGCCCTGGGGGCATTTTGGTGTTTAATCAACTCCACTTGGCGTAACGAGTGGATCTGAAGATAAGTCAACCTCGGGAAGAATCCTATCAGTTAGAAGGATTGGAGGGGGGAAATGGGAAAATCCTTTCTGCTTGAAGGATTTGAGGGCCGAAGTCCGCGATAGGAGGCTTCCCCGCATCCCTGCGCCGACAACGGTGAATAGTGAATACGAGACCCTATCTCTCTCCAAGTTATATATACTCATGAGGATTTGCGGAGACCTTGACTAATTGCAAATTCTCCGAAATGTTAATTTCAAATATTGAGACAAGCAGAAGCCTGCCAAATCCCACCCCTTGTTTGAGTTACTGGCAACGAACAACTCGGGCATATCCAAATTTGCATGCGAACATCGATACAACCGTTCCATCGTACTCAAAGTATGTCATTGTGGGATCCGGTATTTCTGGCGGTTTGACGGCCTTCAAGCTGATCGAAGGAGGGGCCAAAGCTGAAGATATCGTGATTCTCGAGGCACGAGAAGCGGCAAGTGGCGCGAGCTCACGAAATGCCGGACATGTGCGACCAGGTCTGTGAGACTTCCGTTGGGGTTATGCCGAGCGTTTCTAATTTGAAAATAGATGCATTCAGGGGTTTCAGTGCATATGCGAAAGTGCATGGAGAGCAACAAGCATTAAAGATCATCCAGGATGAGCGACTTGTCCTAGAAAGAGTCGACGCATTTGTCAAAGAACATAATGTGGAATGCGACTTCAACTTGACAACGACGTTTGATGTTTGCATGACCCCAGAATTTGCTGCTTACGAGGCAGAGAGCCTGGAAGCGTTCAAAAAAGCAGGCGGCGATACTTCGCACATCACGTTCTACGAAGGAGACCAGGCCAAGCAAAAGACTAGAGTCCCAGGGGCTATAGCAGCATATGAATGGCCAGCAGGATCAAGCCACCCGGCAAAGCTTGCACAATTTCTGCTTCAGGAAGTGATATCCAAGGGTGCAAAGCTCTTCACGTTTTGTCCCGCCACTGAAATTGAACCGAGTGGCGCAACCCCGGAAACCTGGAAGGTACACACGCTCCGGGGAATAATAGAAGCAGAGAAAATTATTCATTGCACGAATGCCCATGCGGCCTTATTACTGCCGCAGTTGGAGGCTTACATTCGACCAAACCGTGCACAGGCTCACTCCCTCGTACCTGTTCCCGCTTTCTCGGGACAAAAGGCTCTGGAGAGTACTTTCTCGCTCCGCTTCAGCCTCCTCCACTTCTACTCCCTGATCCAACGTAAGGGAGATGGTACATTGGTGTTAGGTGTATCGCGAACAAACCCAACATTAAGTCCTGAGACAACGGCTAGTCGATTCAGCACTGACGATTCCCGGTATAATGAAGAGATTTCCCAGGACGCTCTGCGGACCTTTGGTGAGATATTTCCTGCTTATTCGTCCCAGGCTGCCATGCACGGTGAGGGTCTGGATCATGCTTGGACTGGAATAATTGCCATGACTACGGACTCTGTTCCGTTTGTCGGGGCGATTGAGTCCCTTCCTGGGCAGTATATTTGTGCCGGATTCAATGGTCATGGTGAGTTTTTCTTTTGCTCGACTACATTTAACAAAATGAGGTGCTGATTAGCAACAGGTATGGCCAGGATATTTACATGCGCTCCGGCTGTCGCCCAGCTTGTACTAGGCAAGACCTGGGATGAGACGGGGCTTCCAGAATGTTTCCAATTCAATGACGAAAGGCTCTCCCGGCTTTCAAATGGAGATTTGCCTTCAATTTGGTAGCGAAGTCATTATACCCGGGGGATATTGTTGAAATATGTTTTATAAAGACATGTCTATTCTCCAGTGCATGGGGATTTATACAATCTTTACTACAAAAGATGTGGTAGCTTACCAATATGATATATGGACAAGAAAGGCCATAATACACCCCTATATCATTTAAAATGGGAAAATCAATTGTATCTTCGACAGTAGTTTCATTCAATTCGCCTACAAGTATATACAGCTAGGGTGTCAGTTTGCTTGTCCCAACCTCCACAGGTCACATCCACGTCCGTCTCATGGGCAAAAGTTTGAGAAATGTCCTTGATTAGGTGCCATTCGGAGCTTCATGGAGTTGGTCTTGATTGCCATGTTGCCCTTGTAAAAGGTTTCTTTGCGAGCATTCATGCATTCAATGTTTGCTTTATTTCTCTTTATTTCTGGTTTGTATATTAGATCATCCTCTATTTTAACTTATATATGCAGAGCAGTTTCACCTTCTATACATAAAGATCGATCAATACGAATATTGATTAGCTACATCATCTTCTCTCTCTAGCATTCTGGTCCCGGTCTCACAAGTCAACTTTGATGGGACTGTGGACTTCAATGTCAAAGCAGCAATAGAGCTAGCAAACGGGCTAGCTCCAAACTTGTCCCAGGCATATCCGTTGGGAGTCTGATTCCTCAGGCATCATATGGAGACAGATCCCGTTTGCCAGATAGATAGTAGGTAGACCCTGCTCTCTCTCCTTCTCTCCTTCTCCTCTTTGTCCCTTTGCTTCCATAGGAATCGAGTACATTGTTTCTCCCTAGGATCTGCATTGTATCTCGTTCCTAACAGGTTATGAGCGCCTTTTTCTGCTACCTGGACCACTAGCAATCTCCTCCTCGACGCTTCTCCTGGACCCACTTCCCGGCGATACCTCACAGAACTGATCTACCACTCCAATGCCTCATCAATCTAAACCGACTCGATCGATCATCAATCTCACCATGGTTGACCCCGATACCGAGTCTGAGGATGAAAACCCCACAAATAAATCCCAGTTTTTGCCAGCTTCTAGCGGCATCAACAACCTGTCGAACTCGGCGAGTAGCAACAACAACACGAATACCCAGGATAGCGCCCAAGATGCGACGAACAACCAGGGACAAAATCTGCCTGACATTGCTTCTGCCATGATACAGAAGGTCAGAGCTCTCGAACATGACTCTAAAAACCCCCGTGGGTGGACAATCCTGATCAAATTCGCCCTCGCCCCCCTACGTCTGGAACATATCATCGATAGCAACATTCCTCGTCCAACCGAAGGACACCCGAAATATGAGCGTTGGAGGTACTGGTCCCGCACAGTGGCCAGTTGGTTGTACCTCCAGGTGGACGATACAATCCAAGAACGCATTCAAAACTTGGTTTACATTCCTAGATACGCCGACACAATATTCGACGAAATCATGACCATAGTACAGGGTAGCAACACAGCGGAAAACGCCCTGAACGAAACCAAGAAGTTCGACAAGATGCGTCGATCTGACTTCAACACTGCAAAAGAATACATCGCTGAATACCAGAGGCAGTACCACGTACTTGCTAGATTCAAGATCGCACCGCACCCGTTCCATGCACTCTGTCAAGTGCTTCACCAGCTGGAAAAGGAGATTCCGAAGGTGCAATTCATCATCGAAGAAATCGGCAACACTGAACCAAAGAAGATCACACTTGAAAAGATGGATCAATACTGTAAAAGCTTGCAAACTGTCGCTGATCGTGATGATCGGAACTGAGGCTCAATCCAACAGATCCAGGAGGCCAGGGATGGCGTTTTTTTTTTTTTTTTTCAAACCCGCGAGGATGAACACAGACTTGCATGGGGGGAAACCTTCGGTGCCTCAATGGAAGGGGCAATGTAAAAGCTGAGGATTATGAAAATCTTCGTGAAGTGCACTCTCAGGGCAGAGGAGATAGGGGTGCAGGTGAATCAGTCAAATCAAAACAAAGCTTAGTAATACATCCTCTTCCCAAATCCAAAGATCCCCTTTATTGTTTGCCCCGCGTTTGAAGAAAGGAGTCTAGGCCTCCATTGTCTTGTAAACATTGAGTTGAAATAGGTATCCCATCCAACCTTACAAGCACCTTCCGATCCACAGAGTGGGGCACCGGACCGTCCCGAAAAGGCAATAGGTATACCCACATCGGTACCTAGGTAGCTTCCAAGGTTCGCACAGTTCCAAGGTTAACTCCTTGAAGCCAAATTTGTTCTCCGACACTTGAACGAAATCCACATGTCTCCATGATTGGCTTACGGGTTACAAGGCGCACATTCATTTCGCTCCGCACGAAACCGCTCAGGCCGAATGGCCGAAATGTAGAGACAGACAGGGAGATCACGGTGATGAAAGACAGAAGGAACCAATACCCGAGGCTGGCCAACAATGATTGAACTAAACGTTTGGGGAGATAGCTTTTTGTAGTAGATTGCGCGAGCTATCTTGGGCCATAAACTCAAACCCTATTTTCCCTAGTTTTGCTGATTTTTGTTTGGTGATCAAGAAGAGTTTGCACTTATTCCCTTTTTTTGGCCTCGGCAACTCTCCTTTTGTTTATTAGGGGCGATTCAAGTTTTGGCCCCTAAATCATATACTATGGGACGATAACCAATAGGCGGGACCGACAATCCTGGATAGAATTGGCTCCTAAATTACCGGAGTACTCCGTACTGTTGCGGGTATAGAATGATCACTGGAGTCTGCAGGAGAGATAGACATATGTAGCTTATTTGGGGGCTATGCAATACCCGATTTGAGTGAGATGACTGTGGCTATACAAAACTCGATTCGGGTGAGACGACTGTCTACTGCCTTGCGCTAACAATTGAGTCAATTGGGTCTGCGAATTGAGAATATTATATTACAAGTATAGATATTTAATATAGTACCGGTTTCCTACTTAACTACATATGTATGTTGCAGCTGGGCGGAAGAGAAGGCAATCAAAGATGAATTGAGCGTGGGATGAAGCTAGTACAAATTGATATACATACCCGGTCCAATGCATAGCCCAACTCCTAACGGGGGTTAGGCCGTGCATTGGGCCGGGTACATACTGCTTACTATTGCTAGCAAACTCGCCAGGCTGGTAGATGAGCCAGCCGTGGGCATATAAGCCATCATAATTGGCTCATATCCGTTTTTCAAAGTACGCAGTGGATGTAATACCGGTTCTGGCCCAGGGAAACTTGTGAAAAGCTCGGGGAAACTTGTAAAGATTTAGTAGCCTGATTGGGAAGAAACCTAGCCAATCAGGAAGAAGACCCTACTTTATATCACCTCTACTCCGTACAGTGCTACATCATCTATGAGGGTCTTTCATTAGGATTAGATATTTAGGAAATTTATGGATTCTAGTCTAGTTTCTATTTAATCACGTTGGAATTTCAGGTCTTTCTGAGCTTAAGTGTTTCGAGGCTAGCAGCCCCATCAGGCCCTATGCTGTTGAAATGCTACATATGAAACTAGACTACATGTCCACCTCTATAAACACAAAAATCCGTCATGAATTTGTAATGGAATTAGAAATGAATGGCGAGGGCATCGTATTCAGTTGACTGAAGTGACTGAATGCAGTCTGAATCGAAATATAGATTTATGGTACATCCTAATGCAGGGCACGTTCAGGGAATGGTGACCATGCTATCTGACTGCATTAACGACGCTAATCTCGATTCTGTAAGAGTTCAAGTTCGTGGCAAGCCAAAATGCATGCCGAGTCATGAGAGACATGGGGCCGAGATAGGGTTAGCGGTGAAGCCAACCTCATTTCCATGTTGATTACTCAGTACTAGAAATTAACTGGAATTCTTAACACATTCTATCTCTTACGATTTTAAGCAGATGGACTTGGGGAGATCTGAAATTTTTCTTAGCAATTGGCCGCACAATTTCACGAAAACGCCATTATATTGAGATCGCGGCTATATGTTTTCGATATGGTTTTCCATTTAATATTCACCTTAAGTGCTTACAAGGTTAGTGCATCTAGAGTAATATTATCAGGGTCTCGAGGTCGTTCCTATGGATCGACTTCAATGTCAGTGGATCATCCAACGGGAGTACCCTTGCAAGAGCATGGGGTCCATGGCCCCCTACTTTGCGGGGCTGCCCCCGGTCGACCCGCTCGGCCCCGGGTTCCACCTATCTTGACTGCAGGGATCCGATACCTATGACAATGTCCCTTACAGGACATGTCCATGTCTCTTTGTCTCTTGTTATACGTTTACGCCGACGTGGAAATATTGTACTGAATAACATGGCAGATATTGATAGATAGTGACAGACAACTGCTAGATACATGCAAGAGAAGAAATCGACCAAGGGAGGAAATATCGCTATATCAAAAATGTGCCGAAGACAACACTCTTAGCATATGCCGACACTCGCATCCTGACAAAACCAGAATGGTAAAGACCCATGACCAAACATAAACCCAATGCAAACAGCGCGAATAATCCAAGATCAGCCGGCTTCACTATTGGGCTAAAAGCCCAAGAAGCCAGTTCAACCAATCTTTAACAGATGTCGCTGTGGTTGTTACCACCATCCTGGCAGGCAGCACCACAGTACTTGATAACATTGATGTTACCGTTGGGTCCACCAACACACTGGAAAAGGGTGTTTTGGATGTGGGACGGATCGGCGGGCATACCGGCGCCAGACAGAGCTTGGGTAATCTGGGCGTAGTAGTTGCCTAGAACACAGAGTTAAGATACAGATATTGGGATAGCAACAGACATTGGGCATCTCTATAGCTTACCCTTTCTCAAGAGAACGTAGCCGCAGTACTGGAGGCCATTCTGGCAGTTGTCGGCTGCAACAAGAGACGAGAAGCTGGCCACAATGGCAACGGCGAGAGTAGTGAAATTGACCATGGTGGATGGTTGGAGGTTGGTTTTGGAGTTGAAGATTGAGGAGTTGGTTTTGTTTGTGTGTTGGATGAGAGAATGTTGAGCAGGAAATGACCAGGCTTTTATAGACTTACATCTCGGGCTCCTGACCTAAGGCGGAGGCCCTTCGGAGGCCCTTTACCCAGTGTCATGATAAAACCCCTCACTTTGGAAGCAACGCTGGCATTGTTACTAGCTGAAAGAAGATATGTACTCCGTGCGTGGCTTCATGTAGCTCAGGGCGGCTTGATCTTGAGAGAACTAGCAAACAGTTTCACTAACCAATTCTGGCATCATGTGTGATGAACTGCACAGCAGACGAGCCCTGATACGATATAGGCTCTAATTGCAATTACAGTGCACGAGCTGTTAGATCAGTTGATGAAAGCTAGAGATTCAATGGATAGTAATTCAACTGGTTCCCATTGATGCCTAGTACCTGTATGTCTTCTCCCCACAAACTGCGGAGATCCTAACAGATACAGGTTAACAGACTTTTCTTGGAGACTCATTGAAATCATGCTTCTCATGCAGGGGATGTGTAGTTGAATTCTAAGAAGCGATATCATTTGCTCATGGAGCACTGTCCCTTTCCGAGGCCTATTTCCAGTATGAAACTACTTCTAGCATAAATGCTACCCGGGGGCCAGCGCTAAGCATAAAGTGAAACTAGGTAATAAAACCCTCTTTTTTTAGGCCAATTGGAAATCCTTTTCTAACGCTTGGTGGAGAATGTGGGGTTTTCAAGACGCGAAGGATTGACCTTGCGTCAAAACTATAAGCTGCAGCTCTTAGGGTTACATAGTGCGGCATTGTCCGGAGCAAACTCCGCGGTTGCATCTTTTTCTAGGGCCTATGTTGTACTGGTTTAAACCAGAACAGATTGAGAACAGAAACTAACACCACGGAAGACTATGGAAACTATTTGACCAAAGCCTTTGTTTTCTGACACTCCGCTAACCCAACAATTAGCCTATACGGGTTGTGCCTACCCCAGATTCTGGCAATGTCTGTGCCCTGTGCGGGAGTTGGGTTTGGTACGATATTGCCTAGTTTACACGAGGTTCTTTTGCTATTGTTTCGAACTTTCAGTAGATCATGTCGGAAGTAATGGTGGAGCTCGATATCATATCGTAAATCCTTCGAAGCTTTGAGAGAGGGAGCTTTGGCACCAGGGCTAGGAGAGACAGTAGCAGGATGAGGACCCTGGTCGAGGAAGGCTTTGGTGGGGGAGCGATAGGAGACCCCACAGTGTGATAGAAAACAAATCCATATCTTCGCCACTTTTTGAAGTCCGCAGCTTTGATGCGGGCCCACCAAGCCCTCAGGAACTGCTAGATCATGGCCACGTGCACTCCCTAATACCCAACATGCCCCCAGACCTTTCGTCCAAAATAATTTCACCTGGTCACTGAGCAGAGGAGTGATCAAGGGTGGTTCCAAGGCCTAGAGCATCCTGTGCTAGCTCGACCATAGCAGCGACCAAACTATAACGTTGCATGCCTACGCTGTGCATTTGAAACAGCTGGCAGCGGTAGGCTCCTACAGTAAAGTGATAATCCCCAATGCCACGACCCCATGGGAGTTTGACTATTCTAGATAGCCATTTGAAGACTGCTGGCCCTCATAAAGTGGTATTTCGTTGATATTTGCACCCTGATATATCTAACCTTCAACGCCCTTGCTATACAGCCTACCTATTCCCACTCCATACGCTAATTATCTAGCTTACTACCCCGGCGCATCATTTTATCAATCTAGCAAAGACTATGCCACGCCGTGTAGAAGAGGTTATTAAGTATGAAAGGTGGCATTCTAGTTATTAAGGAGTTCTAATTTAGTATATGTACATACATACATACATGTTTTGAAGTTCTAATATATAACGAATGTCCCCCCTTACTACGAAGTTCGTTAATTCACCATTCCTCCCATACAAAATTCGTTCCAAGGTTATAATGGAGCTGAGTCAGCGGTTTAGACCACCTGGGCAATTAAAGATGCCTTGCTGATCAGTCCCCACTTGTTAGAAGCTCGGTCCATCTCTCAGAAGGTCGCTCTCGGAATGTAGTGGCGACTCTAAGGGTGAAAATTAGTCAATTATAAAGCCTCTGTAGAAATATGGGAGGCTGTTATAGGCGATGAGGCTATTGGTATAGAAGCAGAATTCTATTAGGACCTTTTTTAGGGTACAAATTTGTATGTAAACCAGAGATATATATATGATGTATGGAGACCTGGACTTTACGAATACCCTGGTATATGTGTCTCAATTTGTTCTTATTTGTAATAGAATAAGAAAGAAGAACAAGCGGTGATAACACTAAATACTAGATTCTCCCAGATTCCATTAACTGAAAGCAGCCTAAATTGAAATGACTTCCTATGATACAACATACTGCAAGTTGTACACAGAAAGTGGTGATGTAGATGTCAAACTATATCGACGGCGCTAGTCTCGATTCCGTAGGAGTTCAAGATTCTTAGCATGCAAGAATTGCATGGCGAGTTATCGTGCATAATGACAAATTACTAGTGTTAGCGTTGAAATCCTAATTCAATGTTAATTACTGAGAATCTACTACATATTGTATGCTCAACATACTGTACTCTCTTTTGAAAAAGAAACTCGTGATCGCTCTACTATTTAATTTATGAGATATATGACACAAGATCCGTATTGTTTACCTGGGACAGTCACACTATAATTACAGTGGATTCATCCTTTTCTATTCAACTTTGGTAAACCCCAATTCCAAGGGTAAACTTGGGTTGAATTCCTTACTCCGTACTCTCCCTCTTATCATAGAGACGTAGTACGAATAAAACAAGGCTAGATAATTTCGGCAACACATGCAGCCTTGGCCCACCCCTGTCAACGTCGATCCAATGATCGTCAACGGGAACCTCCGCACAACGTGGCTAATACTGCACCAACCTCTTTCAGGTTTCAGTTGTGGAGTATAATATGGCACTTGTGTCCCATCACCCAATCGCAACCATTGAAACTGCTACAGGATTGCGGGACAACCGGTGAAAACCGTTGAACATTAGTACCGGCCGGCATTTCAACAGCAGTTCTTTCCACAGCTCCTTAACCTCCTCCCTTCGCTCTCCTTCCTATTATCCCGAGAGACCAGAAATCTAACCATGCCGAAGCCACCAGGGATTGCAGTGGTAAGTTTATCTACCAGTCGTTCTCCTCGCCATGCTAACAAGTTATAGGATCCGGATATCTACCTGCCAGCCCAGTATGGCGATGATTGGCAGTCGTAAATACTCGCATTTCCCCGTTCTTTCACGTCATCGATCTCTAACACGATTCTAGGGAGACGACATCTATCGGTTCCTCAATTTATCATGGCCTGATGGAAAATGGCAGACGGTATGGTGCCATCGTACTTTTGGCGCACCCGGGGGCTCGGCCCGTTGCTTACATGTATTTATTATATGCAGGTACAAAACGCTGAGCGACAGAAAATATCTGTATGCATGTCATAATATCTGCGACTAAAGAAACTGCCAACTGATCCTCGATTCTCACCAGGATTCCGTCTGATGACCTGGCATTTGAGTCCTACGAAGCTGGGTACATACGACCGGCCTTTCTATATGTCATTCTCTCTATTAACACTCTCAGTCATTTGCTCGCTCTGGTTTTAGACTCGGAACGAGAGAACCCACTGTTTAGAGCGCCTATCGGGAAGAACCCTAAGCATATCCTCGACATTGGAACGGGTAAGGGTAACTGGGCTATGTACGTCAAAAGAGAACCCCCCTCCTCGTCCCGAAACAGACAGGACTTATACCAACATAACACTTGTATAACTAGTGATGTTGCCGACATGTTCCCATCTGGTGAGTGCCAATCCCAAGAGATCTACAGTGTGGTCAACTAACAACATCTAGCGACTGTCCGAGGAGTCGACCTTTTCCCACCTCCCATTACATGGGTGCCGCCCAACTGCATCCTCGAAGTCGACAACGTCCTAGAAGAGTGGACCTGGAAAAACCACCTCGACCTAATCCACATGCGGATTATGACCGGCTCGTTCGATCCCGCGGGATGGGACCACGTCTACCTAACCTCTTACAAGTAAAGCATCCACTTACCCTAGCCCATATCCATACCGACCTCGGGATGGACCTCCCATTAAAATACACCAATACCCGAGCTAGTAAGATATTATGGAGATCGTGCCTCTTGGCAATACTTGGCAGTTTGCAAACTAAGTCTCACGTGAACCTCTTTTCTTCTTCCAGGAATAGTTTTCAGGACGTGTTTTATTTTTATTTTTATTTTTTGACACATCCCTTCAGCCAGCAAGCCCTAAACAGGATGAATTATCTTCCATCAGAGCTCTTACATCAAATATGTCTCAGTGTATGTCACTTTGCGCACTCTTTTCTGGTGAGACACTAAAAACCTTTAACCTTTAGCTTCATGCTGATGGGTTGGATTCACGCACAACACTCTCAGCTTTCAGTCGGCTCAATCACATTTGTTATGGAATTGCCGCCCCGCTTTTTTATCAACACCTTACTATCAAGTTCTGGGGTGCTGAAAGCCTCAGAAAAACCGTCTCCGAGTTGACAGAGGATGGCCAGGGGCGTCAGTTCGTGAAATACGCTAGGAAATTATCTGTTATATGTCTCAATCCAGGTTTAGGAAATACACAGGATCTTCTCTGGCAGTTAGAAGGCTGCAAGTTGGGAAATACTCGCGTCGGTCAAGATGATCCGGCAACGAAAGACACCTTCCTAGAGTATCATTTGACAGATCCTACTTTATCTTATGCCTCGGGAGTACTTCTCCTTAAAGGTTGGTCGAACTATCGGCAATGGGAAAGAGACTGGGGTCCACTTGCTGCCCTCGTTGCCCGCTTGTGCTATCTAGCAGAAATCGAATTCTTCGTTCGGAACGATTTTCCAATCTCTCTGCAGGAAGCTATATCACAGCACCATCCAAAATGTCAGCTGAAGCTTTTCTGGCCGCAGAACGTGACATTCAGCGTCCCAAGTTTAAAAAAGCAAACATGCCCTCGAGTGAGGAAGATAATAAGCAATGACGACTTCGCCGGCATTGATATCAATCTTCTACGTCTTAAGGGGTTGCATACATTGTCCGTCCAAATCCCGAGCAGATCTGATAGCAAAGGCCGCTGGATAGAGATCGACGAAATGCTGCCTTTCCTTTTTTTGGCTCCCAATTTAAAGCACCTTCTCTTACGGAAAAGTTCCACAGCCCATCGACTCCCATTCGCTATGCTAAAGCAAGAATGGCACAACCTCGCGGTTTCCACACATCCTATGCCGGTATCTTCCTTGCATTCGATTTCAATCGGTGCATCCGGGCCACCCGAAAATATCCTACTAAGGCTGGCCAGTATCGCGGATATTTCCCGACTTTGGTCCCTTAGACTTGATGAGTTAAGCGACTCATATATGCTTGCACGGTTAGCTGGGCTTTTCCCTAACCTCGAGCGACTATTTATCTCGACAAATGGACGCGGTTGGCGCTGCCCAGATCTCAATAGTGACGATGATATCGGAGTCTCTGCAATAAGGGCATTCAATCCCCTGGTTTATCTCCATCTTCGCGGCTTTCGTAGCGCCTTTTCTCTGAACCAAATCGTACAGCGACATGGTCCTTCTCTAAAAGGTCTTATCATTATGCCGTGCATTCGGGATAAGGGTAGGACGGAAGACGACTCTGGGTATAAATATCCAGAGCTTGATGCCTTTGGTATATACCAGCTAGCCAAATCCTGTCCCCAGCTAGAGGAACTCCGTCTTCCAATCAAAAGATCTATGGGCAGTCAAGAAGAGTGCGAAATGTACAAGGCTGTAGGGGGCTTTTCAAACCTCCATAGTCTTGTACTAGATCTTCATTTCGATCCTAGGCCGCGGCCGGTAGACCCAATGCAAGAAGTTGAGATATCTGTTCTTCAAGAGATATTTTTAAATGCTGCTATGGATGAGAAACTCGCTCTTCAGATCTGGCACTTGATCTCATCTAATCAAGCTTCCCGCCGCCTACAGAAACTTCGTGTCGTGCCTTTTGGTCTTGAGCTCCTCCCGAATGATGAGCATCGGCTCGTTGATTGGTTGTCTCGTTCGTTTTTGATCACACGCTACAATTTTCAAAACGTGGGGGTACCGGCTATTAGGGAAATCGGGAAAAGAGAAAGGGAGATACTTAAGCAGTCTCGCTATCAGGCTTCAGAAATATGCATCCCAGAGAGACTAGCACAGATTATTTCTGATATCTGGCCATCTGAGCGTGGTAAGAGCTGGGAGCCGGGATGCAGCAGCTTCCCTTTGCAGCCAACGATGCTTGCTTAAGCTATCTGACGGGGGCAGCTGCTAAGCAAGTTAAAATGATATCCATTATCTACACAGTCATATGTATCCATATTCATGTACACAAGGACCCAGAACAGCGCTTAAAGGTGAGAAGAAGTAGGTATACTATAGTATTGTTCCTAGGCACGCTCTTGGTCGCTCCTAGGGATCAGACTCACAGTTGTCAGGGATATACATGAAGCATATAGGACGGGGGGTGGAGATATGATCTACACGGGACCCACATGGTGTATATGGGTTCCCCTGAACGCGAGGAAGCTACCTTTCTTTTGCTTCCTCGCGCTACGGAAAGTGACGACGACAGCCTGCCGGCAGATAGCATCCTGCGAACCTGGGGCCTGACTATGAACGCGTGCGGTGAGCGCGCTGGACTCTTGTTAGAAAGTCTTGATACCATGCGGCGGCACGATGGAAAAGGCTGGGTTTGAGGATTTCCAGGAGAAGTCATACCAGTGGCCGATTGGCCCGTGGGCGCGCGATCATAAATATAAAGAGGCGGGCGTTGTTAATTTCCAGCATTGGATTTCGGGTATGGAGGGATGGTGTATGTGGTTGCTTACCCATTTCGGTGCGCCGAAGCCTTGGTCGAAGGATGAGGTTACTGTTTATTTGGCCAAGGTTCGTTCCGAACTTAAGAATCCAAGATACCATATTTATCACAGAGCGTGAGTTTGGCCTAACATTCTGGCGTGGTATTTGGCGTATGGAGATGCTGATCCTTGTCTAGACGACGTGTGTGGGCGCGTAAGCCTTTCCCCAGAGAGCCTGAGACGACTCCGATCAAGGGCGACGAGGAGTGAAAGAAGTGATAGGGGCTATTTTCTTAGCAAGTAACTGAACTATCGATTGGATGTCATGATGGAAGGCTGTATAGGAAGGGAACTAGATCGAAATATTTGAAGATGCCCGCAAGGAATATTTCCTGATACCCTGACAAAAGATGCTGATGTATAGTCGAAATAAACTTAGGTTGACGCCACTAGCCACTAGGGGAGGGTTCTGCTTTCATGTGCAGGTCAAGGCGTGCTCTCTGGCTATATTTACAAGGCCAAGATCGCGAGAGTAGCGATATTAAGATCATTTCTTTCACTGGGCTATGTCGTAAGCTAGCTAATTGCGACAAATGGTTCGCCATTGCGCTTTTCATCGCATAGAATCATTGAAACTGCCCACGATTTGAGGTCCATTGTATCATGTTCAGAATTCCAGTTCCAAATTCGTCAACTGCGAAGAAAATGTCCGCCGAACCCACTCCATGTATATCTTCCATTTGTGAAGATCACCTGATGTCTCCGCGCCGGGGAACGCCTTGCTCAGTTCTCTAGTGATCTTCAGAATGCCAAGGGATGCCTCCTGGGCCTTCTCCAACTCTTGCTTGACGGCGTTCTCCTTTGGCTTGAAGGAAAGCACAGTGGTGTAATGCTCCGACAAAGCGTCCAGCCGCCGCTCAGTATCCTCCGGTGCGATCTTAATCATTTTGGATGTCATGAGATTGCTGATGGCACGAATGTCCTGTTCGTCATCGATACCGGCGACTATGCGGTCAAAGAGTTCAGCCATATGGGTGCGGGAGAAGGAAGTTTCGAGCGAGGCATAAAGGGTTTCGTAGGCACTCTGTAAACGACGATGTCAGTGGGGATCTATCTATGGTAGATAATAAGAGATACTGACCTTTCGCAAATCGAGCCCATCATCCACTTTGTGTTTGAATGGACCCATTTGGACCTCGCGAATGAGCTCTGGCTTGATTTTGGTGTCGCCAAGAACAGCTGGCAGCAGCTCATCGAGGTGAGGGAGCAGAAGATCCATCTTATTATGGATTGCAGAGTTAAGGGTGGTCAAGGCAAGCCGGTGGTTGCCCAAATCACTGTCAGCGAGCATGTTGGTTAAAAGAGGCACCATCAACGGTCGCAACACATCATTGTAAGCATCACTCGAATCAGCAAGTGTGTAGCGGAATGCCGAAATCACCACGCCGCGAACAGCCGGGTCGGTATTGGCCAGGTACTCCTATGGGGATGAGGTTAGTATTGAAAACATAGAAGAATGAGCACGACTTACTTGAAAGTGGGGAATGTAAGCAACGGGGTCAAGAAGTGCCAAGCGGCCGACACATTCAGCCCCGACAGCCCGGTTGTCTTCCTGTTCGGAGACAACAAGCAGGGCGTGCCACAATTTGTGAGCGGATGGTGCAAGATCCGGACGCACGACCTCGGGATGCTGGAGTAATTCTCGCACCGAATGGAGAAGCAAATAGCTTTGAGCATTTGATTTTTCCAATCCATTCAAGATGGTTGGGAGATAAGCTTTGACGCTACCTGCGGCCGCGTTGCCCAGGGCAGTAGCGGCAGCCAAGCGCACATGATCTGACTGAGATTCGAAATGGGGAGTAAAGATACTCGGGGTCAACGAGCACTCTGGGCCCATTCGCAGGCCGATTTCGCCTAGGATAGCAAGGGCAAGGCATTTTCGGCTATCATCCCGTGCAGTCTTGAGTTCTGTTGAGAAATCTTCCATTGTGACTCCGAGATTCGGTCCACCGTGGACTAGAAGGGTGCCAACGGCTCTTCCGACCACTGATGAGTCCCCTGTGATTCCCACGTCACGGAGGAGGTTCTGCATCAAACTAGCACCCGCACCTTCGTCGCCAATGACTTTGACCAGGAGCAGCAATGCTTTGAGGACAGTTCCGACTAGTGGTTTGGTCACGATTGAACAGATAGAAGAAATCAAACCGCTGTTCACCATTAGTTTTGCGTTGCCAGGGACAAGTTTGGCGATAATGATCAACGTGGGCGTAAGGGTATGGAAATCAGCTGCAGCGAGAAGAGGCAAAGCAGCATTCTCCAGTGCTGTGATCGTCTCAGGAGTGAGGTGAGATCTGATGTTGGAGTTCATGGAAAGACTGCGGAGAGTTTCCAAACACGCGCCTCTCAAGGCACGATCGGACTTGCGCAAGTTCGACCCTAGCTCAAGGGCAACATCGTTGACCCAATCACTAGAAACATCCTGCTTGCGGCTGGCGAGAACGACGACATCATCAACCGCACGAACAGCCGACAAACGAGTTGTCTCGTTCTTCACCCGGTCGACTAACACAGCCAGACCATTAGATCTCCTCTCGGATGAAAGGAACTCTACACCCCGTTCTCCTGATGTGCGTGCAAGAATGACACCGAACACATGAATTGCCCGTTGACGGACCTCGAGATCAGCACTTGTGTCGGTGATTCGAGAGTGGACAACATCATAGAGCTTCTGCAGCTGCAGAGTGACGTCGGAGGGATTGGCAGATACGCGTGGGGGTGTGATTGCTTTCACAATTTGTTCCACAGCGCCTAAAGCCTCACTGCTGACTTTGTAGTTGCGGTCGTTGACGGCTCCGACCACTCCAGGCACCAGGGCAATCAGGAATGGCAATAGGGCGCCGGACAAATGGGTCTCGGCGATCACTGCAATGAGACCCAGGGTTTCGATTTGGAGGGTACCTGCACTGACAGCAGCCCCAGTATGAGCCGCTGTGCTCCCTGAGAGAGATGAGGTCTTAAGGGCATCCGCAATGAGGTCTTCAATTTGTTGGAGATGATCTGCAAGACCACCATAGCGAACCAACGAAAGACTTTTGAGAAGAATAATCGCAGCTTGTTTGAGAGGGATCGAAGCCTGCTTCCATACCTTGACAAGGTTCTGTACAATCAAAGGTACGGAGCGAGCCAGATCAGCCTGAGAACCAGACTTGGGGGACGATGGCACAGCTGGAGAATCCATTGCTGACGAGGTCCCAGCACTCGGCTCGAAGTCAATCATTGATGCATCACTATCTTGGCGTCTGCGCTTGCGAGAATTCTTCGAGCCACCCACGGCCTCCAGGAAGTCATTGGATGTGACGATCATGGTGCCTTCGCCGGTTTTCCGAACAAGCGCCGTCAATGTCGACACCACCTCAAGTTTCACACTCTCTTCTCTTTCCCTGCTAATTTGGGAGATCAGAGCTGGGGCAACCTGCTGAAACAGGGCCGAGGCGTCCGAAGCGCGACCAAGCCCATATGTAGAGATGACAGTGTAGAGAAGCTTGGCAGCACACCGGCGTACCTTCCAGCTCATGTCATCGATATCGCTGTAGCCGCCTTCTTCTTCAAAGTCCTCGAATTCGTCGTCTTCCAGGTCAGGCTCCTCAGTGGCATCGTCCTCACTCCCATCGTCCTGTGTGCCTCCCATCTCCTCATCGTCCTCCACTTCGGCGACGTTTGGATCATATTTCAAGAATCGAAGAGCCGATCGGGTGGTATTCGCTAGGTAAGGTTGCATCTGTTTGTTGCAGGAGCTGATCAAAGCCTCGAGCGTGACCAAGGCGGTCTCGCGGAGCTCATCCGCCTGGGGATCATGTTCGTCGTCGTCCGAGTAAGACGACATTGTGGCGATGATGGAACGACAGGAGAGCTAGTTTGGTGAAATAAGGAAAGCGAAATCGCGGTTGACTCTGCGGACACACGCGCTGGAGATGTGGTGTTGGGGGTCACCGTCACGGACCCTGGAGTCGCAGGCAAGCTAGCTGCCCCGCGCTAGTCCCGATCTAGTAATAAATTCACGTGCGCGACCTCTACTGCAAAAAGTCGAGCAGATCAAGTGAGGGTTGGGCACGTTGTTTGGAGGCTAGAAGAGCTTGAAGTCCACCTTGCTTTCTTGCTTTGGCTCTCTTCTTGCTGCTCTGGTTGTCACCTGCCTTGAGATCTGTTGAGACCTGCGTCGAACCTTTCACGTCAACCCCTACAGGAGTTGACCCTCGAGTAGACGTAGCTTCTCTAGACGAAGATTTCGAGACGGGATTCCTCGACTTCCTTCGAGGCAGTACTGTCCGTTGGCAGCAGCGTAAACACTTGTACACTGTGGCACCCGTACGTGCCGACCCAGAGGTTAAAGGCTTGTTTTTTTTCGGTTTGACCTCAGTAACTTTACTCCACTGGGGCTTTCTAATGCTACCACACGCTCCACAGTGATCTCTCTTCTGCAGGACATTCAATGACTTAGACTCCTCGTGGAGAAGCCGGGTGTGCACTGCTAGCAGATGAGCTGATGTTGATGAACCAACGGGGACAGCCGAGACAGCCTGAATGAGAAAGGAAGGATCAATATGAGACATTGTGCGGCCTTGCCTATTGAGGGAAAATGATTTTTAATTGAGAAATCAAAACAATTGTCAATCAACAACAAAGACAATTGAGACAAACGGAGAACAATGAGGACAAACGGAAGACAATAGCCGTTTGCTCAGAGATTTGCCGCGCGGGAGCTTAAAGGCTCCAAGCTCCACCCGCCGCTCTTCCCATCTACATCTCTCTGCTCTCTCTACCTTTTTCATCTCCCACCTCCTACTCTTCTCTTACTTCCTACCTTTCATTTTCTTTCATGCAACTCTCATCAACTTTGTAGCAGGGATTTGTGTCGAAATTTTGCTTTTCTGACAGCCTCATTCCGAGGCTTTTCTTCTTTTTCAGTGCCACCACAATCCGACAGATCAGTCGGATTCGTCCATATGGCACCGGTGCGCATTGCCGTGGAAGGCTGCGTAAGTAATATTGCATGGATGGAGATCCCACATTTCATATGACATCCAATTCACAGCTGGTTGCTAATCATTATATATAGGGCCATGGCAGTCTGAACGACATTTATGAGACAGTGGATCGCAAGGCCACTGAGAAAGGATGGGACTCTGTTGATCTCGTCATCATTGGTGGAGATTTCCAGGTGAATTGATTGTCATGTCCCATTCCACACGAGCTCAATATTAACTGACCAAACTAGGCCCTGCGTAATGCCAATGATGCGACTTGTCTTTCGGTTCCCGACAAGTTCAAGCAAATCGGTGATTTTCATGAGTACTACAGCGGCGAACGTGTTGCTCCCTATCTGACACTGTTCATCGGGGGCAATCATGAGGCGAGCAATCATCTTTCCGAGCTCTATTATGGCGGTTGGGTGGCCCCCAACATCTACTTCATGGGTGCAGCCAATATCATCCGCTTTGGACCTCTCCGAATCTCGGGGATGTCGGGCATCTGGAAGGGTTATGACTACCGGAAGACCCACTACGAACGATTACCATACAACAGAGATGATGTTTCTTCGGTATACCATATCCGGGAGCTGGATGTCCGCAAGTTGCTGCAAGTGCGCACCCAGATTGACATTGGCCTGTCCCATGATTGGCCCAAGGGAGTCGAAAAGCTTGGGGACTATGGAACCCTGTTTCGCAAGAAGTCAGGCTTCAAAGCTGATTCCGAGTCAGGAAAGCTCGGAAGCGTCGCTGCGCGTGAAGCTCTCAATCATCTGCGCCCTGCCTATTGGCTTTCAGCTCATCTTCATGTGCATTACACTGCAAAGGTGCCCCATAGTCCACCTCGGGCACGATCCACTTCTTTGAGTCCCCCCAGTCCTCCTCCGCCTGCTGCCGCAGATACCAATCTAGCCGCTCCGATTCAACGGAGTAATCTCAACACTAGCAACCTTGCTGGCCACCAATTGCTTGGCGTTGCTAGTGGAGACGAACAGTCTCGCATCAAGGCCTGGAATGAATTCGGAGATCAAGCCCGACGGGCTGAGAAGGAGAAGCGGGACCAAGACGAATTCATGCGTATGGTCAGGGCGAGACAGCCGCAACCCCCGCGGAACATCACATTCAACGAAACAGCCAAGATCGGCGGCGGTCCCATTCAGAAGTTCGTACGTGGCGCCGATGGAGAAAAGATTGAATCCACCCCAGCCGACGGTGAGAAAATCGAAAACCCGGACAAAGTCAGCCAGGGAAACAGCCCTGTGAATACCTCTTCCGAGGAGGTGGTTGCTGAGCAGAGGGATTCGTCGTCCGTTGAGACGACTAAAGACGTCAAGAATGTCAAGACCGACAATGACGTAGCCGATAATATTGACAAGATCAGCATTTCTACAAGTCCAAGCAGCGCTGCAAGCGTGAAGTCTCCTCCGACCGAGAAGGTTCTTCCAAAAGCCGATATCTCTCTGAATTGGGCTGATGATCGCTCCCCTGATCCCTGGTGGACTGATGGTGCGGACGATCGGGTTCGCGAAGTGGAAGCCGAACTCCCGACCAGCCTTGAGCAGTCGAGTGTATCCAAGCCTGCTGCAAACAACTCAACTTCCGAACGCCTTCCGCCCCCCGAGGAAATCAAGAACCTCATGACTCAGTTCCTGACCTTGGATAAGCCACACAACCACGATGCCTTTGTTGAACTACTGGAGATTGAGCCAATCTCCGAACAGGATGACGCCGCGGTGGAGTCGCCTCTGCGACTCAGGTACGACAAGGAATGGCTGGCGATCACTCGTGCGTTTGCTGATGAGCTCGAGTTTGGTGGACACCCCAAGGGCAAAGTCCCTCCCCACAAGGGGTATGAACACTACCAACAGCGCATCGCTGAAGAAGAAAAATGGGTACACGAGAACGTTGTCAACGCTGGGTTGTTGAACATTCCCACTGACTTCGTCGTGACTGCCCCCGTCTACGATTCTAATGTCTCGATCAACACCCAAGAACAGCCGAAGGAGTACACCAACCCGCAGACGTCTGTATTCTGCAATCTGCTTGGGATCGAGAACAAGTTCGACATGAGCGAGGAAGGTCGCCAGGCTCGCATGGAGGCTGGCCCACGCCCCGAAGAACCTCGCCAGAACTTCCAGGGCAACCGCGGCGGTCGTGGTGGACGAGGCGGGCGTGGTGGACGTGGTCGTGGCGGTCGTGGCGGACGTGGTCCTGGACGTGGTGGCTACAGTGGTCGTGGCGGACGTGGCAGCTCTGCCCCCTCGGCCCAGGGCCCTGATGCCTGGTAATCTGACCAGTGCTTGACCCTTCCGCCTACATAGGGCGGTTTTCTATCTCTTTTGGTGGCTTGCCAGGTTCGAATCAGACAACGTGGGAATCTTTTAGGAAATATCTTTTACCAATTTCTTTTGTTTTGCTCTCTGCATGTATCTACATGAAGTTATGAACCCGTACAAGTGGGCACTAGGAACCAGTTTACTGTAGTTCGGAAATTCCTTGCTTTCGACTTGGGTTTCTGCATACTACATATGTAGCGACTCGATGGAATGAGTAACTTGCTCTGCTTGTACATACCCCGTGTTCTACGTGCAGATAGATAACATGTATCACTAGGGCGGAGTTTCCTGTCACTTCCACCTAGGCTGTCCGTTTCTTCATTCTTTCCGTGTTTTGCCTCAAGTCTGTCTTTTATTTCACTTGCTAGTGTCCTCAATAAATGGATGAGATTCGGATCCAGATCAAGTCGGCCAATAATCTTCTCATTGAAGTAGTGAAATAGTGATATAAAACTCTACTGGTCAAGTCACTGCAAGCCACTTTAGCTTCTACTGGTTCGTTGTAATCTTGTAAGCTGTAGGTGGACCACGTTGCATATAAACCGCACTAACTAGATCACAGGCAGCATCTGTTTCCCAATATATCTCACACCTAACGAATTAAGGAGGAAAAATATGGTGGAGTCTGTGGATATTGGACAAAAAACAAAAAGGTAGTGCATCATCCGTGAATCGAACACGGGCCTCGTCGATGGCAACGACGAATTCTACCACTAGACCAATGATGCTGGACTACCAAGTGAATGAGCAAGCTGATTCGTTGGTGATATCTGCTGATCCCAATTTGGATATCTGAGGGGACAGTTGAGAACCTCCTTCATATGGTTGACATACCCAGCCTTAGCCTTTAGGGCTGCATACTATTATTTGATAGACTTTCAATACTGAATTGTGCAAAATGGTAGTTATTGGTCCAATTGTATCTGAGCACTTCACTTCATTCAATCTCCTCGATGCGCGGACGTCCAGTGTTTTCCCCTGCTATGGGATCAACCTGCAGACCGGCGATCCTGTCGCCCAGTCCAAATCGAGGACTGTAGACATCTTGATCATCCTGGGCACCAATGCCCCACATCAAAGATTTCTCCGACCAAGCCTCCAAACTTTCAATCAAAGCGCGCAGGTTTCCACGAGCGAGCCCGTCCTCCTCACTACCCTCGACGAAGCGGAGCGTGCGTAGCATAGCAGGGATGTTTCCAATGGTCGACTGTCCCTGCATACTGGAAGCCGAGTCGTCCAAAAGCGAAAAGCCGAACCCGATGTCCCGGTTTCCGCGTGTCTCCCGCGCTGCCTCAAGAGCTTTGAGAATGTCGAAGATCAAGATAATACTCGCCCGGCGCAGGATGGCACTCTCCGGTTCCCTCTCGAGGGTTATGGTGGCAAGCGCGAGTTCGACGGCGGAAGAAAGAATGACGGGGCCAAGACCGAGGATGTTGACGTTGATGGCTGATCCAAGAATGGAAATGGCCGATGCCCGGATGCGAAGGTCATCAGGGGCATCATCTGCGGATGCGCCGGCAGCCCATGCAGCGACGACGTTTGTGGCGTACGCTGATTGCTCTGGTGATTCGTCGTCCGAATGAAGCTCTGTGAGGTCGAGTTCGGAAGCAGCTTTGGCTATTCCAGATGAAATGGACCAGCCTTCTGGCATGGCCGGCTCTTTTTCCTTGCGCTGTGTGCGTTCCTGTTCTCGTCTCTCCTTGGCAAGTTGTTTCTTGCGGGCTTGCTGTGCATGTTGCTTGTTGCCACGCCGTCCTGCAACGGCAACGATGGCCTCACCCAGAATCTTGGCGGTCTCACCGGACAGTGCGTCTCCCAATTCCTGGACTGTTCGCAGCAGACACTCACCAATCCTGAGTCTTTCGTCCAATGCTCGTTGTTCGTTTCTGTCTGCGTACTCCTCAACCAAAGTTTTGATCACGGTACGTGGGTGGCGTGATGCTAGTGTACCAACTATCTTGATTGCACCGAGATATGCATATTCGTCGTTGGCAGCGGTCTTAGATGTGTCGGTGATGACTGAGAGCAGGAGTGTGAGGGTTGACCCCACATCAAGAACGGGTGATGACTTCATGATCAGTTTCGAAATCAGCGATAGGCCCTCGGCCTGTACGGGTGGTAGGTCTGAGTTGAGATTCGCAAGTGCTTGACGATGCGTGTCAAGGTCCTGAATATGACCTGGTACTGCCTTGATTGTGGTTTCATCTGCAGCGGCAAGGTGAATCTCGAGCAACATAGACGAGGTTGTTGCTGGCTTGGAGAGGGTAGAAGGGAGAAAAGAAATCAGTTGATCAAGGTCCCTTTTAAGAGATTCAAGGAGGGGCTGAATTTCAGCAGTGGGAGAGAAATCGGCGGATGCAAGAAGTGTAGACATCAAACTGAAGGCTGTTGAGATGGACTCAGAGGAGTCGCTGCCTAATTGCTCTCCGTCTTTGTCCTTCGTTTCCACGATATCAGCTAAAGATGACAGGGACACCTTGCTATTTGCTTTGCCTTTCGTCGCTGTTTCTTGGGCGCTAAATCTATGTAGCTCCCCATCGATGACTTGCTTGATGAGCTCTAATACTCGGAGTGGGCGTCGAGTCAGTGCTTCTTTGAAGTTCTCAAGCAGCTTCTCTGCAATCTTGGCACTGACAAGCTTCTGAATGATGTTGTCACTTTCACCAACGGGACCTCCGTTCAGTGTGTTGCGAGGGAGTGGAGAACCTTGGGGCTGCACTAGCCAGTTTTGACTGACATAGAGGAAGATATCACCGGTCCGTTCCTCACTGCTAGGATCCGAGCCAATGAGACCGACGAAAAGTTCAGCTCGTGCTTGGAGGGAATCGATCAGTCGCACCAGATTTGAATGCTCGTTCGTTTCCTCACTCCGCTTCTGTAACCCAATTCCAGCGTCGGAATCTTTAGTGTATGTCCACGTCGTGCCCCCATCCCAAAGAAGATTATCAACCAGCTTTTTGAGGGGTTGGGCTCCAACAGAAATACCAAAATACGTTTGGAGCAGGGGTAAGACCCTTTCATGGAATGAGCTCAGCTCTTCCTCCTGAGAGAAACAGACCAAGCCCCACAATGGAAGAAGAATCGGATACACGATTCGTTTCACGAGACCTGGGTTTGGATGCTGCAATGTCAGACACCTCAGTCTGTTTAGAGCCAGTTCCACTGTGGCGCCATCCACCAAGACATTGGATGCAGGATCTGCTTCCGTGGTATGTGGCATAGAGCCTTCGATATCGGTGAAGCGACTGATCCATCGCCTCGATTTAGCATTGAGGTTTGCGGTAAGTGCATTGAATATCGGCTCCACAAAGATGGAGTGGCCAACAGTACCAGGGGCGCCATAAGCACGTTTCCCCAAAATTCCATTACCGACGACGTATGATGCAGTTTTCCTCAGATCTGGATCATCGCCGTCTATCAATGCTAGCAGTTGGGGAGCAATTGTCTCAAAATAGACAGTTGGGTCAACATTTGACGGGACAGAAGAAAGGAGTCGTGAGATTTGCATGATGGCCTGAACAGTTAAACGAGGGCCATTTGATTGGTCCTGTGCCTCCTGGCCTAGCGAGGGTGAAAACTGCGATGCGATGAACATAATGGTTTGTACTACTCCCCCGGGTCGTAGCGGAACTTGCGAGATCTGGCTGGAGATGGTTGACTTGAACCATGGCGCAGTATCTGACTGGAGGAATGCGGACAGTGTAGGTAGCAAGACAGTGGTCGCGGTACTGTAGGCTGTTAATATTACCTAGAAGCAGTAAAAGTAATGGGAACGTACTCATCAATTATCTTAGCCAACGTTTTCTGATATGTTTTCCGGTCAGATGATGCCGTGGTATTTGGATTAAATGCCAGATCAAACGTGCCACTGATTATGTCACTCAATATACGACCACGAATAATCGTCTGGAGGCTTGGTCTGGGGTCGAAGAGAACGTCAACCAAAACGTCGATTATGCGGCGCAAAAGAGGCTCATCGTGCGGTACACTGGTAGCAGCTGATTGAGCCTGCTTTGCAATTACACCGGCCGGCAATACCGAGATCACCCGCTGCTGCAGAGGAATCCCAACTCCAGATGATAGCGAAGGATATATTCCTTCAAGGGAAATCAGGTCTAGCAATGCATGTAGCATCCGACGGCGCTTGGCATCTTCTGATGGCGAGTCTTCAACCTCCCCGCATGATTGAAGAGACCCATCTTGCTCCTCGGGCGAAACAAAGGATCTGTGAATACTGGTCAAGATATCCAAGGCCTCATTGATTACAGTTGGTCTCGCGGCATCATCACCAGCATCATCATCACCCCTCGAAGTATGACTGAGAATATGTAGCAAAGATTTACCTTGGGACTTCTGTATTTCCTCTACAAGATAGTCAGCGCCAGAGATCTAAATGTAACTTGACACCTCGAATATGCATACCTCGATCGAGGACTGGGGTTAGAAAGTTCTTAGCAAAGCCAAACGCTTCGCGAATTTGCTGTGGACTTCCCATCATAAATATATGTAAGACCCTCTCATGCTAAATTCATGCCAATGAGGTTATTTGCCTCATTCACATTGCCCACCTGAGTTCTTTGGTGAATGAATAATCACGAACAATTGCGGTCTTGGCGTTGTCCCTGATTATGTCATAACAGACACTCAAAAAGTCATGTGCAGATCACGTGGTAGTCGCGTCAGTCTCGTGGCCCGTCGCGCTTGCCCACAATTGATATAGGCGCGTCAACCCCCAAGATGTTGTTGTTGTTCCCAACTCCGTCTACTCTATCCACTGCTCATTTAACACCCTTTGAACAGACAATTTAAACTGCCGTCGCCGCTTCCTCAGCGACCCCGAATCTTGCTTGTTTTTACGATATTCATTGGACCCAATTTCTGTTCAGACGTGCCGGAGTTCCACCGCGACCGTTTCCTGAGTGTGGAGCCACTCGAGTCTTTTGCCCACCGAGGCATACATGTACAGATCAACCCTCTCAGATCTTCATTTTCGTCTGCTGCCTTCAATGGTGAGCCGTTGCGTATGTCTCGCCCTCGGTGACTCTTATCGTTTCGGCGCAGAAGACATTGGAGTCAAACCCTAAGCCCTCCTCGGTTCAATGTCCTCACGGACACAGTTTCACGGATTGCGCATGCCGGATAATACGATTAGCTGAAACAGACTGTGATGGTCCGATTAAGCGAAAGATATCCGACTTGGCCAGAGCCTTCGGGCACAAAAGACGGTTTACTATGCGTTATCCAAATGGAGACCGCGTCGGTTTACCAATGCTGGACGCTGCATGCCGGTCACAAACGGATGGTAGCCCTATGCCTCGGATATCAGTTCAGCGAGAAGAGAACGCGGGTGAAGCATGTCGGGTACTTCGGTATCAGATGTCACCTTTAGGAGCAACCACGACAGCGCGACCAGGAGGCGATTGAATGCGACATTTAAGTCTCGAATACCCTAGGGCATCGAATTGCTTGGCTCAGAGATTTGGTGCCTAGAACACAGCAGTATCCTTACACACAGTCATAGTGTCAGCATATCTAAAGGATCCACTCGCCGGAATCAACATTCCTCTCCCTGAAAATTGCCCAGGCATTTTCACAGTTGAAGTTGTCGCGAGGTTCTTTGGTTATGATGCCCTAGGATTCTTCGATGTTGCTCTCAGGAGCACATAGAAGATTGCGAACTGTTGTCCCGTTTCCGGATGGCCACAAATTTCCCCAAGCGATTTGGTGTTTTTCGGACTTATTTGCCTGCATTCTCTCGTCAATTCTGCTAGCATCAACTGTCTGCTCCTGCACATGTTTCCTATTCCAGGATCCCTGGGGATCTTGCCCCTGCGTTCCACCTTTTTGGGTTCTGTTATTCCTACGCCCCACAGGCGGCTAGGCACCTCGTATCACGGCACCCGCCACCGATCCGACTTCATCAGAAGATCCAGACCGACTGTGTTAACCATCTCTTCGCAAAGTAGTTTGTGAATAGATCGATGGGCGCCGACTTCAACAATGACTTCCATCATTGTTCCTTCCCTCGGGAAGAAGGAAGCGATTTTTCCGGATGTTCTTTGTCCGCTTCATAACATGCCCTCCTGCAAGATCCTCGGGTCAAGCGGGAGAGGAAACAAAAACCTGTCCCAAAGGGTACTGTACCACACACGGGAGACTCGGCTTCATGCTCATGCGACGGTATCGGTAAAACAATGGCGAGTTGACTGGAATTGCGGAGATGGATGGCCGTTGAGCAGATTCGGTTGAGCGTACTGTGTCTCGGCCAAGTTTAGGTTGTCTTTTTGAAGGTTGTGTGGGCCTTTGTGGGTTCGAGGGATACGTTCAACGGTTGTCGTCTGCTCCCAGACATTCCTCAACTCCTATTTGCGCCTGCATTTGATGCTCGCCCTCTTGTCTCTCAATTGATCGCAATTGTTCTGGTCGGAGAAACGTACGGTTTCTATCATTCGAACGCTTTGACTTATCAGCCCATTTCCAGTCGGCATGGGGGCGATGTCCTTGGTCGGTTCTAACGTGTATGCGTCATGCAGTGAATGTTGTGGGACCTCTCTCGAGTGAGGATCAAAGCTTTGGCTTGTCCACGATGCCCATCTGCTGCTATGCGTTCCCGGCCGAGGCTTGTCCCTATTGTCTGATTGGAGTGGACTGAAAAGCGACGAATGGAAAATCGGGCGATCTTTGTACTGCTAAGGAACTATTGTATTGTCATTGGGACTTGGACGTTGTATCAATGATGGTCCTTTACATGGGAGCAGAATGTTTTGGCCAGGCGATAGCCGGTGGACTGCCGTTTCTACTACCTTGGTGGTGGAAACGGCCACTTTTTTTCTATAAGTGCCCCCAAACTCTCTGTTCCAAGATGATGCTAACTACCTACATTCATTTGCAGATTCTAGTGTTTGAGTGGATATAACGGGAAATTCAATGAAAGTGGAGACCGCGAACATACATTGTGGGTTAGCTAGATTCATGCACAATGCACAATGTACGTTGTACATCAAGATCTGCAATCATCCACCTGGGCATGTAGATCTTGACAATGTCACCCAACCGCCCTTTAGATATGGGCGGTGACGCATGTCGTGGCAGAAAAGCATTACCTCATCCCCCTCTTTGTCAGCCCCTCAGCCCACCTGCCCCGCGCAGAACAGGAAGGAATGTTCCCGTGGCTCCGATAATTTTTTTGCGATAAGAATTTCTTGCTTTAGTACAACTTGCTTTAGTACATCTTCGCTCACATCTTCCTCTTTACACAAATATTTGCCGGCAGATATCAAACTGCACATTTTTTCTTATTTCTCATTAATTTTCTCAGACCTATCCTACACAATGGTCAGCAAATCCGACAATGATGCCCTTGAGGCGCAGTTTGAGTCGCAATTCCAAAAGCCCGGTGATCTTGTGGAGCGTGATGAGGACACTGGCGCGATGTCAATCGACTCACTTTGCATGAACTGCCATGAGCAAGGGTTCGTTTCTAGTATTTAGTTGTTATGTTTTACACATTGCTAACTTTCAATCACTTCATTCAGAGTCACGCGCTTGCTTTTGCTCCGAGTCCCTTACTTCAGAGACATCATCCTAGAGAGTTTCGAATGTGAACATTGCCACCTCAAAAACAACTCGATCAAATCCGCCGGCCAGATCCAGGAGCGTGGAACCGTTTACACTTTGAGGGTCGAGAATGAGGAGGATCTTCAGGTATTTATCTCCAGCTATAATGCATTTTCTTCCGCCCAAGCTAATTGGGTATTTTAGCGCCAAGTCATCCGGAGTGATGTTTCAGGCTTCAAACTTACTACTAAGCTCGGCAACGAGATTGAAGTTCCCAAGGGAACCGGTCAACTTACCAATGTGGAAGGCAGTACGTGAAGCCCAATGCAATAGAGATCGATCCCAAGATGCTAACATCCTTGTTTCTAGTGGTTCAACTCATTCACGAAAACTTGTCAGGAGAGCAAGACCTCCGCAAGGACCAAGCTCCTGAACTTTACAACGCCCTTGTGCCTATCCTCGCCAGTCTTGAGAAGATCATGAAACGCGAGGACGCTTTCCCCTTCACTATCACCCTAGATGACCTCACTGGAAACTCGTGGATTGCGCCTAACAGCACTGATCGTGGCACCAAGTACAAGCGCCACGAATACCCGCGTACCCACGAACAGAATGAAGAGTTGGGAATTTCGGCCGACGCAAACGCTGTCAACCAAGAGGACACCGCTCAGGCCGACGCCGGCGACCCAGACGATCTTGATATCGTTGATGGCCAGGTCTACTCCATTCCTGCCGAGTGCCCCGGTTGTAATAAGGAAGCCGAGGTGAACATTAAGAAAGTCAACATTCCTTACTTTAAGGAAGTTCTGCTGTTTGGCACGAACTGTGGACACTGCGGCTACAAGTCTTCTGCAATTAAGACCGGTGGCGAGGTACCCGAGAAGGGCAAGCGTATCACTCTCCAGGTGAATAACGAGGTTGATCTCTCACGCGACATCCTCAAGAGTGACACAGCAGGACTTTATAGTCCCGAACTTGACCTGGACGTTCAGCCAGGAACGCTCGGTGGACGTTTCACTACAGTTGAAGGATTGCTAGGTTCGTTCCTCTATTATTTGAATAAATTGACCCAGCTAACCCTTTTTTATAGTTGAGATCAGGGATCAGTTGAAGGGTGCCATTTTCGATGTTGACGATTCCACACACTCCGGAGGCGACAGCATGGTCTCTTCTGATAAGGATAAGTGGCAAAGGTTCTTCAGCCGTCTCGACCAGGCTATCAGCGGCGAGCTCAAATTCGCTATCACGTTGCAAGACCCGATGGCCTCGTCTTACGTCCAAGATCTTTGCAGCCCAGCGATCGATCACCAGATCACCACTGAGGACTACATTCGCTCCGCCGAGGAGGAAGATGATCTAGGTCTGACAGACATGAAGACCGAGGGTTATGAGCAGGCTGAGACCGATGCCGCTAAGACCGACGCCACTCAAACGGAGTAATCGAAGGATTTATGATGTATATCCATTTCATGATACTGGGGATGATTTGATTCTTATGGGGTTTTTGCATAACGGCGTCTGTGATATCTACTTTTCTGCTGGGGTCATTAAAATATTCGGTCATATATAGGGATGAACTCATAAGAGTCGTTGTATCTACTATATTATACATTACTTACTAGTAAAACCGTTGATAAGAAAGGCCAATACCTGTACTTTCTATGGTTGCTACTGATCGTATGTCTTCATTATTTTGGAGACCATTCTCGAAACTGCATCCGCTAACACGAAACCCATTTTTCGAATCTTCTTGCAAGCCCCAGGCACTTCATATCAACGAATCGATTCCAAAGTTCAGATGCCACCACCATAACAACACCTAACACGAGCATGGTTCCCATCCAAGCTATAGAGAACGGTAGAGCATGCTTGCTCGCTTCAATAGTACCAGGATACGGCGTTCTTGTAACTGCCCACCACAGAAGGTTTCGAACTGGCCATTTGAGAACAAGATAGACTGTCGGGTGGACTAGATAGAGCGGGAACGAAATTTTGCCTAAGTATTGCAGTGGTCGTGAGTTAAGCGGCCTTTGAAGCAACGCAGATTTGCTGGTTGCATATATTGTCAGAACCGCCCCAACGCTCCTCCAGCACCGGGGCATCATTTCAGCATTATCCCACTCGGGAGATCGAGCCATAGCAAGCCACTGGTACTCTCTTGCTAACCGGTCAGCGCCGCACATGCAAAGGAAATACATCCCTAGAATGAACGAGACCGATGTTCGAAGCTGTTGGAGATGGATGTTCTCTGTGATTTTGTTCCAGGCTTTGGCGATGGGCTTTTGAATCTCGAGAGGTGAAGGTGAGTATGATAATGCAATCTCCCCGTCTGGTTCGGACTCTGATGCGACATGTCTCTCAGCAAGAAAGATCCCGGCAACGAAAGCAAAGAGATCCCAATGTCCCATATAAAACCAATACATCGCCACACCTGCCAATGCCAGATACCGAGGCCGTGGTCTCCAAAATGAAAATGTCAAGATTAACAAGTAGACAACACACGAGCCACGAAACTCAATTGGCATTGTCCACAGTTGGTAGTTTATAGTCCTCATATCCGGTCGGTTGTGATCAAAATTGATATCGACTTGATGATTGCTGATATCCAGCAGATGTACTATTCGCACAAGTACATATTGGATATGGGCCCATGGCGTTGTCAAGGGCTTTAGCCCGCCTAGCCAGTCATCCGCAGCTTTCCATGGGAAGACATTGCAAAAGTACACAAGTTGGCTGAAAAATAGTATGGCGATAGAGGGCAGATAGATTCGAAAGATTCGGCGAGTTGCGGCAGAGCATAATCGACGAAAGAACCCTGAGTTACTTGCCCCAATGTCCTCTCGGCATCGAAGAAGCGGGAGGGAGATCGCATACCCCGATATAACCATGAACAAAGCCACCATTGATGGACCATTGAAGAGAAGTCGGAAGGGCGGGAGTTGGATAAGACGATGGTTCTCTTCAGTCGGTTCATCCCAGTAGGACCTGGTCAGAAATCCAACGATACTCTTGGGCTCTGAGCTCTTTGAATGGTGTATAACTACTAAAGCTGAGGCGATGCCTCGGAGGCTATCAAGCCAAAGAATGCGCTCCATATCCAGAAAGAAAGTAATGTGTTCATGGGGTAGGAAAGTCAATCAGGGTCGCATGCTTTGTCGTTGGACAAGAGTAGAATAATTTCCAAGGAAACCTCTTGTATGGAAAGCTTGTATGAAATTAGATTACAAAAGAGTACTTTTGTCTGAGAATATAGCCTATTGACCCAGTTTTCAGGCTAGTGACACTAGTAAAGAACTCGAGATCGTACAGATCGAGGTCGAGTTACAGGAAATACTGGACATTGTTTGCATCGTGTACTCCGTAATACAGGTGGCAATGGGCTGAAACCTTGTAAGGCAACCTTTTGACCTCATAGGATGCATATATAGCGAATACGGAGTGCATAGCGTTCATCCTGCATCCACGCTAAAAGATTATATACACATGCAGGAGCTATCACAATATGACAGGTAGAGCACTGGAACCCAAAAACAAAAAGCAATTGCTCGATGACATCAAGAGAATATTCTCCCCCGTGTGACCCCCAAACATAGCACACCCCTGCATATCGGCCCTCCCTAGACTTATGCCTACGCCACTGGGCCATTTTTGGAGCTATGAGTTGATTGGTCACACTAGATGCACAATTCAGCTCCGAAGCACGGAGTACTCCGTGGATTCTTGATTCTTACTCGGGTCTGTTCGGCTCTAGATTTACTGGGCGAATTTCATGTCAAAGGTTATACATAGAAAAAGTCGTCTGCACAAAGTGTGCTTTTTTTCCCGCATTTTTCCACCGTCTAGCTACCAAACTGAGAAGGGGAAGACAATATCTATGAAAACAGACATTTGAAATTACTAACTGAGAAGAATCCGAAAAAACCACTAAAAACTACGGCCAAAAAGGACATCTAAAAAG